ACTAACAATCCCTTTCCCCCCATCTTTTGTATGTTACTTCAATCATATTCTTTATATAACCTTTCAGATAAAAAAAAAAGAATTTTCCAACTCTGTTTATAATTGTCGGAGTTATGAGGTAACAAACATAAAAAAATACATCCGAATTGACAACCTTCTTCTTTTTGAAGTCGGTTGAAAGTTGTAACTAGATGATGCCTGTACATGGAAGATATTTAAGAAAAATGTATAAAATCTTAATAAGGAGTAGTACAATATAAATTAATAATTTTTAGAAATTTTGTCTGTCTGCACGTTTATTATCTCACAGAGGGAGACTTTGTACAAAAGTCGTTTGCTTGGGTACCTCTATCCCATTAGTGTTTCAACCGTAAAGCAGTTGTATTTGCATGGCTATGGTTCTATTAATTCGGATGCGGTTTCCACAATTGTATTTGCCGATGGTACAACTTAACATCTGGTGTATGTTTTATCTTAAAGCCTTAAAGTTCGTCTAATTTATTGGTATTCCTATTTCTAAAATCACGTCAGTACGAAGTATAACGGGCAATAAGTTAGTTCATATTAAAACTTTGTCTCTCTCTCTCTTTCACTCCGTTTGTGTTTTGTCTCTTTTTCCTGTTTTCATTTATTTATTCTATTTTTTTATAAGAGTTTTGTAGTCCATTTTAACGAATATTAATCAAAAAATTGTTCTAAATACATCTTAGGAAAAATTCATGCCGACAGTGTGGCAACATCTAAATTATATGTAATTAAAAAAAAATTAAGATTTTCAACATTTCTAAATGATTTATTTAAAAATTTCTTTCTCTCTCTCTCTTTCTTTCTCTCGCTCTGACAGCAAACTAAAATGTCACATATCACCAATATTTTGGGTTTTGATTTTAAATAGTATTTTAGATTTACATGGATAATACATAAAAATACTCTTTACAAGCGCTTATGAATTCAAAATTCAAAATTCAAAAATCATTTATTCATGTAGGACATTTTAGCCGCTTATGAACGTCAAATTATTACGAATAATTTACGTTCATGAACTCATTACAATAATAGAAGCTGGGGGGAAAGGGATTCTGTAAATTATTGTGGTTAATGTTAATTTGTGACGATGGGCCAACTGACTCGCTTCCTCACCTATCATCCCTCACTGGTGTCCCGCCAATTTAAACCGATAGCGCCTTTTGAATCCAGCCACCCAAAGAATATCAAGAAAAAAAAAATAATTTCAAAATTGAGGTCAAAATTAAATTTCTCCATACCTAAGCTGGCTAAATTCCTGCAATTTTTTTTATATAAAAGAAAATTTGAACTTTTACACAGGGCTAATTAAGATTGAATAGTTTTTTTTTTATCATCATCTTCCTACCCTTATCCCAATTATTATTTGTGGTTGGCGTAATATGGTTTTATCCATATTACAAAAAGATTTGGTTTATAGTTTTACGACCGGCCGCCTGCCTGACGTCAACCCACTTTGGGAATAGTTTTTTTATAATAGCTGTTTTTATTGACTTTCTGATTTCCATAGAATTAAAATAAAAAAAAAAAAAAACCATATCTCTGAACCAGATAAGATTTGATCGTCGGGAGTTCTACTCTCACCTTTGTAATGATTTATCCTACTAAATAAAAATATAAAAAAAGGACGCTTGTTTTTTGGGTCGAAAAACACATTGTGCGCATCAACTGTAAGATCATTATTTCATTCTTAGCCATTAAAAAACAAAACTGTGAACATACATGGCATCTATTCGTATGTGTCAATCGTAATAAGCAGGCCATAAACTGAAATATTAACAAGACATAATAATAGTGAAACGTACAGGAGCACTACTAGTGATTTCCTTATAAACTATGCAAACGGAATAGCTCCAACCGGCAATTTAATTAAACAACTACTGTATGTTTGACTAGTGAGTACCTATTATTTTATAAGACAAACTAACTATGACGGTCGATGGGAAATAGGACCTTTCGAGTTTAAATAAAATATTAACTTTACAACTAGTAATGTGCGCGTATACTGTAATATATATATATATTTATATATATATATTACTTTATTGCACTAAAACATACAGTAACAACAATAAGTCAATAACAATGTTAACAAAGGCGAACTTATCTCTAAAAGAGATTTCTTCCAGTCAACGTAACACAGTGGCATAAGAAGTAGTGAGTGGGCAGTAGTAGTACTAAACGGAAACTATAAATATGAAATAAATATTTACATAAATTATAAATCATTTGTTAGACTTAACTAACAATCCCTTCCCCCCCTCCCCCCTCCCTGTGTGCACATGTTATGCCACATTAACCTGACCAATATATTAGTGTACTGAAAAATTATGTTTTAAGTTTGTATCTATAAACTTCTGCTACATATGTGCGCGAAATAAATAAAATAAAATAAGTAGTCTTTAGTCCGCGGTTTTATATAAAAAAAACTCATAATATAAAATTAGCAGTACATAAAGATATGTATATTAATATATATATATATATATATATATATATATATATATATATATATATATATATATATATATATTTAATTTATATTTATATTTATATAAAAATAACTTTAAAGTAATGAATAATATATAAAAATGGAAAAAAAAGAGAAGTGGCCCATGAGAGGATCGAACTCATGACCTCCGCGTTATTAGCACGGCGCTCTAACCAACTGAGCTAATGGGCCGGTTGGGAGCGTATTCGAAATTCTTTAACAGATTCCCGTGTACATTTATTTGTATATTTAAATAAGATTAGAAATGATAAATAATGATATCCAATTTATTAATTACATGACATTGATAACAGAAAATTTATGCACTGTAATATCCATGTCCAAGTATTTATCAGAATTTTTTTTTATGGGTGAAAATGGTATGGTAACCCCGCCTGCGCTAACGGGATACGCTGGCGGAGCACCAGTGAAAAGTGACAGATGAGAATGAAAACAGGCCAGTTAGCCCATCATGATGAATTCATCAGGAATTAACCATGATATTTTCCAGGGGGAACCGCGAGGAGGTCGACCTGGTTGGTTATATTGCTAGCAATGGGATTCTCAGTCTCCATTACTAACAATCCCTTCCCTCCCAGAAATAATAGTAAGTAAGAAACATTGGTTACGTAACAAAAAATCATCATTACCTGCTTTCATAACTATTGTTACCTCATTGGTATTACTCTATATGGTATTATCCTAAAAGTAATAGGCGATAAATATAACTCGCTTATAATTGGGCATTTCATTCAGATGCTGTTCTAGTCGGCTGGCTCACATCTGAGTGAACTGCTTTAATTAATTTGCTTTTCTTTTTTACTAACATAGTTTGTGAGAAAACTGTTACTAACAAAATGGACCAAATTGTAGTCTGAATAATAAAGTATATTATTATTATATTATTACTATGTATTATATTATCGTGATTATGGTGTTTTTTTATGGTCCCGGATATTTAATTCCAGGTTTGTTATTTTATTAATGGAGTTTTTTGTCTTATTAATATTAGAAATGATTTTATAAACTACACCTATCCCCCGATTTACACGTACGTTTTGTACATTCTGCCTGACGTCAACCCACTGTTTTTATTGACTTTCTGATACGTAAGATTTGATCGTCGGGAGTTCTACTCTCACCTTTATAATGATTTATCCTACTAAATAAAAATATAAAAAAAGGACGCTTGTTTTTTGGGTCGAAAAACACATTGTGCTGTGAAAAACGTGTAAATCGAAAATTTAAAATTTTCAAGTCAAAACCGTGTAAATCGAAAAGCTTGCAGAAAATGCATAATTTTGCTATTTAACAGTTGTGATTTTTTTCAATATTTTTAGGTGAATATTAGAACAAATAAAAATAAAAATTTTCATTTGTTCTAATAGTTCTTATTGTAGCTTCGTTCATGTTATATGATTTTGCAACATCTACTACTCTATCTTCCTTTCGTAAGTGATCCAAAATTTCGATTTTAGTTTCTAAAGTAATAACTTTTCTTTTAACTTCTTTCGACATTATAAGCCTATATTTTTTTTTTAATTTATGTTAATTTATAAAAATCATAATTATGCACTCACTTGTAATTTACGAATATGAAAAATTAAATCTTTCTGACACTGTGAAACTTTCACTCAAATACAATTTTCCGTAGATAAAACTTTAATTTTATGCGAAGAAATACAGACACAGTGTGCATGTGCAGCAAGTCAGCACATAAGCTCGGGATTCCCCGTGAGATGTGTAGTTACACAGCGCACGTGTTCAAACACAGTAGCATTTATATATAAAAACAAAAAAAACTTATTTGGAAAACCGTGTAAAAGCGAAAACGTGTAAAACAAATACCGTGTAAATCGGGGGATAGGTGTACTTATTAATACATAACTAGAATTATTTAGTTTGCTTTATATAACTATCTACATTCAAACTAGGATATGTTTTATCTGGCAATACCATCTAGAAATAGTCTATTTCATATATTTTCTTATTTTTAAATCCACGCGTACGAACCAGCGGGCAAAAAGCTATTTTATTATCATTTCAGCCGTTAAGAGTTTTGCTAGTAGTTGCCACGTTTGGCAGTAGGCAGGTTGACAATCGCAGTTTGGCAAAACTATGTAGTTTATAATATTAGTAACGCTTGCATACAAACAGCCTAGAAATGAGAATAACTCAATCTGTTTGAAACTAGCCCTGAAAAATAATTATTTTCAATTACACAATAGATTTTGAATCTTATAACAACGAGAAAAGGTCCACTCATCTATATTTAATCATTGTTTTCAGTTTTTAGCTAAGTAATGCATTTTAAACCCAATTGCATCGAGATAAGGTTCACTCACCGATATTAAGTAATGCATTTTGAATTTAATTACAACGAAAGAAGGTCCAAACACCGAAATTAGTTTCTCTGACCTAAGTAATCGACGCAGTGAGGTAAAGCATTTTGAACCTTATAACAAAGAGAAGTAGGTCCACTCACCGATATCAGCATATTGCTCTGGTCGAAGTAGTCGGCGACGGGCATGACGTTCTTGTAAAAGTTGCTGAGCTCCATCCGGGCGAGGCTCAGCACTACGTGGCCGAGCCGCGCTCCATACTCGATCTGTCGTTCGAGGACTCGCTGCCGCCAACTCACCAGCACCACGCCGTTGATGGTCTGGATCTATGGGGATAGAGGATTTTTCAATAACAATCATTCTAAAAGAATTGTTTGCTTGTCCTTCGGGTTATGTCGGTCAGTTTGGCTCTTCTATGGACACCCTCACCATGTTATTCATACTTCAGTTTAAACCCTTATCCAAATAAATCATATTGTTTTCAAAACTGTTTCAATTTATGTAGATTACTTTTTGAATTATTCAAATCGGCGATTACATTCAATAGATATTACGAATTTAATAAGTCATAGAAATAGAAAAAATAACGCTGTCGCGTTGTACATGTTATTCACACCTATTTATTAATCCTTATCGAAATAAATTATTTTGTATTCAAGATTGTTTCAATATCTGCAGATTACTTTTTGAATTTTTCAAATCGTAGGTATATTACATTCGAAAGATATTTTTTTTTATTGGATGAAAATGGAGTGGTAACCTCACCTGCGTTAACGGGATACGCTGACGGAGCACCAGTGAAGGGTGATAGATGAAAATGAAAACAGGCCAGTTAGCCCATCTTGATGAATTTATCAGGAATTAACCATGATAGTTTCCAGGGGGAACCGCGAGGAGGTCGACCTGGTTGGATATATTGCTAGCAATAGGATTCTCAGTCTCCATTACTAACAATCCCTTTTCCCCCAGTCGAAAGATATTATGTTAAAAAGTGTAAAATGTTGTAATGATGTCCACCCGTGGGAAGCCGGACCGGGCGCTACTATGCGATATAAATGGAACATAAACGACCGCATTTTTGATTGCGTCGATTTAGAAGCTTGATTTTTCACTGCTTTAGGAGATAGCAGACCTAAGTGTATGATATTAATTTCAACATGATACCTCCACGCGTTCCTATGAAAAATGGTCTTGACAGACGGAAGGACAAACAGCGAAGTGGTAGGATCACAAAGGGTTTCGTTTTTTTCTTAGGTGGTACGGAACCCTAAAAACATTTTTCAATCAGCGCATCATTACTCAGAGTTCTTTCAGAAGCATGAATCATTCACTGGCTACATATATTGTTCAGGTAGGTTCTTTGATTGCCGCAACGGTGACTAAAAAGAGTTTGCGGATAATGCGACGAGCAGTGCGACTTGGTGACGTCAGCTGACAGTCTCATTCAAAGTGGATATAGAACGTACCAGGTCATAATAAAAGGTCTGTAGGTAAGGTTTAAAAGGTCTAAGATATAATTGACAACGGAATGGTAGCCTCGCCTGCGCTACTTCAATACAACTTCAAATTTGTAGTACGATAAATTACATACAAATTCAAATTTTCGTGCTTTTACGAACAACCCCTGTTGTTTATTCGCAATTGTCGCAATTTTTATATGCCGCAATAGGGTTGCAAGATGACAATCGAATATAATTGTAATACGATATATTTTCGATGTATAGTTCTAGAAATAATGTATATGGTAAAACAACGTTTGCCAAGTCAGCTAGTATATATATATATATATATATATATATATATATATATATATATATATATATATATATATATATATATATATATATATATATATACGAGTTCAACTTAGAATGGCAAACAAGCTGACGGTCCACCTGATGAAAAGTGGTAACCGTCACCTATAGACATGAGCAGTACCATGGACATAACAGAGTATACTGTTTCGCCCATGATACCCCCCATGCGTTGAAATTTTTAACAGTTTTAAATATTCATGTAAGTAAATAATTACTGGGGGTAAAAGCTGCTATTATACAATTAAGTAAAACGATTTATTCGAGTTACAATTACTTCTTAAATTATTATTTCAGCCTTCAACTGTCCACTGCTGGACATAAGCCTTCCCCATAAGGGGAGTTTTGCCAGTAGTTGCCACGCTTGGCAGGCGGGTTGGCAACCGCAGTTAGGCTTTTACAGATGTTTTAAAAGGGACGCTGCTGCCCATCCCTCGCTCTCCGTTAGTCGCCTCTTACGACACTTACGGGAAAGGTAGAGGGGCCCATTCTATGCCGAGACACATACACGATGAGCCAACTTCTACTTCTTAAATAATGGTTTTTAATTAATTAACGGTAATTGGATTAAGTGTGTTTACTGCGACCTTTTAACGAAAGATATCTATCAGAGAACGATACTGATCAACGCATATCTTCAACTTCAGTACAATTACATTACTAGAACACGTGCCCAGGGACTGTTCATAATGTAATGAAAATGAAATGGTTTTTTTATACAACTTAGAATGGCGAACAAGCTGACGGCCCACCTGATGGAAAGTGGTAACCGTCGCCTATAGACATGAGCAGTACCATGGACATAACAGAGTATACTGTTTCGCCCATGATACCATGGAATAGAATTTTATTGCTAACTGTGTACATACATATAGCAGTAACCATTGCTTTGGACTTGACATCAGTATCAACAGTCATACCCTATCAGGCGTGCAACAACTTAAGAACAGGTAATTAGCTAGCAATTACGAGTACATTAACATTGAAACATTCAAAATACTATTAACAAAGTAAATATGAAACATTTGGTAATACAATTAATAAAATAAAGAATAATAAAAAATCTAATTACAAATCGAACGTAAAATTATATAAATGCAAGGTAAGTAGACATAATTACGCTTTTTTTTTTTTTATGCAACTTAGAATGGCAAGCAAGCTGACGGCCCACCTGATGGAAAGTGGTAGCCGTCGCCTATAGACATGAGCAGTACCATGGACATAACAGAGTATACTGTTTCGCTCATGATACCCCCCATGCGTTGCCATTGCGTTGCTTACATTATTATTAATTTAATGAGTTTTAACATCAAAGTATTCATGTCGATTCTCAGGGTCGTACATTGGGCAGCGCGAGATCCCTTCGTTTAGATAGATAGATAGATACTCTTTATTGTTACCTTCAAAAGATTACAATAGTAAACTTATTATAAAAATAAATAATTACAAGAAATAATCATTTAGTAACTTCTATTCATTCTTCTAAATTCTATTCCTATTCTATCACTACCCAAGCTATCCGTCTCTGGAACTCCTTACCTCTTTCTATTAGATCAGCGCAATCTCTTGCCTCGTTCAAGAGGCTGGTACAATCTCATTACCTATCTCTCTAATTTGCTTTGACGTTTACTATGTGTGATTTATCTTGATCTATTTAGTATATTAATGTATTTATGTTTATGTATTATTATTTATATTATATATGTATGTTTATGTATTGTAATCTTATTTTTATATTTAAAATTTTTTGCATTTTGTTTGATTCCATTTATGTATTTACTGTGTCTGACTTGCGCCATCTACCGTTCTCTCTGTACTTATCCATTCTTTATGCCAGGTTGTCTGTAAGAGATTGCTTTTAGCGATAAGGCCGCCTTTTGTATATGCACATTCTGTATAAATACTCCTTGTATACATCTCTACTGTGCGCAATAAAGAGTTTATTATTATTATTAAAATATAAAAAAAAAACATTAAATAAACTGAAATAATAATAATAATGTGGCAAGTTTATCTTTTTATGGTAACACCGTTTGTGTAAACTCGAAACTCGTACATGTGCCCAATACGAGTATAACCGACAGTTACTTGTCCAAACAAGACGCAATCGATGTAGTAGTGTACACAGGGGACAATTTGTAATATTGAATACCTCCCTACTGCCCTTGACACAAAATTGTATTGTTACCGATTTTTGACGGACTGTCTTTATTGAATCTACTACCTTTTAGCCGCGACTTCGTCCGCGTGACCGGGATACATAGATAAAAGTAGGCTATATCTTTTTCCGTCGCATATGGCAGTCTTTCCCAAAGTGAGCGGTAACGCCCCCTTCTGGGGCTGTAGGCCTAAAGGGGGGCGGTAAGAGACCAAGAAAAAAAATGGGGGCGTTGTGTAGAGGCTTGGGGGGTGATTTGTTGATCTTGAAGTAATGGTGGTTTTTAAGTAGGTGAAAAAATGGGGGCGCTAAAAAATAATTTATTCTCAAAGTGGGCAGTAGACAAAATAAGTTTGGGAACCCCTGCCATAAGGGGTTACGGACTGTCTTTATTGAATCTACTACCTTTTAGTCGCGACTTCGTCTGCGTGACCGGGATATATAGATAAAAGGAGGCTATATCTTTCTCCATCTGATAAGAGTAAGTTTTTAATAGAGGGGAATGGATTTTAAGTAATGTGGACTACCAGTCCCAGTGCCCATTGGGAAAGGGATTGTTAGTAATGAGACTGAGAATCCCATTGCTAGCAATATACCCATCCAGGTCGACCTCATCGCGGTTCCCCCTGGAAACTATCATGGTTAATTCCTAATGAATTCATCATGATGGACTAACTGGCCTGTTTTCATTCTCATCTATCACCCTTCACTGGTGCTCCGCCTGCGTATCCCGTTAGCGCAGGCGGGGTTACCATACCATTTTCACCCATTAAAAAAATAATAATAATAATAAACCCTTTGTTGCGCAGAATATAGATGTATACAAGGAGTGTTTATATGGTATGTGCATATATAAAAGGCGGCCTTATCGCTAAAAGCAATCTCTTACAGACAACAAATATACTCTGTCAAGTCGACCTCCCCGTGGCCCCCCTTTTTTTTCGTATGGAAAATCTTCAGCAAGACCGTCCCATCTGCCGGAGGGAGGGCAGCTGGGGTGTGTGGGATTCGTACCCACTAAAAACCACACGACGTACCTTGAGGCGCTTATGTTGGATCCCGGGTTCCCGTTTGTACGATTACCGAGTATCGAACGCGACGGCCCGCCCTGTAGGTGGTGTAGGGCAGGCCTCCTCTCTTAGTTAGGCCCCCCTAGATACCATCAATAAAGACTGTAGATAAAACGGAGGCTTACCTTATCAGAATATTCCGCGACGTCCCTCATGGAGCGCGGGTACCCGGACACGAGGTACGTTTTCGCAGTTGGTGCCATCTTCATTTCCAGCATCAGCACCTCTGTCACCGTCTTACTGGACAGCGTGCCGAAGTCTTGCATATCTGTCGACAAACACTTTGCATAAGTCTAGCTACTAAGTTTTAAAAGGGACGCTGCTACCCATTCCTCTACCATCAGTGGCGTAATTATACCATTTGGGGCCTGCGGCAAATTCTTTTAATGGGGCCCTTTCATTTATTTTCAAGTAAAATAAAATACTCAGGTACAAGGGAAAAAAAAATTCTGAGCTCGCGGTCTCTTGAGCCAAGGCCCTTTTGGGTCGGGGGCCCGTAGCATTTTGCCAGCCCTGCCACCCTATTGTTACGCCACTGCCTACCATCAATCTCCTTTAGTCGTAGCTTATGACACCCACAGGAAAGGAAGAGGTGACCTATTCTATGTCGGGAATTTATTTATTTAACACTTTATTGCGCCAGAAACAAAAAATACACAATGTCAATAGAATAATTCAAATATGAAATACAATAACCTTTTTTTTTTATACAACTTAGAATGGCAAACAAGCTGACGGCCCACCTGATGGAAAGTGGTAACCGTCGCCTATAGACGTGAGCAGTGAGCAGACCATGGACATAACAGAGTATACTGTTTCGCCCATGATACCCCCCCGCCCCCCCATACATTGCCATTCCTGAGGACTCAGGTGTTATTCCTCCGTACCCAGTAAATTCACGCCATATACCACCTTTCAAACCGAAACACAGCCATGCAAACACAACTGCTTCACGGTAGAAACACGAATGGGACAGAGGTACCCAAGTAATCGACTTTTGTACAAAGTCTCCCTCTGGTGATATAAATACATATTGAAATATATACATACATAAAGGTACAAAAGGTGGTCTTATCGCTAGGGCAATCTCTTACAGACAACGTTTGGTTAAAGGAGAACAGATAGAAATGGGTAGGTGGCGCAAGAGTGAATTAATAATTTTTTCGTGTATAAAATACAAAAACTTGTAATACACAAAAATATCAATAACATATAATTTATTAATAATTAATAATAATAAATTAAATTATTAATAATAAAATATTACTATAACAATAATCGTGAATATATTCGTAAAAAAGAATCCCAGAGTTGATTTTTTTATAATAACAATTAAAAAAAACTTTGTTAAGCACAAAGAGATGTATACAAGGAGTATACAGAATGTGCATATACAAAAGGCGGCCTTATCGCTAAAAACGATGTCTTACAGACAACTTTTGGATGGAGAGGAGTTAAAATAAAGTTTAATAGGAGACACGATAGAAATTCTGTCATTTGAATCGTTCGTTTGTAATGGGAAAACTCAAAAACTATTTAACCGATTTTTTTACCTATAGTAAGCTACATTATCATCGTATAACATATATTTTACATTATTTTCTATGTACTCATGCGAAGTTGGGGCGGATCACTAGTAATATTATATATGCTATAATAAATTTTGCAACAATGGATGAATGGAGGTTTGTTCTTCTTTCGCCCAAAAACTACAGAACATATGTCAGTGAAATTTGGTACACGGGTAGGTCATACCCTAACTTAGCATATAGGGTACTTTATATATGATTCACGCGGGTAAAGTCACGGGATATAGCTTGTTCCCTAATAAAAATGACTTAGGTACTATTGCCTTTCCAGGATTTTTTTATGTAACTTAAATGGCAAGCAAGCCGAGGTGAATAAGTCACGCGGGTGAAGCCGCAGAACGCAGCTAGTATAATAAAAAATTTAAAAAATTACAAACTAACTAAATATATTAAAATCAAATAAGAAAACATAGTTAAAAAACAGAATCGTCTAGAAAATTATATCAAAATTATTCTTGGAATTCATTTATACAGTAATTGTGTATTATGGTACTCGAATATAACTCGAAAATATTATAATTAAATGAAAGGGAGCCTTAATCGCGAGGGCTCAGGGTACAAATTGTGCGAGCGCACGGAAAGTTTGGAGGGCCTTGAGACTGCACACTCGGCGATTCCCACGACTTGGAGTGCGTACTTTCTACGGCTAGATTAAAATGACGCTGCCAAGGTATGGGAGACCTGTAATTTTCTATTCATCAGTTCTACACCTGGCCATTATACATTAATACAATATACTAAAATATTCCGTAATAAAATATGCATTGCCTATTACCTATTCAACTATAAATCTATTTTGGAATAATTATTTTTAATATTGGGATCGATTCACGGGCGCCATACCGAAGACATCTATCGTAACTTGTTTCTTACTTCCTACACTTGCAATTCGTCTCGTGCATGCACTCTGGTTCCGAAGATTTTTTTTTATAATACTTAGAATGGCAAACAAGCTGACGGCCCATCTGATGGAAAGTAGTAACCGTCGCCTATACACATGAGCAGTACCATGGACATAACAGAGCCATTCTCAAAAGTTATCTCTGAAACAAGTGTATACCCACTTATTTAGCTATTACACACGACTTTATCCGTGTGGCCGGATGATAATGGAATGGTAACCACGCCTGCGTTAACGGTATACGCTGGCGGGGCACCAGCGAGAGATGATAGGTGAGAATGAAAAGGCAAGTCATTTAGCCCATTGTGATGAATTCACCTGTAATTCAGCGCGGCGGTTTCCAGGGGGGGGGGGCACGTGGAGGTTTTTTTTTTATACAACTTAGAATGGCAAACAAGCTGACGGCCCACCTGATGTAAAGTGGTAACCGTCGCCTATACATGTGTACTGCTGCTCATACTGCTCATGTGAGCAGTACCATGGACATAACAGTGTATACTGTTTTTCGCCAATGATACCCCCCATGCGTTGCCATTCCTGAGGACTCAGGTGTTATTCCTCTGTACCCAGTAAATTCACGCCATATCCCTCCCTTCAAACCGAAACACAGCCACGCAAACACAACTGCTTTACGATTGAAACACGAATGGGACAGAGGTACCCAAGCAAGCAATGTGGGGTTACTACTTTCCATCAGGTGGACCGTCAGCTTGTTTGCCTTTCTAGGGTGCATAAAAAAACCATTCATTTTCACCTATTTAAAAAAGAAAAAAACAACATAATGCATGGTATATTTACCACATGGCGTTATTGCGTGTTCATGTTGACTTTATGCTAATATCCCGTACAAAACATTTATGCCCGTGGGTAGCCGGTATTCAAATCACTCTACTTTTCAAGTGCATTGTCAAGGTCAAGCGAAAATAATTACATTGTCCTTACTAATATTATAAATGTGAAAGTTAATTTGTTTGTTACCTTATAGCGCCTTAACGGCTTAACCAATCACTATGAAATTTGATACACACGTATTATATGGGATAGATAGTAAAGCATAGGCTACTTTTCATCCCGATTCGTAAATATATACAGAGGACCTACCATGAAAACTCTTCCGAAACTCCCGATGCCGAACGAAACAAAAATTTGATGTTAAAATTAAATAATACATACCGTGTAAAAAGTTGCAGTCAAAAAGCTATTAGATAATTATACACTATTATATGATATATATATATATATATATATATATATATATATATATATATATATATATATATATATATATATAACAACGATGGTTTTCAGAGTATACCACGTGGAGGTCGACCTGGTATTGTGACCAGGTGTATTGTTATCAATAAGACTACGCTAGTTCCTATTACTAACATTGCCCTCCCCTTAATATCAAAGGGTGGTAAAAGATACATATTAGTATATTTCCCTCTATTCAATAATACACCGCCTACGTATTTCTCTGTTTTGCCCAATGGTTGACTGGTAGAGAACACCGTCCGGTGTTAAATCCGCCAAATGTACGTAATGTTTATATCTTATATGTGTATTTATGTATTATGTACAATTATTTCAGTATGTTACTATAATTATGTCACATATTTCTCACTAAAATACCCTGAATACGCTTTCCGTTTATACCTAATGGTTAGCTAGTAAAAATGCCACATTGCATTAAGCACGCCACTTGTACAATGTTTTATTGTGCAATTTAGAATAAATAAATAAACAATAAATCGAATCACTGATTAATCTATTTTTAATTTGGACTATTATTAGACATCATCGGACTGATTTATGATCGACTCAATTATTCCTTTGTTTATATTTTCATTAAGTTCTATTGCAATAGACAATAGATCTATTCTAGTGTGACTAATTCAAGGTCCCAATACCAGTGTTTGCTGGGGGCGGTGTAACATCGTGAGTACGTTTGTTTAGTGAACTGAACGTGTTTGCATGACATGCAGTCGTGATTATCAACACAACTGTGTATTCTGTGAAACTAATAAATGCTTTTAGTGGGGTTGCAATTAAATTAATTACCTAATATTAATGAAAATTCTGAGGAATGCAGTCAATAGAAAAAATACTAACATGTATCTTTTACCACCCTTTGACATTAAGGGGAGGGCAATGTTAGTAATAGGAACTAGCGTAGTCTTATTGATAACAATACACCCTGTCAGGTCGACCTCCACGTGGTATACTCTGAAAACCATCGTTGTTTTTTGTTAGTGCATTCGTCATGTTGGGCCTTTTAATCTGACTTCATTCTTATCTATGGAATGACAGGTGCCGAGCTAGCGTATAGCACAAGAGAAAGATTCACCACGATAACAGTTATTCACAAGATACAGTATCATTCGCAAGATACAGTAACATAAAAAACCATTGGCACCACGTTGTTGTGTTAACATTTCCCCATAAATGGAGGTTACAGCTGACCTAATTTAAAAAAAAATACTAGTGATGGACCTACCATTGCCGATGGCGTATTGTTGGAGCAGGTCGGTCATGTTGATGTGCACGACGCCGCGCCGCTCCTGCATCAGGTTATCGCAGTGTGTCACCTTGCCGCTACCCGGGCCACCTGTACAGTGAAATTAACTACATAAATGGCTTGCAATTGGAAACATTATCACCTTTTTAAATGAAAAGTTCCATAAATTTAGACTTCCGATATTAATTTGTTAAGTAACAGTTGGTAAAGAAACCTCTAAGGCCGGGTAATATATATATATATTACCCAGCCTTATATCTATGTATTGTAATGGCAATAATGGGATGTGGGGATGGGATTGTTAGTAATACGGATTACCAGAGGGAGACTTTGTACAAAAGTCGATTGCTTGGGTACCTCTGTCCCATTCGTGTTTCAACCGTGAAGCAGTTGTGTTTGCATGGCTGTGTTTTGGTATGAAGGTTCATATAAAAAATACCAGTTGCATTGCTAGCAATATGCTCAACCAGGTCGGCCTCCACGTGGTCCCTCCTAGAAACCATCGTGCTAAATTCCAGGTGAATTCATCACGATGGGCTTACTATCTTGCCTTTCCATTCTCACCTATCACCTCTCACTAGTGCCTCGCCAGCGTATACCGTCAGCGCAGGCGGAGTTACCATTCCATTACCATCCATAAAAAGGTAGCAATGGGATTGGTGGTCCAAATTAATAAGAATCCCTCCCCCCCCCCCCCCTATCGTTTACGCTATGTGTATGAACTGTGTAATGTGTATGACAATAATAGCAACGTGGATATAACAGTGTCACGAGAGGTCTTAGACACTGCGGGTGATATAAAATCAAAGGTGTTCAAATACGAATTCTCAAGTAATACGGCCATATTATCCGGAATGAAAACTGTATAAAACGTCTAATTGTCCAAGGGTACAAGGCCAACGTAGATCACCAACGCGATGGACTAACCCTATCAAAACGGCCACACAGCAGTCTATTGTGGAATGCTCTCGCTCGGCTGTGAGCAGAAATAGATGGAGACATTGCGAGGACCTCAATCGCGAAGAAGAACCTTATCGACAATCCACTATAATCATGAAAACCATGACGGCTCTGTCAAGAGTGTACGACTGAAGATAAAGTTATAAAATAAGGCTCGAGCCAGGGTCTTTATTTATTTTTTATTTATTTATTTATTTATGCTTTTGCATACATTAGAAAATGTGTACAGGGCGGACTTAATGCCTGTCAAACGTTACTCTAAACAGAGAGAGTAAATGGCGGTGCAAGGATTTAAAAAAAAATGTAAATTAAATAAATATTTTGAAAGATAACAATTTATGTTAAATAAACACACAAAAATATAGAATAATATACATACAAAAAATATACACACATAAATCACATACAATACATATATAAATAACTATACATAGTATATATTAAATTAATAATTATATAAATAATAACTAATTATATAACAGATTGAGGCTTTTCATTGTTGTGATAAATTGAAGTAATGTTCACGAAGGGACTTTTTAAAGGAAAATTTGGTATTTATTCTCCTTGATTCACATAAATATTGCCCTACGTTTAAAAAAAATTACCATTCTTTATCTTGCCGTATAACAGTGAAAACCTGGGGGGAAAGGGATTGTTAATAATGGAGACTGAGAATCCCATTGCTAGTAATACACCCAACCAGGTCGACCACCTCGCGGTTCTCCCTGGAAACTATCATGGTTAATTCCTGATGAATTCATCATGACGGGCTAACTGGCCTGTTTTCATTCTCATCTATCACCCTTCACTGGTGCTCCGCCAGCGTATCCCGTTAGCGCAGGCGGGGTTACCGTACCATTTTCACCCATCAAAAAAAAAAAGACCGTGAAAACCTAAATTCAATTCCTTGACATTGGATCAATAGTCATAAACTAATAATACATGATCAATTATGTATTGTAGTTTACCTTGTTGAAAGTTTATAAAACCAGCTAAATTGTTATAACTAATTGTCTGAGTTTCTATGTAGCTAGATTGTTATCTATACAATTGTATCTATATACTGAACAGTTTTTCAAGCCCGAAGTATGTAATTCTGGATTTCTAAATCATTTTCTCCCAGTCAATATTAGAAAAATTTCAGAATATTCGAATGCGGTAAATAGTAGTCGGTTTGAAGGGTGGGATATGGCGTGAATTTACTGGGTACAGAGGAATAACACCTGAGTCCTTAGGAATGGCAACGCATGGGGGGGGGGGGTATAATTAAACAAACAGTTATGTACATGGTAATGCAAATTTGGAAAGGCGACGATTACCACTTTACATCAGGTGGGCCGTCAGCTTGCTTGCCATTCTTATTTGTATAAAAAAAAAATGATATATGTACATACATACGTCGGCAGTCATACATAAACTAATTATAACGGAATAAATCAAAATAATACTAATCAAATAATATGGACTTTCGGAAGATAACACCTGGTTCAGTAAAAAAAAAAATTAAAAATATCAAACGTTAATACTTCTATTTCAATTAAAAAAAAGAAAGATCTAAATTTAACCGTGTTATTTATCTTGAATAAATCTTTAAAATCGCATACGAAATACTTTATTACAGTAACATACAAAAAAACGAACAACAGATTTCAAAGTTCAAAATTTTCTCAAGACCAAAAATGCACACACAGTGCATAACAAAAACACAGACAAAAAAGATAAAGCTATCTGCCACTGTACAGATACCATAGATTAAAAATGAATGACACAATATTTAACAAACAATATACAACAAACTGTATTTTGATGTGTATCACGGAGTTATTCATATCTTGGGCGTCCATCCGTGGGCGTCACAGCACGCTTTTTGATAGGTACCCATAATACCATTTATATGTTGCTATTCTTAAAAACTATGTTTTAAACCTACTTATATAACTCTTATAACTTTTATCTCACCCTTTACACCGAAACACAGCTATGTAACCATAGCTGCTTACATACGCAGAAATAGTTGGACTACAGTGGCGAATTCACTAGAAATTATGTTTCGAGTTTTTTTTCTCTTGCCACTGCATGTGAAAGAATCTGGGGGCATTCGATGTAGACAAGTTTGCAATTACCGAAGGGAATGGGGTTACTAAATCGTTTGAGGTGTTATATTATAAATAAACTGACTTATTCATAAAAAGATCAAACCTGTGTTAAACCTATTTTAACTATCGAACTGTTTTGTCTTTTTCTTTTTAGTTAAATTCCCAATTCAAATGTAAAATAGATCTGTAGAGGGTTTTAGTTTTCACGAATAAAGGTGATAATGTTATATAAAATGTTGTAAAACGTTAAGACAGACGGAAGGACGGACGGACAAAGTGGCACTGTAAGGGCTCTTTTGTACCATTTTAGTGACATAGCAATCCTAAAAACAGACTGTTAATTATTGAATAATCAACTTATTTGTTTATATTTTATTTAAAAAAAAGCCACATTATTAAAATATGCAAGCAATAAAGAGAAAATTATGAATAGCCCTCTGTTTCAGGCGTTAATAGATTTTGCTTTTGTTCTCATACCAAAATGCATATTTCAATGATTTTTTTTAGGAAAACGGTCTTAAAATATAATCTAACTAGCGACCCGCTCCGGCTTCGCACAAGTGCAATGCTGATATGTAAAGGGCCATATTGATCTACATATCGTCATAGTCGTAGAATACTGACGGATCTTTATATGTAATCTTCGTCAGATCCGTCAGTATTCTACGACTATGACGATATATTAAATGGACAATGTATTTAAGGTACTTAATTGGATAAAAATTAATGCTGTACAGCTTAAAATTACTTTGTAAATAAACCATTTTTTCCCGTAAAATGTAAAAGATAAAAAATGGTTATTGTAGGTTATTCTTAAGAGATAAACATATACCATCGCGGACCTTTTTGTTGACCTTTTTAAGGTGTACAATACTGTAATACATTATTTTGATTTATTTCGTGGGGTTCAGCCAACGTTTGCAATATAAGCGCAAAAAATGTGTTAATTTACAACATCATATTAGAAACCTCTAACTAAATTTATCAGTGTTTCTTTACAATATTATGCATGTACTATAATTACATACCGCTTCAAAATCCGTTGCGTAGTTTTAAAGATTTAAGCATACATAAGGACAGACAGACAGTGACAGCGACTTTATTTTATACTGTGTAGTGATGATGATGATGATGATGATGATAACAATAAAAAGTGACATACCGAGTACGAATATAACGGGCACATTTGGCGGTTCGAACTTGACGTGGCTCGAGTTCTGCATGGGGAAGGATGCGGCGGGCGGCGTGGCTCGGCCAACCCACGCGCTGTCGCGACCACTCTGCACCCCGCCTGTTGTCTCCAGCTCATCATTATTTTGTTCTGTACAGGAAATAAACAGTCATTATGCTATCTTTTTCTTATCTCTTTTTGGTAGTAAAGTAATAATAAAAAATTGGAACGCCTTATATTTAATCAATTTTACTAAACAACACCATCTAGCGACGAAATTATTATCGTGGTAAGGGCTACAACTGAATTATTCTTTATTATATAACATAGTTGAATTATTTAATTTATTAATTATTAAATGAATCCTATTTGTAAGGTGTAATAATTTGAATAGATGATAATTATAAGTTACAAATAATTAAAAATTATTCACAATAAAATAACTAATATTTTTTACTTCAAATGGCAGCGTAAGATAAAGAGCTATATTCTTTATTTTGTTGTTTTTTTTTTCTTTTAATTTGGTTTATTACTCTTTTACAGTGTAGTATCATCAGCATACTACCAGCCGATAATTGTCCACTGCTGAACATAGGCCTCTCCCATAAGAGAGGGCTTTGCCAGTTGTTGCCACGCTCGGCAGGCAGGTTGACAACCGCAGTTAGCCTTTGGGGATGTTTAAAGAGGAACGCTGCTGCTCATCCATCAATCATTAAGTTCCCTTAGTCTCTTACGACACCCATGGGAAAGGAGGTATAATTTATTATTTGTTTCTTCATGCTAACGATACAAATGATAGATTTTTTGTATGATTTGTTGACTGGCCCACAATATATTCAATAAAGCCTATGTAAATAACCTAATACAATAAAACTAAGATAGGTATAGCTATTTTCGCCAGCTTCTCGCATGTTCTACGAAAGTTCATAGAACCTTCAGTTGCCATTCAATGAGTTTAGCTGACAAATGGCATGACTGTTTGAAACTGTTTCCGAGCTCTGACAGTATTCAATAATAATGTGCAAAGTCAGGCTGATTCGAGTACTAACCGGATAACAACTCACATTCAAAGCACATAATTTAGATAAACAATACTCGAATACGAAGTACGAGAAGTATTCGAGAAATGAAATTATGAATTTTCAACAATTTTAAATTTAATAATCAAAAATTGGATATGGATAGCATGAATACACAGTATACTGTTTCGCCCATGATACCCCCCATGCATTGCCATTCCTGAGGACTCAGATGTTATTCCTCTGTACCCTGTAAATTCACGGTATATCCCAAACTTCAAACCGCAACACAGCCATGCAAACAAAACTGCTTCACGGTAGAAACACGATTGGGACAGAGATATCCAAGCAATCGACTTTTGTACAAAGTCCGCCTCGGGTAAAATTCGAGTTCATTACAATACTCGTTATATGATTAGTTTTATATTGTTGAATTCTGCTAACTTTAGCATGTGTGTGACTGCCACAAAACTGAAACTGACCACCCCTATTACTACCAGCAAGTCATACACATACTAATGGTAGCGGAATTAAAAAAAAATCTAATCAAATAACCAGTGATATGGACTTCAGCAAGATAACATCTAGTGCAGTCAAATATTTCCAATACAGTATTCGACTATATATTCCAAGTTCTATTACGAGAACCATGATTCGAATATTTTTAACGAGTATCAAAGTAATCGGATGGGGGAAAGGGATTGACATTAGCAATGGAGTTCGACATCGTGAACAATAGCACGGCCCACCTATGGAAAGTGGTAACCGTCGCCTATCAGGTCGACCTCCACGTGGTTCCCCTGAGGACTCAGGTGTTATTCCTCTGTAAACCATCGTGAACACAGTTCTTGTTGAATTCGTCACGATGAGCTAACTGACCTGCTTCATCTTCATCTATCATCCCTCACTGGTGCCCCGCCGGTGTATACCAATAGCGCGGGTGGGGTTACCATTCCATTATCATCCATTAAAAAAAAAAAGTAATCGGATACAAAAAGCTACCCGCATATTTATTTATTTTAGCCCAATGTAACTTTCAAATTCCATGGATGTTTCTCATATGGCGACTCCGTGTATACAAGAGTAGTGTAAGGCAATCCATGTTAGGAAGTCACTGTATATCTACAAGTGGAGTAAGATCGGACTTTGTGACGAAATACGAAGGAGATCTACAGTAGACGATAGATGGATTGTAATTATGATGATGATCAGGAAAACGGTGATTTAACCCGATGTGCCAGTAAGCTGTGCCATCAAACCCTGCTCGCTTCAAATTTTTGGAATACTACATTAAGTTAATATTGTAGGAATTAATGGATGTACGTAGGTATAAATTGTCTACAATCAGTCGAGGTTTTTTTTAAGAGACTACAGCATGGGGTTCTTCAGAAAAAGAAGAAGAAGAGATTTCTTCTGGCTCGGCAACGTGCACGTTAAGCTTTTGGTATTGCAGACGGTAAAGGATACGGTAACTGATTACCATCATCCGTATGCCTGTTTGCCATCTCAGTGGTATAAAAAAATAACAGAGCACGCCCCTCCAAACTCTAAAAAATATATTGGCGTAAATATTTACAAAGTTTCGACCAATGAATGTATTCATTGACAGGACCGTTACTGAAGATGTTTCCTTACAAACACAAACAGAGTACCACGTCTGTTTATAGTCACACACATTGAAATAAAAATTTGGAGGGGCGTGCCATGTTAACGTAGGCAAAATATACCGAAGGTGACGTATTTTGATTTTGACGATATGGACCTTATTTTAAAGGAGTCAAGAATCTCCTGTCATCTGAGTCCCCAGGAATGGCAACGCATGGGGTGAATCATGGGCGAAACAGTATACTCTGTTATGTCCATGGTATTGCTCATGTCTATAGGCGACAGTTACCACTTTCCATCAGGTGGGCTGTCAGTTTGTGTGCCATTCTAAGCTGTATAAAAAAAAAAAAACTAAGGGACACAACCCGAAACACCAAACCCGAATATGCATGCACGAGACGAATTGCAAGTGTACGAAGTAGGAAATAAGTAACGATAGATATCTTTGGTAGTCGGGACTCTCTGCCTATCCTGCAAATGATTCGGCGTAAAGATATTACGTCAGATTGTGTAAAATATTTATGGTCACTATTAGCTGACCTGGCGAATCTTATTTTGCCCCTAACGCTACCAGGACCATTTTTTATCCGGACAAGAACTGTCCTCTCTGAAGTCGGAACAAACAATACATTAAAAAAAAAACATAATCAATTAAGCGTTATAGGGGATTAACGTTAACTAAATGCCACGGGATTTTTATATATTAAGATAGGAACCTTGAAAATCAAGTACTGGACAATAGGTGTATGTCAATAAGCAAGGCTAACAAGTGGATCGAGCGCCCTGATTTAAGGCTCACGGTCGGCAAAAACAAAAACACCATTTTTATAGAACATGTAACGGCAAACAATTTTATCAGGGGAAAAGGGATTGTTGGTAATGGAGACATAGGAGCCCATTGCTAGCAATATACCCAACCAGTTCGACCTCCTCGCGGTCTCCCCTGGAAACTATCATGGTTAATTCCTGATGAATTCATCATGATGAGCTAACTGGCCCGTTTTCATTCTCATCTATCACCCTTCACTGGTGCTCCGCCAGCGTATCCCGTTAACGCAGGCGGGGTTATCATACCATTTTCACCCATGAAAAAAAACAATGTGACAGCTGATATAAAGTGGTAAACCTCATCTGTACGCAAACAGCATCTATGTAGGTACCATTATTTTCAATTCTAATAATCTTTGAGTAATGCTTGATACGTCGTCATGTATAATGCCTGAATAGCTCGTTTGAACATGTATAATGTGGAATATTCAAAAACATTTTGAGGGAAAACCCAAAAGAGCTGAGCTAACAAATAATTATCCAAATTACAAATGTTTTCTTTTTATTTTGTCTCGTCCGAGAATTGTGCTCGAAATATATATTTATTTATTTATTATTTTTACCATATTTTTCCCCTAATACCACCACACCACGGACATCGTATAAAATTAAACAAATAAATTCTCATATTGTCAAAAGGGACTTTAACTTGTGTTTAAAAACAAACCATGAACAACTATGGCGTGAATTTACTGGGTACAGAGGAATAACACCTGAGTCCTCAGGAATGGCAACGCATGGGGGGTATCATGGGCGAAACAGTATATGGTACTGCTCATGTCTATAGGCAACGGTTACCACTTTCCATCAGGTGGGCCATCAGCGTGTTTGCCATTTTAAGTTGTATAAAAAAAAACTAAGGAACACAACCCGAAACACCAAACCCGAATAGGCGCAACCGAGAATCGAACTCAAAAACCAACCTTAAACGAAACCAATAAATAGAATAGATCAGATACACGAAAATAGAATGGTTTGTTTACGACTACAATTAATCAACCATATCTTATTCAAGTGGCGCCCAACGTGGGACTTCCACTAACTGTTTTGATCCTAGGCGCTAATGTCAAATATAACTGACATTTATAGAGAAATTAACATAATTGTACTCACCAGTGTCTAAACAGATGCCCATATTCCATGAAGATACAAATTATATACAAATCTCTTCGGCGGCAAAGTGGACACTGTCTTTAAAATATTACAACGCTATATTTCAGATTGGCACTTATTGAAAACATAACATATCCAAAACACGCGTCCAGTTGTCTACCGGCCAGCAATCACACGCTGTCGCAATTAATAGTTTATCGATTGAAGGACACGCGACCTTCGTCAACAGATTTCAAAACAAACTAAACAAAACTCGTTGTATACAAATTAAATTATCTCATCTTATTTTTGTTTTAACTAATCAATTTATTTTTAATTATTCGAAAGTTGTGTCTTCGCGATAGCATTTCTGCTAGCGGTCTCGACCTAAATGGCATCGCGGGCCGACCGCCTCCCTTCACGTTCAACACGCAACTGAAACTTATATCAGCGCTTCGGAACTTTACATATCAAAACACAGTCCGTCCCGCTCGCGTGTAACGAATACAAAACAAAAGATAGAGACGGAAAATCAATTGAATAATTAACGCGACGTCCCCCTGAATGAAACGGCTACGTATGTAATTATCGTTCAAAATGCAAGGTTTCTTGCAAGAAATGCCTACGAATGACTGATGGGATATTTGCTCACAATAAAAACTTGTGCTTTTCTATGGCACCACCATTAGGGTCAGGACAATTTTTCAGTTGGACAGCTGTAGGTCGGATATTTTATTCATGTGCGTTACACTTACTGTAATTGATACGTTTAAAACTTACAAGACAAGGTTCTTAGAAATATAATGACACACAAATTATTTGTTCATACCAATTATTGAATACATATTTAGGTGACCAGCACGATTCTAGTTATGCGTTATGGGTATATCATTATCTCATTAAAACTTAACATTTAATTGATTCTTGACACATAGTTCAATGATTCATAACTGGAATATTCGGACAAAATCATCAGGAACTGTATGAAATCCGGTTCGAAGGACCATCTAAGAAAAAACATATTTTTCTTCATTTTTATTATTTATATAAAAAAAAACAAATTTCACTAACTGATCGGCTATAAGCGGATATTCTAAATAATATTAATATATGATGTACAATTTTCGGGTTAATTTATTGCAATGTATTTAAGTACATAAATTGTACGTTTAACTAGTGACATTATGTACTATATAATTTAAATAATAAAAAAAAAAACAATAATTTAAGTATCGACGATAAATTTATAAAAGATTCTAAGCTCGAGGTCATTTGAACATGTCACTTGAAATTAAGTAAGTACATAATATTACTTTTATATTACCTTATTATAAGTTAACATTTTCACTAATTTACAAATGCATCTTTTTATTACTATTTCAACGAGTAAATTTATTAACTTTATAAAAAAAAAATACCTACGACTAAAATCTTTAACATAAAGAAAATTAAGTATACTTTTTTATTACAACTAGTTTATTACATTATTTAGTTTCAAGTCAACTAAAGTTACACGGAAGTAACATAACAAAGTTGGCCCATAACTGAATAAAACATTGTCTATGACTGGGTCATAACCTGTTATCGTATATATACATTTATACAAATTTCTTGAAGCTTATATACATATAAAGATTTTATTAGTACCTAAAAATTGGAAGAACGTCACGTTTCTTAACACTACATATACATATTTATGTCACTACATTTTTATTGTATAATTGATATAGTTTAAATTCTACTATATTTAACTTACCCATAGCTATCGTTTCTCAATCTGTGGGCACGATTTGTAAACGAGTCAGGGCGTCAAATTCAATATTAAAAGAGGTAACGTATCCAGTAAAAAAGATTTGTATGGAAAATATCGACAAAAGTTTTTCATTGAAAAAAAAAACAAGTGTCAGAAAATTTGGTAAATTTTACACATTTAAATTAATAATTACAAAATAAATAATATATAATGACATTTAATTTTCTATATCTTTGTTTTCAATTCATAGCTTATCATTACAAATAAGCAATGTTTCGGTAATAACAGACATATTATATATTGCAGGGGGTAATAAATTTTTTTAACTCTTTGAGTTTTTAGTGGCAACACTTGAAGATTGAGAAACGATAGCATAGATTAAAAAAATATATAGAAATAAATTGGATACTTTATGTCAATTAAACACAATTTGGACCTTTCCACTAGTATTTAACGGAACCGGTATACAAATAAATTTTTGGGACAATTAAACAAATCAGCAATACTAAAAATATGTCCGTTACATTTAAATACAATAAATTTATTATTTAAACTAACATTTGATGCTACCCCATAACGGATTACAGTCGTGAACATATTTAATTATTTTGTTTATTTACTCTATTTGTCTTTTATATGGAAGAAATATTATACTATAACCATACCAGTATTGGCCAAATTGATATCTAAATATGCATATTACCAGATCTTACCAATTTAAAAAAATTATAAAAAAAAAAAACTAAGTAGATAAAAACTTGATTTACAAATACACAGATATTTGTAAATATAGAAATACGTAATAAGCGATGAGCCAATTGAAATCCATTATTGAATTTACATGTTTCCGATTGGTCGGTTATCACGCGATAGTCGTTACGGAAAGATTTTCTGTCCTTTTCTAACCCAATACACTATCCGCAGTGTTGTCATCAAACAATTAGGCGTAGTACATGAATATTTTGGATCATAATAAGCAGAATGCCGACAAATTACGAAATGATTTTCATTTTATATCATTTGAAGTGTTTATGTGTTTATAGTGCGTGACGGGAACGTTTTATTTTATAGATTAAATAAGCAAGTATCTGCCGTACACGCAAATCAATTTAGACTTTGAAGCTGTCCGTTTACTGTGGAGACTTCAAATGAGACGTTGTAAATTGAATAATTTAATACGTAAATATAATCATAACATTCCGCTTATGTCTCTTCCTATAAAGCTCTAGAATATTACGACGCCGGCCAGGCGGTTTGGCATACAGGGTTTCATCAGTTTTTCTTGTTTTGATGCCAATACATGGTTCTTTTATTTAATGGGTTTTTAAGACATTTTGAGAATGCAAAAGGGCCACACATGATATAATATATACATCTTAACTTCTTTTTTTTCTCACTTTCCCTTTAATCTTGCTGTTTACTCTGTTTAGAGTCATAGATTGTCGTTTGCTCTTCTAATACAGTTAATTGTCTGATATTGTAACATTTTTTTGTATTTATTACATGTATATATTTATTTATTTAACATATTATCTACCTACACTTATTGGTGCATATTTTTTTCTTTATTTAGGACGAAATCTTAACAGAGTTCATAGATAATGCAAGCATAACCGACCATAAACTATATATTTTCTTAAAGCCATTCATTAAATCAAATATGCATCTAAAAGATATGTTTTGTGAACGCATAGTCTGCTTTATCATTCTTATATAATTAAAAAAAAAAATGTTATTGTATTAGTTACATACATACAATTAAAAATAAAGTTTATATTTTATAAAAATGCTGGGGGTTCTTTATTTAGACCATTTAATTAAATCATTCCCGGGTTGAATCCCATTTTGTCCTTATTGATTAAAAAAACCGGTATTTTTTTATGTTTCATAACCTGACCAACAGGTTGATTTGTTCTTTTGATTCTTTAAATAATAAATATTAAAATAAATTGTCGTATCAAAATACTTATAACCCGACAGATTTTCGAAACTTTTTAAACAGTTTTTGTTCTCCATTTTTATGTTCTTCTAACGTAACAAGCCACAAGAATGTCGACACATTTACGCGCGTTTATTTAGCAGTTACTCATATATGCTCCATTTTAATTTTCTATTATGAGACGCCACAATACTCCCAATACATTTTCGCGTATTTTATCATTAGTTTACAAACGCCATAGTTATACTACATTGATGTGATAAGACAGAAAAATTACAATACATTTTTACACATTTTTTTTTTACAATTTATGGGCGCCATATTTATTTTCTGTTGAAGTGACAAGTCACAAAAATGATAATGCGTGACGTCAGATATTCTTTAATTTATGAGCGTCATGTCATAGTTTCATAAATTCTTCATAAAATCCTAAATATTTTTCGTTCATGTACTGTGAATCGTTTATGTACTGTGAATTAATTTAAAATGTCGGCATATTGTCTATAGCACACTCGCAATTAGTATCACAAACACATTAATAAAAAAAAAAAAAAAAACAACAATAAAAAAAAATCATTAAGATTGATTAATAAATGCGATACATTTACTAAAGCTGCTTAAAACGACCTTATTAATACAACGAATTATACGAAAGTTATAAAAAAATAATTATTGCAAAAAAAAAAGCATAAAAAATATAACCAAGCTGTAATAAGCGAAGGATGGATTTAAAAATATCACAATGTGTTAAAATAAAAGAAAAATAAATAAAAAAGATTATGCTGATACGCTTTCGGGGAAAAGCGGTATAGGGCTAAATCATATTTATTGGGATCCAGTTAGTCTAAGAGCCAATGACAGAAAATATCACAAAATGCCGTTAGCAACAAAACTTGAAGGCGTCTGAGATTTTACCAACCATCTACATCTAAGGAGTATTGTATGATATTTTTTGTATTTATGATAAATTTACTATCTTTAAATAATTTTAACGGAAAGCACAACAAAGAGTATCTATATATCTATGTTACAAAAAGTAATGGTTATTTAAAAAAAAACGCGTTCTAAATTTAAAATTTCACTGCGTTTTGAAGCGTCAAAAAACATATTAACATCCTTACATGGCTCAATAATTATTAATGAATCAAAATGTACAGATATTTAAAATAAATTTGATAAATAAAAAAATTAGCAAATAGTTTCTAATAAAAAGAAAAAAAAAACGAATACCTGATGAAAAGTTATATCCGTTCCCTATAGATAAAACAATGTACATGAAAAGCACATGACATTTCTTCATACGTTGCTATTCTTGAGAACTATAACAACCAATTTACATCTTATTTTGTTAGTAATTATTTTTTTTTTTTTATTTGAATTTGCATTCATATGTGAAATACCAAATACATGTTTTTCTATTTCTATTGTAATATAAGAACACACGGATCAATTTACGAGTACTATAGTATAGTTTTTTTTTTTAAATCAACAGCTGAGTTTCCTGCCTGTTCTTCTTGGCTGAAATTGCGTCCCGTATGGGCGGTAATGAATATAAATTACTATTATAAAAATTCTTAAATCTAAGTTTACTTGAATTAAAATATATATTTATTTATTAAACTTTAACACACCTAGATAGTGTAAATGGCGGACTTAAACACCATATGGCGTTATCTACCAATCGACTGTAGACAGGAATAACAGGAAATATAATTGACGGTACAACGTAATGAACAATATTAAATTAAAATAGTAATATGTATTTTTTCTTTCTTTCTTTCTTTAGTAAAAAATGCTCGACTACTTTCGGGCTTTGTTTTAATTATGTCAGGCTCCCGTGCGCATTACTTTTGCTTACGATTAAGGGTCCGGGGTGGTTTCAAAACTAGTCGAGCATTCTCGTCTAAAATACACATAAGTTAATCTGTGTATTCTTACATTAAAATATAATACATAAAAATGTTAAATCTCTCATAAACCTGTTTTAGTTATTGAAGTGTTTTTATTTTTTTTTTTGCACAAATTCTTAATTTGAAAGAAAGTAACAAAACACTCCAATAGCTAAAATAGTTTTATACGAGGTTTTAGCTTTTATGAATAAGGTTTAAGGACGATTTTTGTATAACGCTTTCATGCAATAATCTAGCTTCCTTTCGAAGTCTAGTCTTCAATATTTTACCTAACCAATATTAGACTTTAATGCTATTATATTATAGTTCGTAATAAAGATTTTTTTTTTTAATATTGTATTATAGGTCACAGATTCTTCAATTAACAGATATAATTAAGCCATAACTCGACTTATTACAATCATTTCTAATAGTCACGTGATTAGAAAATAACATAACGCTAGAATATAGAATAATATCATATGATTTTAAAGCCATAATAACCTGATATCCTATATCACTTAAGTTCTAAATATTTCTCTAACAATGGATTAAAGCTTGAAACATAATTTTTCGTACTTGCAACATAGCATGGTGTAATGGAAAAATCAAAACTAAGTTTACCAGAGGGAGACTTTGTACAAAAGTCGATTTGACAGAATGGGAATGGGACAGAGGTACCCAAGCGGTACCTCTGTCCCATTCGTGTTTCAACCGTGAAGCAGTTGTGTTTGCATGGCTGTGTTTCGGTTTGAAGGGTGGGATATGGTATGAATTTACAGAGTACAGAGGAATAACACCTGAGTCCTCAGGAATGGCAACGCATGGGGGGTATCATGGGCGAAACAGTATACTCTGTTATGTCCATGGTACTGCTCATGTCTATAGGCGACGGCTACCCCTTTTACATCAGGTGGGCCGTCAGCCTGTTTGCCATTCTAAGTTGTATAAAAAAAAAAAAAATTAAAAATATTACAAAAACTTAAATAGAAAGTAAGGATATATTACCCAATATATAGCCATATCTATATATCTTAGTTACAATATCTATATACTGGTCCAATAACGAATATATTAAAAATCTATTATCCAAAAAACAATATCGGATAAAAGACTTTTAACATATTCAAAAATAGATATCCGACTAATATGGGCAATATGGATGAGGACATTTTTTGCTATAAATGTCCCAAGAAACGCAATATGTAGATAATGGCACTGAGCAGAAACGTATTTAGTAGGGTGAAATTACTCTAAAAAATACAAGTGCCATAAAGTTTTACAAAAAGGAAAAAGGAGAAGGTATTTGAGATTTTTCGAGTCTGGTATGTGGATTTCCAAAAAAAGCATATTAGGATTCCTACAGGGACATAACGCGCACGTGTCAACCTGATATTAGGCTACAGAGACTGTTTACCATCAGACGGTCTATGTTTCTTTGCCACCTTTGTTTCTTTGCCACATAAAAAAAAAACCTTGTCTAAAAACAAATACTGGACGTGTCCTTGTCGTAAATTATAATTAGTTTAGAAAGGATCGTTTACGAACGTTCACGCGTTTCGTAAACAATCTCTGTATTGTCATTTTTGACATTTGTTTATGATATCGATCGTCTCACGCTTTGCTTTTGTGTTGAGTCATTCTTTGAAAAATAAAGTATTCACATTAAGTACTCGTCTTTAAATATTAAATTGAAATTCAAGTGGGGGACTCAAGAAAATACGTAACAGTCCTCATCTATGATAGATTGAATGTAATAATTCACAAATTATTTAAATAAATTTTTTTCCATGACACCATGCTAAGAAATTGTTAAATAGTAAATTTACAATTACAATTTACAATTGTTTCAAATGATATTTTACTATACGAAATAAATTAAAAGCCAGTAATAACATTACAGAGCTGTCTGAAATATCATTATTACGATAATACAATTAGAATTTAAAACTATTAGTGCCAACAGGAACTACATCTATTTAGTCCATTTTTAGTGTAAACTAAAGCAAATATAAACAGATTATCTACTAATATAGCAATAATAAATGATACAATATATATTTAACGGTATATATGTATTTAACGGTATTACGAGTATAAATATTGAATTGAAAATTTTAACTGATAACTCGATTACAAAGATTGATACCGAGTTACAATCGATTATAATTTGAAACGCCCAGATGACATGATACAGATTCGAAATCAAATAAATCGAGTCACTGTCGAAATAGTTGGTTTTGTTAGTGTTGTTTAATAATCGATTATCAATTGGTAGTGTTGCCTAATAATCGACTATCAATTAATCGACATTGTTCATCCAAAATAAACTAATTATCACCATTGTCATGTATTGACGTGGACATTAACTCAGAAGGAAATGGATAAACTTAGAGCCTTTGAAATGTGGTGCTGGAGAAGGATGGAGAAAATTAGCTAGAGGGATCGAATTAGCAATGAGGAGGTCCTGCTTAGGGTTAAGGATAAAAGACAAATTATTAGAACTATTGAGGACAGAAGGGGAAAAATGTTGGGACACTTGATACGACATGACGAATTTATTAACATTTTAATAGAAGGTAAGATAGAAGGAAAGAGGGGAAGAGGGAAACTGAGACATAGTTACATCAGGCAGATCAAGGAAGTAGTTGGTGTCGTGTCGTATCAAGAGGTGAAGAGACTCGCTGAAAATCGTAGTGACTGGCAAGAGCTCCACCGACAAGAGCGCAGCTCTTAAATAGGATAGATAGATAGATTCAATATTATTCGTATCGATTAATCGATTATATTAAATTATCGATTGTCAGATTTTCTATGGTTCTAATCGAATTATTGATTAATAATTGATACCAAACAATTATTAGGCAACACTAGTTAGAAGTTTAGTAAGATTTTTAAATGTAATGTTTTAAATTCCCAAATGATGGGTGTATTATTATGTTTTTAAACGTAAAACCATAAAATACTCATATCTATATACCTATCATATCAGTCATACATAAAACAACTTCCTAATGGAATGATTAGAGTATAAAAGTCCAACAAAGGCTACGACAGCACGTCCAACAACATTTTAACGACAGAAAATAAACCATAGTACCTGGTAACACAGTCTCATTTAGGCCGAATCTTTTCATAGAAATATGTTTGTGCAACTCCGTTATTCTCTCTCGACAGCAATTTCTTTTTGACAAACTTAAAGTGCTCTAATGCGAACTCGTAAAGTTCATTTTCCATCTTCCACACTGTAGACTCTTGTATTTTGTCTATGGTAGCTTGGCTCGGCTCTATCTTCGAGCTGGTCTGCCTGAGATGGGACTTGTTGCTGTTCAGGTAGTGCTCGGTGGCTCCTTTGAAGAGGCGTGGCAATGTGGATTCCAGTACTGTGATGAAATCCAGCATCTCCTCCGTAACACCAACCAGCAGGTAATGGTCGACTAGATTTCGTTTCGCTTGCTCTAGTGCCCAGAGGCTTCCAGGTTTCCTGTAACAATAGATAATTGTATAAACTTGTAGATAATTTTTCCTTTGTGGTTCTCTTTTTTTTTTATTATAGCACGACATGTGACCAAACCACCAGAGGGAGACTGCCTGATGTATAAAAAAAAAATCCGGACAATATAGTCAAATGCAACCATTTGAAAAGAGAATACCTATGTCCCATTCGTGTTTCAACCTTTTGCACGTTGTGTTTGCACAGCTGTTTCGGTTATACTATGAAGGGTTGTTTTGAGAGAGGCCATTCCAATTTACAGTTTACAGAGGAATAACATCGAAGAAATCCTCAGAAATGGCAACGCATGAGAACTTTGTCATATTTTCTCTCTCTCTCCATATATTTTAAACTACTGTTATTTCCATGGTACTAACTCATGTCTATAGGCGATGGTTACCACTTTCCATCAGGTGGGCCGTCAGCTTGTTTGCCATTCTAAGTTGTATATAAAATCCGAAACGAGGATATCTGGACGATATAGTCATATGCAGCCATTTGAAAAGAGAATAGTTTACTGGTCAATGGCTCGGAACCGCATTATAAAAAAGGTTCTCTGAATGGCTTTTGCACAGCTAAGTTTGAAGGGTCCCCCCAGGTTATACTATGACGAGGAAATGCTTGTCTCGAGAGAGGATGCATTCTACATTACTTTTACGTAAGGTTGAGCAGTGGAAGATAATCCCTTTAAAGATGAGTCCACCTGAGAACTTTGGCATATTTTCTCTCTCTTTCTCTCTCTTCATATTATAAACTATTTTTTTTTCTTACCTCTGTTGTACTAACAGGATTCACTTACATGTATTTTAGTCGAGAACTAATAGAAGATATATAGAGAATAAGCAAGCATGATACATACCAGCACTGTGCGGAATGTCCACAGAAAAATGGTACTTGCAACCACATATTCGTGGGATCGCAGTCTGGCTGGCTTCTCTCTACACACTCATCGAATGTCTGCAAGGAAGATAGATAGATTATTCTTTATTGTTTCTTTCAAAAGATTACAGCAGTAAACTTTCGGGAATTCCTGGGGGGAAAGGGATTGTTAGTAATGGGGTCTAACCACCCCATTACTAACAAACCCTTCCCCCCGCCTTGTCTTACTCATCATCATATCAGCCGTTGACTGTCCACTGCTGAACATAAGCCTCCCCCCCAGATTGCATCATCATTCCATTACACATCATCATTACTAATCAACCTTCACGCGGTTTCCCCAGAAACCATTGGGGGGAAAGGGATTGTTCGTAATGGAGACCGAGAATCCCATTGTTAGCAATATACCCAACCAGGTCGACCTCCTCACGGTTCCCCCTGGAAACTATCATGGTTAATTGCTGATGAATTCATCATGATAGGCTAACTGGCCTGTTTTCATTCTCATCTATCACCCTTCACTGGTGCCCCGCCAGTTTATCCCGTTAGCGCAGGAGGGGTTACCATTCCATTGTCACCCATCCCCAGAAACCATCGTGACTAATTTATCGTTGAAGGCAAGTTTGTTAATTTGCCTTTTCATCCTCACTGGTGCTCCATCAGTGTATACCGATACCAAGCGGGGTAATCATTCTATTGTTATTTATTAAAAAAAAAAAACTAAGACAAGACGAATTTGCACAAGTGGCTCATATCTAGGCACTGTTCAAATTAATTACTCCATTCATAACTGTTTCTTTTACAATACACGCTCATAAAAACATTTGTTCACAGAAAAATTATTGCTTAAAGGAAATTCAACATAATAACATAGGGACAGAGGTTCAATTTCAAATATCAAACATTTGTTAGATGCATTTCTTACATACATAGCACAAAATATACAGGTGTTTACATAAAAGTGCGTATTTTGTGCGTTGCTAGATTGTAAGGTAAAATAATAATATCAAATGTGGCGATTAAATGAAATAATCATTCATAGATTATATAGTATATGTAATACTATATAATCTATGACAATAATATGACTGTTGTAATTTTATATTTAAACATTTAGCTTAAAATAATTTTATCTGAAACAGATAAGTAAGAAAAAACAACAATATATATTTTTTTATTTTATAATTTTCAGCCACATTTCAAACAAATAAAATTACAGTAAGTAATAAAGTAAGGGTTTTTTAATGGATGATAATGGAATGGTTTATATGATAGATGAGTATGAAAGCAGGTCAGTTAGCTCATCGTGACGCGCATCATGTCAGATGGTTTCCAAGGGGACCACGTGGAGGTAATTTTATTGGTATACGCTGATGGGGCACCAGTAATAAATGATAGGTGAAAAAGTAGATCAGTTAGCCTATCGTGATATATATATATATATATATATATTAGTTTTATAATAATCCCTTTCCCTCAAAAAGTTGACCTGGCAAATATTGCTAAATTATTACTAACAATCCATCTCCACCCCACCTCCTACCCATTGTATACCGTTGACATAAGCAGGAGCATCATTACATCTTCGTCTATTAAAAAAAAAAAAACTAATACTGTTTCTATAGAAACTTACCATCTTATCTCCATGTTTTTTTCTCACCAAATGTGGTCTAAAATTGTCTCCATTTCTTAAAAAGTAGTAATAGGAGACCAATCTGTCCAGTGGTTTTCTGATTAAATTAACAAATATTGGCTTAGAGGATGTTCCTAACCTGAAAATGTAAACAAAAACAACACAGTTACAAATTTTGTACTCAAAACAATAAAACTTATATATAAATCACTAGTATATAGCTTTTCCCGCGTCAAATTAGTACATAAAGTATCCTTATGTACTAAGTTAGAATATAAGCTATCCACGTACCAAATTTCATTCAAATCTATTCAGTAGTTTATGCGTAAAAGAGTAACAAACATCCATCGATCCATTCATGGTTACAAACTTTAGTATTTGTAATATTATATTAATAGGATTGTTAACATAGAAGGAGAGCGGGGGGAAACGGATTGATAGCAATGGAGTTTGACAGCTTCATTGCTAGCAATATGCCCAGTTAGATCGACCTCCACGTGGTTCCCCCTGGAAACCATCGTGAACAATTCATGTTGAATTCGTCACAATGGGCTAACTGGCCTGCTTCATTCTCACCTATCATCCTTCACTGGTGCCCCGTCGGTGTATACCGATAGCGCGGGTGGGATTACCATTCCATTATCACCCATTAAAAAAAAAAAGAAAAAAAAAACATAGAAGTAGAACTAAATTACTCATTTTTATTACTGTCGAGATAATGCAAATTCTTTTCTTTTCATTCTTGTGTAGTAAATGCTTATGAATATAATTTACATTTACCAGATGGGGATTGTACCAAAGTGTAACTATAATGTAAAATTTGTATGGGTACTCATACTTCTGTCGCATTCATATTTCGTGTAATTTTTTTATACAACCCAGAATGGCAAACAAGCTGACGGCCCACCTGATGAAAAATGGTGTAGACATGAGCAGTGCCACTCATAACAAAGTATACTGTTTCGCCCATGATACTCTCACATTCATGTTTATTCCTCTGTACCCTGTAAATTCACGCTATTTTCAAACCGTGCAAACACAACTGCTTCACGGAAATACGAATGGGACAAAGGTGTCCAAGCAATCGACTTTTGTACAAGGTCTCCCTCTGAGAAGTCACCTCCTCCCTCCTTCCTTTCCCGTGGGTGCTATTAGAGACAACTAATGGATCTTATGATCGAGGTATGGGCAGCAGCGTCCCTCTTAAAATATCACCAAAGGCCTAATTGCTGTTGCCAATTTGTTCTACCAAGTGTGGAAACTACTGGCAAAAAACTCCAGGGAGGCTTATTATTGCGTTCCATCTCATCGCTTATTATGGTGTTCCATCATGATTATAACATTCCATCAGGTATGCAAATGGCTTGTTTACAATTCCAAGTTACATAAAAAGAAGTTAGTTTTAATCCTTCATTATAATACTTTTTTATAATTTTAGTATTATGCAATGTACTGATAACATGTATTTCATTTGCACACATATTAAATTGTTTTGATTATAGCCTTAACAAATTTATTATATGTTCTAATTCCCCTTTCTTTCCAGTAGGTGTTTATTTTATTATTTTTTAATGGGTGATAATGGTATGATAACCACACCTGCATTATCAGTATATACTGGTAGGGCACCAGTGAAAGATGACAGATGAGAATGAAAGCAGGTCAGTTAGGCCATCCTGACGAATTCCACTAGAATAGTGATGGTAGTTGAAACCATGATGGTTTCCAGGGGGAACCATGTGGAGGCCATTACTAACAATCCCTTTCTCCCTTTCCAGTAAGAGGTGACTAAGGAAGGGACAGTAGCATCCCTATTAAAACATCACCAAAGCTTAACTATATAATAAACTGCAGTTGCCAATCTTCTTGCCAAATGTGGCAACTACTGGCAAAGATTCTCAATTATGGCCTATTTTTAGCAGTGGACAGTTAATGGATGATATAATAATAATAATGTGTTCTAATGGCCAAATATTTAGCTTGGCATTAGAAAAGAATATTAAAATGTATTATCTTGAAAAGTTGATTTTTTAAATTAAAACTTAGGACAACTAAAATTAGACTATTATATATCTTAAACATATAATAAATTTTTATTTGTTTATCTCAAATTAATGCTGTACATGATTATATATATTTCCATAAATAACTATCAAAGATTAATAATTCTATTCATCATCATATTAACGTTAACTGTCCATGCTGAATATATTAATAAAAAAAAATATATAAAAAAAATTTTTTGTCTGTAATGACTTAAACTATGTTATGGAAAAAAATACAAAAATTTTATGGCTATAATAATTTTGACCCACAATAAGAGGATCGGGCTATCATATTTAAACTCATAAACTACTAAACAAAAGGCTAATTATAAACAATTATTCTTCATAATAAACTCCTAAACTACTAAACTAGTATACTTTTCATCATAAAATCAATATGAGCAGAGCAGTGATAATATATATATATGTGTCTGTTACATCAAAACCACGGAACTGATTTCCTATTGTTTTATGTTTTACATTCTGTGTGGCATAGTCTTTATGTTTTCCTACTGATAAAAGTGTGGTGAAAGAGAACTACAATATCTAGCATTTTAATTATAAACCTGTTTCTCTTAGGATATTAACATATTTATAAGAGAATGGAATTACACCTTTTATATTTTTATACTGATTTTCTATTATCTTATGTAACATAATTTATAAGAGAATGGAATTAATGTAATATTTTAAGTAAACTATTATAAATATACTTATATTAAATTAAATATAAGTGCAGACAGTTAATTTAATAAAAAATTCTGATTTTTTACCTTTCAAAATTAAGGAATGCCATGTGACCATGGTACAATGCTGGCTTCACATCTTGCCACCGCGTCACATTCTGCGCGAATTTATACTGATTGTTCAGTGACATCACGTGCATATTAGCAGTGATATTGATGTGCAGCACTTTAAAATGATTTTTCTTGCACAAGTCATAAGCTATGCCGACGAAACTGGTCGAGCCTGTCTTCGGTACTCTATTGTATATGACCACCAAATCATCGTCACCTTTTGCCAATGATTTCGGGAAAAACTGACGAGACTCCGAGTGTGTTTGAGCGAGTCTGTATTCTGTAAGTGGAACGAAAAATTTACTTATAAAAAGTTTACTAAGGTGTAAATGTGAGTGAATATTATTCCTCTATATTTACCTAGCTTTCGGTAATTGTCCTCTAAACGAGCTATTTCCGATTGAAAGTACAAAATTATAATTACAATAACACAGAGACCCGAAAACATCCATAGTTTGTGTACGTTCAACATATTAAACGCAATGGGTATGCTCTATTTTACGCTTAAACGAGCACTGACACAATTAATATTCATTATACTAGAAATAAACATAAGCCCAGAGGCTCAGTCTGTTTGTAACTCCTACAGGAGATAAATAAAAATATCACAAACACCGAATATCACAACTTCGAGTACCGTTGAGATACCTAAAATTGACATTTGATTTGACAAGGTAACAACATAGTACTGACATTGACGTTAACACCTTGATTGACTTGACTGACAAAACATTTGATTGTAAAACTTTCTTCCGTCCGCCGCCACTTTTAAATCTATCTATGATTAAAAGTAATTAAATTGTTTAAAAAAATCTACTTTAATTGTGACATTTTTTTTATATTTTTTTTTTATATTATTATATTATAAAAATATTTTATTTTTAAAAAAATACTTACTTGATTTTGATAAAATTTCTATGGGACCAATCTGTAAGTATATCCATTCAGGTAAAAGAAGAATTTTCTAAATCGATTTACAACTGACAAAGTTAAAGTCGGTTAATTAAAATAAACGGAACGGCCTAGTTTTTGTTATAATACTTAAATTGATGACATTGATTAACAACCAAACTGATGGCTCACCTAATTAAAAGTTGTAACCTTCTTTACAAATATTATAAATGTAAAAAAAGGTTTGTTTGTTCGTTTGATACCTCTAGCGTATTAGCGACTTAGTCAATCACTATAAAATCTAATGTACACGTACTATATGAGAACGAAAAGGATATAGGCTACTTTTAATCTCGGTCAATCAACATCATTCTCATCCATTGTCATTTCAAAACCAAAAGTGTATTTAAAGTAAAAGGGAGGTGTCATGGTCCGAACTCACACCAAACTCCAAGCAGAGTCCACCCCCTGGAAAATAATGTTAAACACGTTAATGTACAAATTTATTATTTTAATTTTTTTTAAACCACAAAGGTGGCTAACAAGCATATAGCCCGTCTGATGATAAACGGTCACTGTAAATTATGGACCTGTTTGCAACACCAGATGTGTCACGTGCGCGTTGCCGACCCTGAAGAAACTAATATAACCTTTTTGAAGAACCCCATATTGTAGTCTCTAGGGAAAACCTCGGCAGGGAGCTCATTCCAAAGCCTTTAAATTTCTCTATAATTTCACTACAATTTCCCACCCTAAGATTCCTCCCTTCGTGGCTCTTTAAACCGAAACAGCAATGGAAGCATAAGTATCTGGCTATTTCATGGTAGAAACACAAGTAAAACAAAGATACCCAAGCATATTTTATTTTTATACACAATGTAAATTGTGTATAAAAAAAAATATAAATATAAAAATAATCAAAAGTAGTTCTGATGATCTATCTAGTTAAGTCATATTTATAGAAAATATTGTTTTCCATATAAATTTAAATTTCGAATTTGTATTTAAAAAAATACAAATAGAAGAAATTAGCCAAGATTACACAATCTCAGAATCTAAAGCAACGAAACAGGCTACTGTGTAATTTATTTCGCAACCATGAATCGATCAACATAGTAAAACATAATAAAGTCAAACTGGAATGAATAAATCTACATGTATTGTATAAACAAACCGTAGTTCCGAATAAATAAATATCAGTTCGCGGGCCGTATAAAATCACATATAAAAAAATCAATGTCCGGCAGGGGACGAGTCTAATCAAATTTTCATGGGTACCTAGTATAGTTAGCACAAAAGTTCACATAACATTACCAGAGTGTAAAAATACTTTAGACTGTAATACTGCGATACATTCTGAGATACCATTCCCTAAACCGACTTATTTGGGGGAGAAGGGATTATTAGTAATGGGGATTAGTAGCTCCATTACTAATAATCCAATCTGCCAATTTGTCAAAAATTGCCAATACACTCTGTCAGGTCGACCTCTACGTGGTCTCCCCTGGAAACCATCGTACTGAATTCCAGGTGTATTCATCACGATAGGCTAACTAACCTGTCTTTTTATTCTCACCTATCATTCCTCATTGGTGTCCCGTTAGCGTATACTGTTAGCGCAGGCGGGGCTACCAGTCCATTATCACCCACCAAACGAAACTTACTTATCTGAAAAATTAAAATTTTAATTTAATATCATAGCAAAATGAGCTAAATTTCGAACATATAAATTTATGCCATTCCATTTTCATCCATTAGAAGGGACTTCAACTTTAACAGTATGATTTTCAGCGAGTCTCCTTCACCTCTTGATACGACACGACACCAATTTTTCCCTTAATCTGCCTGATATAACTGTACTTTGGTCTCCCTCTTTCCCCTTCTTTTTTTACCTTACCTGCTACTATGATGTTTATAAGTTCGTCGTGTTGCATCAAGTGTCCTAATTTTATGCAACAATTTACGTATCTAAAATCAAGTATAGCAGGGTTTCTTAAAATGGGGTTTACGGACCCCTTAGGGGTAGCATGTGTATCAGGGGCCCGTAGTAGTTCAGTTAACTGAAAAACATGAATGAATGAATGAGTATACTTTATTTGCATTATATAATATATGAAATTAGCAAGACAATTTATAAACACATCGATACAATTGTATAAGTACAGTAAGGCGGTCTTATTGCTGAGAGCAATCTTTTCAAGACAACCTTAAGGTAGTGGACTAATTGTTGTACAAGTAGGTATGATAGTGCTGTATAATTAAAAAGCATCTTTTGCAAATTAAAAATATATGAAAATTATATACATATATACATATATACACACATACACATACATACATACATATATACACATACATATACACACACACACACACATACATATACATATCAATCAAACAAAATTATTTATTCTTCTCTCATTGACGCCAAACAGCAGCATCCTTCACAATAAATTAGTAGTAAGTGAAACTACCAATGAAAGTTCATATTTTTTAATATAAAAAAGTCTTATTATTTCTCAATTTTAAAGCCTAAATAAAATGTTTTTTGATAAAGAACTATGGAATTGTTTAAACTGTAAAAGTGGTCCGTGGCTGCAAATAATTAAAAAAAACCCTGAAGTAAATCTAAATAGGTTTCGTATTTTAATACTGACTGTACATACCTACCTCATGTGAAAAGCCTTGTACCAATATGTTTGTAAAGTTCGAATTTATACCTTTATTGATTATTTTACATTACACAAATTGTTGCTCGCAGAATTATCTGCAAGTAATCCGTTTTTTTTTTATTTTTATAGTAAATATGTGTATTAAAGTCTAGTATATATACTTTTTAATGATCGATAATGGAATGGTAACCCCGTCTGCGCTTTCGGTATATATGCTGGTGGGGCATCCGTTAAGGATGATAGATGAGAATGAAACCAGGTCAATTAGGGGGAAAAGGATTGTTAGTAATGGGGTCAAATTGCCTTATTGCTAGCAATATACCATACCAGGACAACCTCCTCGCGGTTCCCCCTGGAAACCATTGCGATTGATGTATTATTAAATTCATCACAATGGGTTAACTGATCTGCTTCATTCTCACCTATTATCCCTTATTGGTGCCCCGCTAGTGTACTCGTATACTGATAGTGCAGGCGGTCTACATTGTCATTCATTAAAAAAAAAACCAGTAGGTCTAACATGAAATGATTTCCGAAATTTCGGGGACGAACGAAATAGAAATTTAAAATTATTAAAAATGTTAAAATATCGTTCCTCTGGACTATTAGGATAGGATTTATGATGAACAAAACGTTAAGCTTCATTTACTGGCTCGATTTCGGTACGAACAAAAACACGAAATTGAGCCCGAAAATTCGGAATTTCATTTCATGGTAGACCACCAGGTCAGTTAGCCAATCATGACGAACTCTACAAGAGTTAACCACGATGCTTTCCAGGAGGAACCGCGTGGAGATCGAGCTGATAGTGGATATTGGCAGAAATGGGGCTATGAAACCTCATTACTGAGGATATCTTTCACCCTTGATGAATATACCAGGGTTTAGTGTACTAACAACAGAGTAGAATAGTCCAGTTATCATAACAGATATGTTATGACGGTAGAATTATAGGGTTAGCAATCATAACACTTTAGTCAGTGCACGAGGACCTCTCATGCGCATCACAGTATATACTGTGATATCTATAGTACTAATGTATTTATCAACCACAAAATACAGCCAAACTTTTCAATTTCAATTTATTTATTGCATTCTACAATATTATTATAAAAGATGTTAGTAATTGATACAGTACATTGTAGACCCTGGTTGGGCATAGCAATTAGCAATGGGATTCTCTCTACATTACTAATAATCCCTTTCCCCCCAAAAAACTATCATGGTTAATTTCTGATGAATTCATCTCTAACTGGCCTGTTTTCATTCTCATCTATCACCCTTCACTGATGTATAATATATTAGCCGCTTGCACTAACGGGTTATATTTTTCATCCTACAAAAAAAAAAAAAAAAAAACTAACAAACCCTTGTGTTTATAACAGTTTACAATGAAGATAAATTAAATCAAAGATTCGTTCATCATTCAAACTACTAAGGCCATATGAATCACATAAAAATATACTTTAACGTATTTATTCGATTTATAATGTTTAATGCCACAATATGTCATTTTTTTATGTTACATAGATAATTCTCAAAACAGACATGTTTCAAGGTGAGTTCTTTAAACTGTAATCTCAGTTTCCAATCGTTTCCCGAGCCACACGGGCGGCTGCGCGCGAAAAATAGCACTGACATTAGTTTTGCCGCCAAAATTGGGTCAACTAGCGCGCTACTTTATGTGTTCGGAAACAAAACAGAAAAATAGCCTAAGTTTTCATAGAATTTCAACTAAAGTTTTCGTAGAACTATGTTTTCTTCTGTTATTATTTTAATAATATTTCTTTATTGTAAAAAGATTTAATTATCAATTTAAACTTTATCATCAATTAGAAGATAAATATTGAATACAAATAGAAAATATGAATATTTTCAGTAAACAGTAAGTGGTTTTTTTTTAATTTTCTTTTTCATTACAAAATACACTCCTCGCAAAAATTAAGGGAACATAAAAATTTTTGAAATTTTTGGGTGATTTTCAACAGGCTGTATTTCAATGAAAAATAATCGTACAGGAAATTTAAAAAAAAGGGTTTTGATCATTCAAAACTCTAAGGCTATAAAAATTTTTGAGCTCACCATAAAAATATAATTTTTTTTCTAAATTTTCTAGGTGTTTTTCACTCGATTAATAATTTTTAATGCCCATTGTATATGTCATTTTATTCAGCTTCAAAAATCGCTTTGGATTATATACGATAATTCTCCGAAAACAATGAAAAGCATGTTTCAATTCAACTCTTTAAACTGTAATCTCAGTTTCTTTATCTGCAAAAATTTTCTTGATTTTTTTCGATTTTTTTTTGATAATGAATTTTTAAAAAACAAAAAAATGCGCGTGAAAAACAAATGAAATTATTGATTTTTGAATGGATTAGGGTCAACTAGCGCGCAAAAACTTGTTCCCTTATTTTTTCGGAAACAAAATTGGTCAGAAAAACCGTTGAACCGATCGCTCCAGTTTTCATTAGAACAATCAACTAAAGTTTTCGTAGAACTATGTTTTCTATCTGTTATTATTTTAATGCCATAACCAAAAAAGGAGAAAAAGTAACTTTTTTCCACTTTTTTATTGTAAAAAATTTAATTATTCTTTAACTCTTGACTTTATCATCAATTAGAAGATAAATAGAAAATATGAATATTTTCAGTAAACAGTAAGTGTTTTATTTTTTATTTTTTTTTCATTACAAAACAATTACATAATTTCATTTACATAAAACATTATGGGTATCATAGTATATTTATGGAATTAATTTTAAAGATTATTTAGGTTATTATTTGTTTGTAATTCGTTTTGCTAATTTATTACACGTCAGTGTGACATTCGAATAAGTGTGTGTATAATTTAATTAAGTATATGCTAGTGATGATTGATGTTAAACTTGGTTTCACAAAATAAGAGAGCACTGATGCCTATAGGGAAAAAATAAAATTATAATGTAAAAATTTGACGTTCATAAGCGGCTAAAATGTCCTACATGAATAAATGATTTTTGAATTTTGAATTTTGAATTTTTTGAATTTTGAATAGCACAGGTGTAAAATCTAGTTTAGGCATACAGGGTCCTCATTTTACAAGGCGCCTGAATGAAATTGCTGTTTAGCGATGAGACCGCCCACCGTTGCATATTTATTTTACATTTGTATAATTATGTTTTGTTAATATTATTCTTTTTGTTTGTGCACATGTTGTTAATCTTTACAACTAGTATAATTTGTAATTTATAAACTCAATAAACGAATATTATTATTGATTGTTAAACGCAGCGTATCTACACAAATAAAAATTAATACACACATATATAAAGGCACAATACAGATCCCAAGTTTGACTCTCAGTTCTCAATTAAATACCTATTTTTAATACCTCATTTAAAAGTAGACCAATAGTGATAGAATTTAAAATAAAGAGGTTCCCAGAAGAATTTTAGTGACCGATATAGCTTGAGGGATAAGATTGATAATATATATATTTCAACAGAGGAAGACTTTGTACAAAAGTCGTTTGCTTGGGCATCTCTGTCCCATTCGTGTTTCTACCGTGAAGCAGTTGTGTTTGCATGGCTGTGTTTCGGTTTGAAGGGTGGGATATGGCAGTGAATTTACAAGGTACAAAGGAATAACACCTGAGTCCTCAGGAATGGCAACGCATGGGGGGTATCATGGGCGAAACAGTATACTCTGTTATGTCCATATCACATATTGTTTGTCATTCTAAGTTGCGTAAAAAAAAAGAATGAAATGGCAAAGGACCTTTACATTCTTTAAGTGTATTAAAGTGTAATAAATAAACAAGATCATATAACTCGAAAACTTAAAAAACAAACAATCGACGGATAGAAAAGATATATGCAAGTGTGATGTTTGACAAATCCCATCAGATTTTAATGGATAACATGGAACGGTAACCTCGCCTGCACTATCGGTATACTCCAGCAAAGAACCAACAAAATAGGTGAAGGTGGAAATTAGTGCATCGTAATGAATTTCTCAATCACGATGATTTTCAAGGAGGACCGTGTGGAAGTCGACCTGATACGGTACATTGCTAGCAATGAGCTGTTACAGGAGGAGAGGCTGCCTTAAAAAAAGGCCTCTCCTCTTACGTAGCTAGAAGTCAATGGTTGCGGATGGTTCAAAATCGTTTATTGAGAAGGGGAAGGGATTGTTAGTAATGCGTACTACTAGTCCCATCGCTAGCAATATAGCCTGTCGGGTCGACCTACACGTGATTCCGTTGCATTCCTGGTGCATTCATCAGAATGACTTGCCTTTTTATCACATCTATCATCATTCACTAGTGCCTCGCCAGCGTATACTGTTAGTGCAGGTGGGATTACCATTCCATGATAATATTTAGACGAACTTATCACAATTAATACCTAAATAAAAGTAGGTATGTACTTCACTACTATATGGTATAGGTCATGCATCATAGATTTAGGACAGTATCACGATCATGCATAGACAAAATAGAGTTGATTAACGTTGTAAACGTACAATGCAAAATGTTTATTAACCCCCCTTCCTGTTGCTGTGATGTTAATTCGGGTCGCTTTGCACGTGCACAACACAATTGCGCGCGACACCCAGATCGTTACCTTAGTGTTCCAATAATAGAATACTTCATTCATACAAACAACGAAAGTTTTATCATATCTTAACACGTAGCTCCATTTAATTTATGCCTATAACATGGCCTAGTTCTTTTTTTGAATTAGATTGTTCTATTTTGAAATGTTTTTAGTTTAGATATAGATATGAGATATTCACTATATAGGCATTTTGTGTTGTGGCGCACGTACCACTTTTTTTTTTATTTCCAACGTAATGGAAGCAATATTTTTTGTAAAACATTTTTATTTATAATAATAATAATAATAATTTATTTATTTGCTAGAAATGTGGTAATAATAATGGTCTTAAATATAATAGATTTTTGTACACATTTCGCCTTATCTAAAGGCATGCAAATTTAGTATTATAATTTAGTGGCTTACGTATATTAATAGCCTAGTAGGATCAATCCATAAATATTGGCAGCCGCAAATACTAGTGGTAGCAGACTTTGACAAATACAAACTAAACAAAAACAAATACATAACAAGTCAATAATATAACAAATGCCATACAATACAAGTTAATTACACATTTACATACATTCATTTAATTTTTTAAAAAGTCAGTTATTAAATAAAAATTGCATTCCAGTAACCATTTTTTTAACCGTAATTTAAAGTGACTTACTGGTAGTTCTCTTATTGATTTTGGTATTTTATTATATATTTTAATAGTCATTATATCACAGTTTTGTTGATACAGTGTGGTTCTGCAGATGGGCAGTTTCAACATTGTGGGATCTCTTGATGTGACTTCATTCATATTTGAAAGTTTTGTAAAAAGTTGTGGGTTTTGTTTAACAAATATTCCTACTTCATAAATATACATGGATGTAAGTGTTAATATTTTTAGTTTTTTAAATAATGGTCTACATGTATCTGTTGGTTTTACACCACAGATAGCTCTTACGCATTTTTTCTGTGCTATAAAGACCTTTTTCGACATTATAGAATTTCCCCAAAGCAGAAGCCCATATCTTAAAATTGAACCCACATAACCATGATACGCTATCAGTGCGGTTTGTTCATTGGCCTCTCTTTTTAATCGCCTAAGAGCATATACAAAACTATTTAAACGTTTCCTTACGATTAGTATGAGCTTTCCAGTCTTTTTATCCAAGGTAAATCCTAAAAATTTAATTTCATTACATTCAGTCACTTTTTCATTTTTACATTTTATAACAATATTTTTTGGTGGCATGGAATAATTAGAAAATTGCAAAAATTTGGTCTTAGATATGTTAACATTTAAGTCATTATCCTGAAGCCAAGATACTATACTTTTCACTGTGTTACTGTGTTACTGTGTTTCACTGTGTTGTTTATGATTAGACACTGGGCAATTGATATTTAAATTTGAAAACCGTATTCCAATAAATTATTAATTGTTTAAAACATTCCGAAGCGGGGGAGATTTGACCCTTATGGCGTAGAAGGTATGGGTGATAATTTTTGAAGTTTTATACAATTCTAGCAGCGATAAAAGTGTGGTTATACATTTTTTAAGTAATAAATATAGTTTGGTGCCTCTCTTGTTCCACGAACACTTAACTATTAAGATATCATTCACACATTGTTGACCACCTTCGTGACGTGAATATTTTGAGTAGGCAATTTAAACTTTAGTTTATACTTCATTATCAGTATTAGACACTAGATTTTACTTGCGCCTTCTACCGCGAGACAGATATGTTTACTGACTGTAATAAAAAATAGCCTACATGTATCCTTCGCCCTCTCATATAGTAGGTACATGTATACTAAATTTTAATATACTCCTTTTCTAGACAATGGATAGTATTATATTATCTGTGACAATGGTGAAAAAAGGTATCTGTGCAGACCATTTTTTTTATACGACTTAGAATGGCAAACAAGCTGACGGCCCACCTGATGGAAAGTGGTAACCGTCGCCTACACACATGAGCAGTACCATGGACATAACAGTACACACACATACTGTTTCGCCCATGATGATGAGAGAATGCTTTTAGCATTAAGTTCGCCATGTACACATATTTGTACTAATGAATAAATAAATAAATAAATAAATACCATTCCATTCCTGAGGACTCAGGTGTTATTCCTCTGTACCCAGTAAATTCACGCCATATCCCACCCTTCAAACCGAAACACAGCCATGCAAACACAACTGCTTCACGATAGAAACACGAATGGGACAGAGGTACCCAAGCAATCGACTTTTGTACAAAGTGTCCATCTGTTTCACTTGAGTCATTCGAAGTTATTCTAAAATGTTACTCAACCTAAGCTATAAACACTTTCGCTTAATTACTGTTCAGAATCCATTGACAATAATAATATTTTTTTTTACTGTAACATCCAAGAACCCCCAAACTTACGGAAATGGAATATGACAAGGGTAGTTAAGACGAAAATAGTATTATACGTATATGAACCGTAGTTACATCGTTTCAAGTCCATCCCATCCCTCCAGTGCTGGGAAATGGGACGTGACGTCACGTCACACTTGATTAGTGACTAGTCAGTTCCATAGCGGAGTTATTTGTCACAGCACTATTTATAGTCTATGGTGATAATTAGAAAGAGAAACATGTATTAAATTTAAAAACAAAAAATTGTAGCTTTATCTGAATTCAAAATTGATGATGGTACATATATTTCTCCGTGTTTTCGCTAATTTGCTAGCTTCTTTTTTAATTGAAAGTTTCGTTTCCAGGATACCGATTGTTATATAATATACCTAATTAAGTGTATTAAGTATTTTATTTTTGTATTAAATTTATTTTTTTGAAATTATTTATTTATTTCTTATTGCAATTCCATAATGTGATTAGTAGATAACATTTCAACTTCAATTATGGACTCTGTTAGGCACAGCAAGTAGAGAAGTTTTTTTTTTTTAAATAGGTATCATATTAAGTAGTTATTAATATTATATTCGGGACTTAGGTTTGCAATCAAGCATACGGCTCGCTTGATGGTAATCGGTCACTATATTCCACGAATGCTTTCACTCGCAACACATGGTTTTTGAGTCACAGTACAAAATTTCACTAGGTATTCACTGACATATTTTTTGTATTATCTTTTATTATTTCATACCAGTATTTACATAAGAACTCAGCAAACATATAAAAGGTGAATGTGGCAGAATTAATAGAATTTATTGATTGGTTTTGACAACGATAATACAACATATTGATATAAATAGGTAAATGAATGGAATTTAGGTAGACAGGTATTTAATAAAAATATTGTGTCCTATTTAGCATAAGCACAATCTCCACTACAAACTAAATTTTAGATGTATGAACTCCAACAAAACACTAATTATTACAAAATTAACTGCATCGGCTTTCATTCCTTTGCCTGTGAATAAACAAAACATATGGCCCACACACGTCCCCTTACTTCATTCAGTCAGTTTCAGTTAGAGCTGAGTCGTCTCTATGGGCACACGTACATTTTTAATAACCAATCACAAGTTACGTTTACGACATCGAGAATTTATAGTAAAAAAAAGTGTAATACATTTTTAAATTTGGAACATAATTTCATAATTCGAGCAATAAAAATTAAAAAAAAATATTCCAAATTAAAGCTAAGAGAATGAAACACAATTCCATAATCAAATAAAAATTAAAAAATGGAAGTCGATCGTATACTTTATATCTTTGGCAGTTTTACGAGAAAAAAGCAAGACAAGAGGAAATCTTTCGATCAATCGTCTATTAGTGCTGGCAATAGTCCGCTGAGATCACCAAGGATTCAACGGCCTCTTAGTCAATGCTTGAACATAGCTCCAAGGACGTCAGCGTATGAAGATGGAAGAAAGGAGACCTCCAAAGAGTGGGAATGCAAGCTGTGCAAGAAAGAGCTAACAGAACCGAGACTGCTAGGGTGTCTTCATAGTTTCTGCACAAGATGTCTTCAAGGTCTACACCAGGAAGGAGAGGCGGAGGTGTGGAGTGAAGTAGATGTAGGTGAGTAAACTAGTTCCATAAGTTTTCTATATTTTTTGTGCAACATACAATGGTAAAGAAACTTAACAAGGCCGTAGAAAATAATAACCGTCGCCTAAAGACATGAATGATGAAAGGATATCATAGAATGTTTATTCTATGATACCCACGATACACCTCATGCATTGCTATTCCTAACGAATACAGTTTTATGTCTTCTTACACTGGATCACTACATAGTATAAATCAAAGTCGCTGTCGCTGTCTGTCCGTCCCTATGTATGCTTAAATCTTTAAAACTACGCAACGGATTTTGAAACGGTTTTTTAATAGATAGAGTGATTCAAGAGGAAGGTTTATATGTATAATACAAGCATAATATTGTAGAGAAACACTGATAAATTTAGAGGTTTCTAATGTGATGTAAATAAACACATTTTTTGCGCTTACATTGCAAATAATTTACATTGCAGATAAATTAAAATAATGTACTACAGTATTATACACCTTAAAAAGGTCAATAAAAAAGTCCACGATGGTATATGTCTATCTCTTAAGGATAACCTATAATTACCATTTTTTATCCTTTACATTTTACGGGGAAAAATGGCTTATTTACGAAGTGATTTTAAGCAATACAGCATTAATTTTTATCCAATTAAGTACCTTAAATACATTGTCCATTTAATATACATCAATATGGCCCTTTACAGCATATAATTTAAATGAATATTTCCGAAGATATTACAGATTTAAAATGCAAGGACATAGCGGTGCGGTATTGCACCCGTGCGAAGCCGGGGCGGGTCGCTTGTATATATATATATATATATATATATATATATATAAACAATTTAAATACAAATTTTCTCGCTTAGAAAAAAATTGTCCGGTGCAGACTTGGTGATTTCATGTAAAAGTTTATATTTTCCAACAACAATCAGCAAGTTAAGGTTCTTTTAATGGGTGATAATGGAATGGTAACCCCACCCGCGCTAACGGTATACACCGGCGGGGCACCAGTGAAGGATGATAGGTGAGAATGAAGCAGGTCAGTTAGCCCATCGTGACGAATTCAACAAGAATTGTTCACGATGGTTTTCAGGGGGAACCACGCGGAGGTCGACCTAATAGGGCAAATTGCTAACAATGGGGCTGTCAAACTCCATTGCTAACAATCCCTTTCCCCCCAGCAAGTTAAGGTTAAACCATGACAAAATTGATACTATAACCAATACGGAAGTAAAACTATCGATAGCATTCAATATTATCAAAATCGATTCAATATTAATGAGGATATCGCGTGACGTACCGTACGTAATATAGATTGTTAGTAATAGCGACTGACCGCCCTATTGTTAGCAATGTACTCTACCAGGTCGCCCTTCATGCGGTGTCCCCTGATTAAATCATCATGGTTAATTCCAAATGAATTCGTCACGACAGGCTCACTGGTCTATTTCATTCTCACCTATCATTCCTCAGTGATGTCCCCTCCAACGTATACCAATACCGCAGGTAGAGTTACAATATCTATATATTGGGGGAAAGGGATTGTTAGTAATGGAGTTTGAGAATCCTATTGCTAGCAATATACAGTTACATACATATATACAGTTGTATAAGTACACACACACACACACACACACAGTTATTGCTGAGAGCAATCTTTATAATCAATAAAACCAATACAAACTAGTTTTAAACATTTATCAAAAACTATTTTATTAAAATATCATTATTAAAAATATCTTTTGATTATAGTTCAGAACCCTCGCAATGAAAATCCCGCTCTCACGTGAGAATATATATATATATATATATATATATATATATATATATATATATATATATATATATATATATATATATATATATTCTATAATGTATAACATTATTTATATTTTCATTAAATATCTACGAGTGCATGCATTTTATAGGAGAAAATTAATTATCTAATAAACTGAGAGGCCAATTAAATACAAATAACAATGACCGACCGCGTCCATTATCAACCCATAAATTTATAGTGCCCTATAAAAATACGTACTGGGCAAACTGATGAGCCTATTAACAAATACTTTGAAAACCATTTAAAATAGACCCCGCGATATTGAGGAATCACATTCAAAAATATCTCTGTATAGGGGACGTTATAAACTGGTTATTAAATTGATGTAAATAAAAGATGGTTTTATGGGTTTGTCCTACTAAACAGGGTCTGGAGTGCATCTGGAGTATGGAAACACTATTAAACTGTTAATATCTCATTAAATAATGTATCACAGTCTAAAGAATTAGGAGGAAGGGATTGTTAGTATAAGAGATGCTAGTCCTTATTGTAATGTACATTCTTAGGTCAATAACTTTTTTTTTATGCAACTTAGAATGGCAAACAACCTGACGGTTCACCTGATGGGAAGTGGTAACCGTCACCTATAGACATGAGCAGTACCATGAATATAACAGAGTATACTATTTCGCGCATGATAACCCCATGTTTTGTCATTCTTGAGGACTCAGGTGTTATTCCTCTGTACCCTGTAAATTCACTGCCATATACCACCCTTTAAACCGAAACACAGCGATGCAAACACAACTGCTTCACGGTTGAAACACGAATAGGACAGAGGTGGCCAAGCAAACGACTTTTGTACAAAGTCTTCCTCTGGTAATCTACCGTCTATTATTAATTTGACAGAAGGACGTGTAGTGTTAGTGAAGGAGGATCTATATTTTTTTTATATTATTTCGTTATTGACCTTTACTTTACCCATTGGCGTAGTAGACTTATTTTCCTTTGGGAGATATAATTTTTGGTATTTTTGCCATATCTAGAGATGTAATTTTATGTACCCATAACGGAAAACTCGCAGCAACAATACGGGGAATGACAGGAATGACAATTCCGCGGTATGTATCGTTAGACTTTTGAAGTCGCGCAAAATAACACTTTTTTATAGAGTAATAAAAAAACAAATACTCTAGTGATAAGCAGATAGAGGTGGGCGGAGGTTGGTTGATTAATAAGATTAAAGAAGCTAGGCCGGCCCGTCGTGACATTGAGGGGCTTCATGGCGGCTCGACAGCGTTGCATGTCACACTGTGATTGTGATCTGTTTCATTTTTATGCAAAATTGCGATAAAATTTTTTTTTATTATTCAACTTAGAATGGCAAACAAGCTGACGGCCCACCTGATGGAAAGTGGTAACCGTCGCCTATAGACATGAGCAGTACCATGGACATAACAGAGTATATTGTTTCGCCCATGATACCCCCATGCATTGCCATTCCTGAGGACTCAGATGTTATTCCTCTGTACCCTGTAAAATCACGCCATATCCCACCCTTCGAACCGAAACACAGCCATGCAAACACAACTGCTTCACGGTAGAAACACGAATGGGACAGAGGTACACAAGCAATCGACTTTTGTACAAAGTCTCCCTCTGGTAAAATGATGATGACGATGATGAGTCCGGTTGAGCAGTTATCGCTCTAAGCTGTTGATTTGAGCTGCAAGCGGATAATAATGAGACGTATTCACACTGAACGATGCGTACTCGCACACCGGAACTTGCTTAATGTGTTTCTATAATTATCCGCCACCCCGCTAGCAACGCGACACATACAAACAAACCGACGATCATATAGTGAAATAACGGTATGTGAATTTAACGTAAACAATCGTTACTTTAACCTTCTTGCCTTAGTGGACTGGAGCGTCTCTTCACATTTAGGAAATTATCAGTTCGATTCTACTTTTTTTTTTTTTTATTTATTTGTGAATAAATTAAACCATTAACTGTTCAATGCCGAATATAGGTTTCTTCCAAAGGGAGTTTTGTCAGTTGTTGTCACGTTTGGCAGGTAGATTGGCAACCGCAGTTAGGCTTTGCTGATGCTTCAAGAGGGATGCTGCTGCCCATTCTTCGACCAATACTGATTTCAAAGCATTAGATGGTATCCTGTAACGGGAATATTCCACTAGTGAAACTAAATATATATTTCAAAAATCGAAATTATCGAAAAATAATAATAATTTTTCAGGTAAATAGTATTAACTGCTATTGCTTCTTCCCTGTTGTGACCACGACGTGGTGAAATCCACGTCGAAACGACGGCAATAAAATAGCAAGTACTATTTACCTGTAAAAACTTTTCCTTGCGTTAAATGTCGATAGTAAATTTAGAATTTGTGTAAAATTTCGCGTTAATTTTAAAATTAACTATCTATCTATCTATCTATTCTATTTAAGAGCTGTGCTCTCGTCAGTGGAGCTCTTGCCCTCACTACGATTTTCAGCGAGTCTCTTCACCTCTTAACACGACACGACACTAACTTCCTTGATCTGCCTGTTGTAACTATGCCTTAGTGGAGAGAAAGGGATTGTTAGTAATGGAGACTGAGAATCCCATTGCTAGCAATATACCCAACCAGGTCGACCTCCTCGCAGTTTCCCCTGGAAACTATCATGGGTAATTCCTGATGAATTCATCATGATGGGCATGTTTCCATTCTCATCTATCACCCTTCACTGGTGCTCCGCCAGCATATCCTGTTAGCGCAGAGGGAACTATGCCTTAGTCTCCCTCTTCCCCTAAAAATTAATATATTTTTTTTAATTAACTAAATAAAACAATATTTGTACACAATTGAATTAAATAATTAGATGTTAACCGACATGTAACATCATTTACATTGTATATTCTAGCTGTAAATATACAAAACGGCTGCCAATAATTTTGCAACGATCAACCCATTCTAATTTCTGGCAAATGGACGTGTTCTATATAAAAACTCAATTGAGCGCCGTGACTCAACACTAAAATGATATGAAACAGAAACGGGCAGTTCAGTTTTCATTCATTACGCGTATGTCATAAGTACTTTATTATACTTTATTATACCAGAGGGAGATTTTGTACAAAAGTCGATTGCTTGGGTACCTCTGTCCCATTCGTGTTTCAACCGTGAAGCAGTTGTGTTTGCCTGTGTTTCGGTTTGATTCGTGTTTCAACCGAATGAATGCAGTTGTGTTTGCATGGTACTGTGTTTCGACGTTTTTCCATCAGAAAGTTGTATAAAAAAAAATACTGTAATTTGAAGCATACGGCCCGCCTGATGGCAAATGGTTACTGCAAACTAAGCTTCAGAAAAAGTTGTCCTTTCACCAGAAGCACATTATTTATAAAACTTGAAATGGCATACAAGATGATGCAACATTCTTTGCATCAACTAAAAATGCAACACAACCATATCCATTACTGTATACTGTGACTATTATTCTATTTTACCAGAGGGAGACTTTGTACAAAAGTCGATTGCTTGGGTACCTCTGTCCCATTCGGGTTTCAACCGTGAAGTAGTTGTGTTTGCATGGCTGTGTTTCGGTTTGTAGGGTGGGATATGGCGTGAATTTACAGGGTACATAGGAATAACACCTGAGTCCTCAGGAACACAGTATACTCTGTTATGTGCATGGTACTGCTCATGTCTATAGGCGACGGTTACCACTTTCAATCAGATGGGCCGTCAGCTTGTTTATTTCTAAGTTGTATAAAAAAAATGAGGGATGATAGATGACGATGAAACGAGGTCAATTAGCCTACTGTAACGTATTTAATAAGAATTAATCCCGATGGTTTCCAAGGGGAACTGTGTGGCGGTTGACCTGATAGGGTATATTGCTAGCCATGGGGATTAACGTCTCCATTATTAACAATCCCTCTTCCCCCCTATTAAATACCAAAGGGTAAATGACAGAGTATAGAACATTATATCTTCCGGTTTTTTTACTATAACTATTTCCGTAATATTTTGGCAATGATTTGGTGTTACAGAATTTCTTTCAAGACTCGACCTTGTATAGCCAATGATTCATTTAGTTATAAATAAATATATGAATGGTGCTTTAGTATTGCTGTTAGTTTATGAATTTGATTATATCACAAATGGTAGATCGTATATAAACATTGGCGTTCTTTTCAGAGGGCCTACCATGAAATATTTTCCGAAATTCCGAAATTTCGGACTCAATTTCGTGTTTTTGTTTATACCAAAATCGGATAAATAAATGGAATTTAACATTTCGTTCGTCATACATCTTATCATAAAAGTCCAAAGAAACAATATTTTAACATTTTAAATATTTCCAAACGGCATGTAAATAAATTTAATAGCAAATTGAAACATCCAATTACTTAATTTATTATTATCTTACTTAAAATATACATAGAACAATACAACTACTAGCCCATATATATAATTAGAGATAAGTAATTAAAAAAATTAAAATATATATATATATATATATATATATATATATATATATATATATATATATATATATATATGTATGTGATTTTAACATCAATTTTGTGTTCCGTTTGGCTCCGAAATTTCCGAAAACACTTCATGGTAGGCCCTCTGGTATTTAACAACTGAAGTATTTTATTATAATACATATTTAACTGGAGACGATCTTCTAAAAATATAACTCGTAACAAACTCCTATACCTATGAGTATTATAATATATACAAAGGAAGTGACAAGTCAGTTAATATGTTTGAGAGCATTTATCGTTTTAATATTTCTTGGCCCAACATTTCTACCGTATTTTTAACGTTAGTCAAGAATCTTTACAAATATTATAAATGTTCCAGAGGGAGACTTTGTACAAAAGTCGATTGCTTGGGTACCTCTGTCCCATTCGTGTTTCAACCGTGAAGTAGTTGTGTTTGCATGGCTGTGTTTCGGTTTGAAGGGTGGGATATGGCGTGAATTTATAGGGTACAGAGGAATAACACCTGAGTCCTCAGGAATGGCAACGCATGGGGGGTATCATGGGCGAAACAGTATACTCTGTTATGTCCATGGTACTGCTCATGTCTATAGGCTACGGTTACCACTTTCCATCAGGTGGGCCGTCAGCTTGTTTGCCATTCTAAGTTGTATAAAAAAGAAAATGTAAAAATAAATTTGATTGTTAGTTGACTTCTTTTTATTTTTTTTATGCAACATAGAATGGCAAATAAGCTGACGGCCCACCTTATGGAAAGTGGGAGAGATACACTTGATGTTTCATACACAAATAGAACTAAGTATCGTCATATCAGATTTTAACTGTCCACTGCTGAACATAAGTTTCCCCCAGAGTGGTTTAACCAATAGTTGCCACGCTTGGCATGCGGATTGATATCTGCTGCTAGGCTTTGAAGAAATAAGTATAATATAAAATAATTGAAAAGCTTAAAATTTTAAGTGTCTTACCTTCCAAGGTATAGAGATGCATCCTTCTAGAATCTAGACCCTTTTTCTTTTATTTTAGGATCGATCCAGTTGGAAAATGGGGAGTCATCAGGCGGTGTCTCAGCAGCATCGGGCTACGAAAGCGACCTCCACAACTCAGAGTCCGAAGACAGCTTGGAACAGAAACCTCACAAGTACGGAATATTAACCAGAAAGGTCAGTTGTATGCTACATTCAACTCGGAGTGGGAGAAAACAGAAAGATTCTTTTAAATCTTCTCTGAAAGATGAAATGATTTTTTGTACCACTTGATGTGAAAATAAGTTGTGAAAATTTTTCTTTTTAGTATACGAATTAGTTCATACGTATATAAGGATGGCATGTGACTTTAATTAACATGTAAAACTCACTCTCTCCTTCGCTGACCATCGGATGTACCATCCTGCGCAGAGGTTCGATATACTTAGATGGGGGTAAGGAATTATTAGTAATGAGGTCTCATTGCTGCAGCTCCATTGCTAACAATAGATCCTATCGGGTCGATCTCCCTGCGGTTCTCCCTGGAAACAATTGTGGTTGATTTTTGTGGTATTCGTCACGATGAACCAGCTGATCAACTGAGCTGCTTTCATCCTCATCTATCATCTCTCAACTGATGTCTCGCCAGCGTATACCGATAGCGGAGGCGGGGTTACCATTCCCTTATCATCCGTAAAAGAAATATACTTGGATAGTTGCCGGACCCTGTCTTTATTGTCAAATCTTCCATTTTTGTAGTACTTGTTTAGATTTAATTGCGTTAAACTTCACCTTTGTACTTAGGTTTCAGGTAAGAGCGTCCAGTTTCTGCTATGCCCAATATGCGGTTACGAAACGCCTCTCCCACTGGGAGGTATATCCGCCCTCCCTCTCAACTACGTGCTGCTGCGGAAGATGATGGCCGCGGAGAAGGAACGCAACAAGGCCAGCATATTATGCGACCTCTGTAATAGCGACACAAAGGTAAGATTCAAGCTTTCAAATGAATTAAGCCTTCATTAATGAAGAATAAAATTATATGATTAATAAAATGGTCTTTTGAGTTTCAAAATTTTTGTGGTAAAAAAAAGAAAAAAGTAATATCTACGTGTAATGATCAAAGTTACTTAGGATCTTTTGTTGGTAGTGTAAAATTAATAATAGGAAAATCAGACCTAAGTCTGTTTAGGAGTACTACTTCTTAGATAAGATTTACTTATATATATTCGTCCGTCCGTCCGTCTGTCAAGATCCTTTTTTATAGTAACGCGCGGAGGTATCATGTTGAAATGAATATCATATACTCAGGTCTCTTAAAGCAGTGAAAAAATCAAGCTTCTAAATCGAATCAAAAGATACGGCCATTTATGTTCCATTTATATCGCATATTTTGACATTCGCAAGGGAAATCAAAACCTATAGAGTACTTTCCGTTGACCTAGAATCATGAAATTTGGCAAGAAGCAATATTGTGTAGCACAAGTAAAGGAAAAAATCCGAAAACACAAAAAAATAAATGACTTGATGCATTTGTACGGACCCCTCGTTGCGCAAGTCCGACTCGCATTTGATCAGCTTTTTTCTTTTTCTTTTACAATTCTTTGTTCCTTGAGTCCTGACAAATCACAAGTAATAAATAGTCTCCAAATGCGCGAGCATTACACACTTCCAATTAATATCGAGGATTGACAAATACAGCATTGCTAATGAATCCTCGAAGATTAATGTCCATTGTGTGTCACAGGATTCTGTATTTTAAGAGAACATATGTTGTTCAAGTGATGCGTGGCGGTATCCCGCGGAACCAACGTTTCGAACGGATTCCCATAAGTTTCGAGACGCTACATTAAGTGTATACAGTGTATTTTTACTGTGTTGAAATTATAAGTTCATTAAATTACCTCATTATTCTATTGCTTATACCCCTAAAACTTTTTTAGCTTTTGAAGTAGATATTTATATGGACAACTGTAGATTTTTTAAAATTTTGTAAATGAAATGTATGTGAATGGTGGAATGGTTAACTTTGGATTTATTTATGCTTATATTATATTATGGAAATTTGTGAGAGAATAAATTAATTATATCTATTAGATTATTTATTTATTTATTTAACTCTTTATTGCACCATAAATAAAAATATACAATGACAAGTGAATAATTCAAGTGAAATACAGTAACATAAATACACATTGAAATATACACATAAAGGTACAAAAGGCGGTCTTATCGCTAGGGCAATCTCTTACAGACAACCTTTAGTTAAAGGAGAACAGATAGACAGTTTAAAGTTAGTTAGTTAGTAAAGTTTAAAGATTATTGTATATATATTCTTTATTGTACTTAAATTACATTGTTAATGCATTTATAAATGTTGTGAGCAAGGGTGGACTTATCTCTGACAGAGATCTCTTCCAGTCAACCCGATACAGTTAGCAATTCGTTAGCGGGCAACTAAAGTCCTACAACTATTCATATTTAAATATGTAATTTTAGTATGTATGTATATCAATAATTACTAGTACCGCATTCGAGTATTCTGACACTTCCCTATGGTTGCCTGGGAGAGAATGCTTTTAGCATTAAGTTCGCCATGTACACATATATGTACTAATTAATAAATAAATAAATAAAATAAATATTGTAATACATTTAAAGATAATTTTTTTTGCATCTTTTTATTGACCTTCAAAAGCATAATACACTTCCATACATACACTATGTATGTATGTAATTAGATTAATCATCATCATATCAGCCGTTGATTGCCCACTGCTGGACATAAGCCTCCCCCATAAGTAGGGCATTCGCCAGTAGTTGCCACGCTTGGCAGGCGAGTTAACAACCGCAGTTAGAATTTGGTGACGTTTTAAGTGGGACGCTGCTGTCCATCCCGTTCCCTTGTTCGCCTTTTACGACACACACGGGAAAGGAAGGGATGGCCAGACCACACGGCTAATAATATATTATAATTAGATAGATAGATACTCCTTATTGTTTCCTTTAAAAAGATAAAAAAATAAAGAGGTATATGCCTAGATTTCCAGATCTTTGACTAAACAGCTTTTGAAATTTTAATATGTGGGTTGTTTAGACCCATTTTACTAAGAATATTTATAGGTCACATGAGGACAAAATTTACTTCATAAATATTACAGGCAGAGAGCCGCTGTAGCCAATGTCTGGTCAGCCTGTGCAGCTCTTGTGTGGAGGCGCATCATAGGCAGAAGGCGACCTCCAGGCACTCACTGCACCCACTGGACCCGCTGCCCGTCAAGTTCTGCAGCCAGCATCCCAAAGCTGAACTCAGCGTGTACTGTGCGACGTGTCAACAAGTAACTGAAATAATTATTATTTGCCAAAAATAAGCTCATTCTGATTCTATTTTAACAATTAATTAAATGCATAGTTTCTTTTTATTCGAATTAAAAAAAAATAAGATTCTTGATTCGATTTTTTTTGTATTATGTTATAATTTTGTCATTTCTAAGAAAATTTTTATGATAAAATAAATAAATCAATTTTATAAATGTTTAAATGATATTTGGATATTTGTTATTCGATTAGATTTAAACGATTGAATGATCGACACGGATGAAGCCGCAGGATATAGCTAGATTGAAAAATAATGAAATGTTAAATAATGTATAAAATTGTTTATGCAACTTAGAGTTTCAAAGAAGTTGTTGGCCCACCACCAGATGGAAAGTGATAACCATCCCCTATAGACATGACCAACACCATGGACATAACAGAATGTTTGGTGTCACCCAAGATACCCTTCATACGTTGCCATTCCTGAGGACTGAAATTATATCTCTGTAGATATCTTATTATTTTATCTTGCCATATCCCACCTTTCAAATCGAAACAGATGTCAAACAATTGTCTCACCGGCATAAACACGAATGGGACAGAGGTATCCAAGCAGACGACTTTTATTCAGTCTCTTTGGACCTTTCACTAGGAAGACTTTGCAGAAAATAAATATATTTAAAATATTGTTTTAATAAGTCAGAGTTAGTAAACAATAAATAAAGAATAGAGTTGAAACGATGTTGGTGTATTATATCCATGAAGGTGATATGCCGGGACTGCTGCATCATATCTCACTCGGGTCACGCACTGGCGAATGCTTCTCGTGCCGCAGCCGAGCGGGCGAGGCTTCTACGCGACGCGTGCGAGCGGGCGAGACTAGTCCCGGAAAATGTAGAGCGAGCCACCAGGATATTGGACGAGGAAGCCTTCGAAAGTGATGTGAGATAACTGTTTATTATATGTTTTCTTTTATACAACTTAGAATGGCAAACAAGCTGACGGCCCACCTGATGGAAAGTGGTAACCGTCGCCTATAGATATGAGCAGTACCATGAACATAACGTTGCAATGCGTTGCCATTCCTGAGGACTCAGGTATTATTCTTCTGTACCCTGTAAATTCACACCATATCCCACCTGTAAACCGAAACACAGGTAGAAACACGAATGGGACAGAGGCACCCAAGCAATCGACTTTTGTACAAAGTTTCCCTCTGGTAAATTATTTGCCTTTGATTATTATTTAGTCATAAATAAAAAGCTAAGGATAAGTAAGTTAAGTGGCAATAGGCTGGTAACATAGTCCTAAGAACCGACAATCGATGGGGAAGAACGGTTTTCGAGTAGTGACTTCGTATAGGTAAATGCAGTATAGAATAACGTCGATAGAGTGAGGATTTCAAATAAATTGCACAGAGTCAGTGGATGTAGGAAGTTCGAGACCTTTATGGTAGTCTATGGAAGAAGCTTATATTTAACAATGACCAGGTAACGGCTGGTATGATAATGATGATGCATAGCCATATTATATAAAGTCAAACCATGCTAGGCATTTATAGTTACATTGTAACACGTTGTAAACTAAATATTATAGAGAACAGTGATTATTGGGCCAAGAATTGATCCTTGAGTGACTCCTCTGGATTTTGACCTGAACGTTTTATGTCATAATCATATTGAATTATTACAAGCTGTATTTATTCATATTTATGAAACCAAGAGTTTTGGGGTCAAATTTACAACATGATAGCTTCAATAATAGTTATACGTTAACTGTTTCGAAAGTACAAGACAGGTCTAATAAGATTTGATCTATACAGTATTCATGCACTGATCTAGAGTAACTTTTGTAACTAAGCATTAGCACAGTGAAAATGCTCTGCACTGAATGATGATTGGTATTGTAGTGTGCTCGTGTTGCCAATTTTCGGTAAAACTATCTCTCGAAATTTTGACGTCGTTAAATTTTTACCACGCGATGTTAAGGCGTAAAGTTTCACACGTCTCTAGTTATGTAACTAATATTGTTATTTTTATTAATATTTATAATAATGAAGCATGAGCACTTGCGCCATGCAATAAAAACCACGTATTTAAATCCACTTATAATTTTATTTTCTTTATATTTATACAACAATTTCCTCAGCCATATATCTTACATTTTTCACACACACCAAAGACAATCATCAAGCGCCCTCTGGCCTACTCTACCGCGACTACTCTTTCGTTGTCTATGCCTAATGGTGCAATTATTAAAAATAATAATTGTGGAGGCTGGAGACATAAAACAATTAAACTCAACAACTAATATGAGAACTTCAACATTTTTGTAGTTTATTGACGTTTCTTTGGAAAGGATTTAGTTAGTAGAATACTTCCTTAAATGAATGCTAACGCTGTGGCGTGGCGGCCCGCGTGCAGGAAAGCGCGGCACGCGTGGAACGTGAGGTGTGTGCGTGGGCAGAACGCTACGTACGCGCTGTATCCGCGCACGCGCGCGCCGTGCGCGCGGCGGCGGCGCGCGCTCGTCACGCGCACCGCGCGCGCATGCGCCGCCGCCGCCGCGCACTGCGCGACCGTGCGCTGCATGCGCATCACGCCGTCAACTTTGCTGAGGAGGTCGGTACCTACTAGTCTTTTATTCGCCACCAGAGGGAGACTTTGTACAAAAGTTGATACCTCTGTCCCATTCGTGTTTCAACCGTGAAGCAGTTGTGTTTGCATGACTGTGTTTCGGTTTGAAGGCTGGGATATGGCGTGAATTTACTGGGTACAGAGGAATAACACCTGAGTCCTCAGGAATGGCAACGCATGGGAGGTATCATGGGCGAAACAGTACACTCTGTTATGTCCATGATACTGCTCATGTCTATAGGCGACGGTTATCACTTTCCATCAGGTGGACCGTCAGCTTGTTTACCATTTTAAGTAGTATAAAAAAAATATTTATACTTTTGCATACCTTAAAATATGTCTAACAGAGCGAACTTAATGCCTGATGGCATTCTCTACCAGTCAACCGTTACGCTGAACGGAGAGAGCAAATGGCGGTGAATAAATTAAAAAAAAAATTAAATAAAATATTTTGAATAAGTCTTTTGGTTCATTTTTAACCGGCTTCAAAAAAAAGAAGATTATATGTTCCACTGTATGTTTTTTTTATTCATCGACCTTTTGGACCGATTTCAAAAATTATTTTTTATTCGAAAGAGTATATTCCAGAGGTGATCTCATCAGCATCAAGTCAAGGTCTGATAATGGAATCCCGAGAAAATCGAGGACAAGCCTCAAATTTTATAACCACATATATGATATTTCGTATTTTTCCAAAACATATTAATGAATGAGGGTAAAACACGTAGTAACATCACCTGCATTATCAGTGTACTTTAACGAAGAACCATTAATTGATAATAGATAAGTAATCGGACTGGTCCAGTACAGTCGTAATAAATTCACTAAAAATTTACATCGGTTTCTAGGAGGACCAGGCTGAAGTCGATCTAACTGTCTAATTGAATTATAAATAAATTAGAATCATACGTCCATGTCTACACGAAGAAATGATGAAAGCTGTCCCAATAATAAATGCGAGCCTTCCTATTCCTCCTGCCATACATTTGCGGGACGCACTGGGCAAGTCGTCACTCTCCATCCTGTCAGTTACTTTACAACCCTAAATAAACATAAAATAAAAGTTATTCAGTCTTGAAATTCAATCTCCATCAAGCATGCCATCTTTTTTTTTTATACAACTTAGAATGGCGAACAAGCTGACGGCCCACCTAATGAAAAGTGGTAACCGTCGCCTATAGACATGAGCAGTACCATGGACATAACAGAGTAAACTGTTTCGCCCATGATGCCCCCCATGCGTTGCCATTCCTGAGGACTCAGGTGTTATTCCTCTGTACACAGTAAATTCACGCCATATTCCACCCTTCAAACCGAAACACAGCCATGCAAACAACTGCTTCACGGTTGAAACACGAATAGGACAGAGGTACCCAAGCAATCGACTTTTGTACAAAGTCTCCCTCTGGCCAAATATTTTACCAATTCAAATAGTTTTAAATCATTACTGAGCCACCGAAACTCTTATTCCCAGCTCCTCTCAGAAGCCAAAGAGGACGAGCTCCTCTCCCTCAGCGGAGCTGTCCTTCGTCGCCTGGAGAGGCTCACAGAACTGCAATATCTATCAGAAGTACCCAAATGTGAACTGAGGTTCGCACCCACAGCACCGGCTGCACATGACCCCACCCTGGTGGGGAGATTATTGACTCAGGCCCCTGATCCTGATAAATGTGTACTGAATACTGATGGTAACTCTTTACTTACTAATACTATTTATGATACATCATACTGCTGATGATGATAAAAGATCATTGAACATTGATTAAAATAGATTGGAATTGAAAAGTAAGACAATCATCTATTACGAAAGAGCCAAGTACTTACCAATAATAATGCAATAACTTTCAGGTCTTCAAGATCTTCAGGTAGGTTGTCAGCACGAAGTAATATTAGAACTTCGCGACAGCAATGGTGAGCGTATATGGTGTGGTGGAGAACAGGTAATTGGTATTCACAATTATATATTTTACCAGAAGGAGACTTTGTATAAAAGTCGTTTGCTTGTGCACCTCTGTCCCATTCGTGTTTCTACCGTGAAGCAGTTGTTTGCATGGCTATTTCGGCTTGAAGGGTGGGATATGGCAGTGAATTATAACCGACTTCAAAAAAAGAAGGTTTCTCAATTCGATCGTATTTTTTTCTGTTTGTTCGCGGATAACTTCGTCGTTTAAGAACCGATTTTGGTGATTATTAAGATAATATTTCAAATGTGGCCCCGTTTTAAGGAAAGGAAATTAGGGCTTGATGATGGCAGACCAGATAAATCGAGGGGGAACTTCCAAAAATCGTAGGGGCGACTAGTGTGTTTGTAAGTTTAAATTAAGGAATAACACCTGAGTCCTCAAGAATGGCAACGCATGGGGGGTATCATGGGCGAAACAGTATACTCTGTTATGTCCATGGTACTGCTCATGTCTATAGGCGAGGGTTATCACTTTCCATCAGGTGGGCCGTCAGCTTGCTTGCCATTCTAAGTTGAATAAAAAAAAGTTTTTATATATATTTTTTTTATTTACTGGTTTTATTTATGCACTGGTCTTGTGTTTGTTATTCGGTGGCACTCGTCCAGGTGGCTGGGTTCGTGCGGCGGCGGGACGCCCGCGCCCGCCCCACCAGTGCGATCTCGCACGACCGCGGCGACGGCTCGTACGCGCTCGCCTTCACGCCGCCCAGCCCCGGCGGTTACCTGCTCGCCGTCACCGTCAACAACCGCCCCGTCAAGGTCGGTTCTAGCACTGATTGCCGCCGAAAATTAACCCTTCTTTCCATGAATTTTTTTATTGGTAAAATAAATCATAATTCATGTTTAAAATTAAAGGAAAAGTTGTTAAAAAAATTAATTTGACAGCTATGTTTTTTTTTTCTGCAATGGACATTAAAAAGGTATCCATACACGATCAACTTAAAATCAAATTGGTCTTTTATATAATTTTTGGGCATTAAATATTATGATGGCAATTTCCACCATTATGCAAAGACGGGTTATAGGTGACCATGAAAGCAGGTCTTTTTTTTATTGGATGATAATGGAATACTAACCTCGCCTGCGTTAACTGGCGGAGCACCAGTGCGGGATGATACGTGAAAATGAAAAGGCAGGTCAGTTAGCCATTGTAATGAATACATTTGGGATTCAGCATTATGGTCTCTAGGGAGACCACGGGGAAGACGACCTGTTATGGGTATATTGCTAGCAATGGGAGTAGTAATCCGCATTACTAACAATCCCTTTCCCCCCAGACTTTATATTGCTCCTTACTTCCTGCAGCAGACACAATTAAAAGAAGTTCCTTACCACTTTCCAATAACTTTTATCTATATATCTATATAGACAAAATGGTCACGTAATAAATTTAACAGATTTTGTAAATTTAAAAGAAAAAATAAACCAATGGACACGTGCGTGCTTGTGTGCGCCATGCGCGTGCGTGGTTCTGTGTGCAGTACGCGTGCGTGGATGTACTTGACTGTGTGCGCGAGCGTGACAGCGTGTACCGTGTACCTTGCGCGTGCATGATTGTGCTACACCGCGCGTATGCGTGCGTGGTAGCGTGTGCTGTGCGTGGTCGTGGTTGAGCGTGCGTGCGTCCGCAGGGCAGCCCGTTCGCGTGCGCGGCGCGCGTGGCGAAGCCGCACACGGGCGTGTTCCACTGCTGCGCGTTCTGCTCGTCCGGCGGCCGGCGCGACGCCGTCTGCGCCTGTGGCGCTACCATGCCCGGCGGGTACAAAGGTATGCAAACATTTTTTTTTTAATATTTGTTACTTAGTCCCGTTTATAAAATATTTCAATGATTCTTAGCACATGTTGGTTAATATCAAGTGAACAATTTGTTTGTATGCGCTCTATTTTCAGTACTGTTTTTAATATTTTACATTTTTATATAATTTTAATACTTTAAGATTTTGTTCCACAAAAATACCAATTTCAATCTTGACGAAACTCCTTATTTTGTTTTAAATACTAAACTACTGAATAAATTTTAATACAATTTCTACACCAAACAGCAAGTACGAGTATATCTTTTCAGCTAAAAAATAATAATATTTCAAATCAGTTTATAAACGAAGAAGTTATGAGATAATAAACATATGAAAAATACTATCGAATTAAAATCTAAAAAAAAGAATTTTAAAAAAGAAGGTACATATATACATACATATCTGTCACGCCTGTCTCCCATTAGGGTAGGCAGAAACAATGGAACGCCAAATGCTTCGATAAAAAAGGTTTTTTTTTTAAAAGAAACTTTAAATCAATCTGAGGTAAAAAAGTGCCTTCGAAATTCAAAATTTAATTGTTTTATATTTCAAAGATATCTACTTTTCCTACTTAAATTACATATAAATCTTTTCATAGATAAAAAATTGAAGCTCTAAGTTTTATTATTTTGTTTAATCTGTAATTTTGTTGATAAATGATGTCGCCCTAGGCTGCGGGCACGGGCACGCGGGCTGGCCGGGCGCGCGCCACTGGTCGTGCTGCGGCCGCACGCTGCGCGCCGCGCCCTGCTCGCCGCTCGCCACCGCCGCCACGCTCACCACACCCTCCACCACCACCGCTACCACCGCCACCACACCAGCGCCATCCGCCGCTCTTTATCAGTTCTCGCTCTAGTACTACCTACCACTCGTACCAATAAATTGTACCTGCATACGTTTTGTTTCATTTAAATATCACTAAATAAAAATATATATATAAAAAAAAATTATGTTGCCAATTGTCATAATAATTTTTTGACTAGGAAGCATCTGTCTTATATTATTAAGCACATTTGTTTTATATTATATTGTTCACTATATTATATGTAGTATGCATGTCTGTGTGGAGCACCCTCACGTGTGTGGGTGCCTGAAGTAAATAATTCTATACTCTTTGGGTTATTTGCCTTTTTTTTTTATCGTGGGGAAATACATCATGCAGACCCATATGCCCCGGGGGAAGCGTATGGGTACTGCCGGGCTCCTACCGGCTAAAACCATCACGGCATCACTCGCCGCGCTAAAGTGTCGGGGACCCGGGTTCCCTTTCGAAGTCCACCGAGCCCCAACGGCGTTGGCCCACATCGGCTTGCGGACCCCGACTCAAAATATGGAGCAGGCACCTGATGTTAAGTGCCCGGCTACTCTTCAATGGGAAGCGCGACTTCCCAGGGCCGTGTTGATTGGGGTGGGACCGCCTCCGCGGTCGCCACCCCAGCCCTTTGGCGAACGGCGGCTAGCCGCCCTGATCGCCGGAGTGGGACGTTGGACCTTGGTCCGTGTCCATCTCCTCTCTCCTGCGGCCTGTAGAGAGGGCCTGAACGGCTGGCCGCTTCGGCTGCTATGGGTTATTTACCTTAAGCAAGCACTGTCAAATTTTGTATATTGCGTCTATTGGTGAAAACGTATAAGTGACTTCATTATTCGTTATTTTTTATTTAAATAAATCTTGATTTTCCTTTCACAAATAAATAAATAAATAAAAAACATTTTTTCAATGTATCTACAATTTATTCACATAACGTTTCAATTCACTTACTTCTAACTAAAGCTATACTAGACAATATTCATTTAAATAAAAAATCTAGGATCTCCATCTGACAAAATATACAAAATTAATTTAATACAGTCCATATTTGACATTATAAAACATGCTTTTTTTATTTTAAAACTTATAATGTTCCGTACCTAGTATTAAATAATCTAAACTATGCACAATTAAAAATAAATCGTAATACATCATTCAACATCATACAATCATGAAATGAAATGAAATGAAATGAATTTATTTTGCTAGAATGCAGGTAATTTTAGATGATAGAGGTGTGATTGTCGAACAAAAGAACTAACGGACAAGGTGATAAAATGATTCGTCTATCCATTCAAATCAGCCGTTAACTGTCCACTGCTGAACTTAAGCCTCCCAGTATTGGGAGTTAAAAAAAAAACATAGAGTAGCTAAATAAGTCGTCCAAAAACAAAATAGTCAAGTTATAAAATCTTATCTTATCATAAAATGTCAAAGTTATAAAATAACAACTATAAGGTTTCTTTTTCTATACAACTTAGAATGGCAAACAAGCTGACGGCCCACCTGATGGAGAGTGGTAACCGTCGCCTATAGACATGAGCAGTACCATGGACATAACAGAGTATACTGTTTCGCCCATGATACCCCCCATGCGTTGCCATTCCTGAGGACTCAGGTGTTATTCCTCTGTACCCAGTAAATTCACGCCATATCCTACCGTTCAAACCGAAACACAGCCATGCAAACACAACTGCTTCACGGTTTTACTATATGGTGGTCGCCGTGTGGTCCCGGCATAGAATAGGCCACCCCTTCCTTTCGCGTGGGTGTCGTAAGAGGCGACTAAGGGAGGACGACAGATGAGCAGCAGCGTCCCTCTTAAAATGTCTTCAAAGCTTAACTGCAGTTGCCAATCCGCCTGCCAAGCGTGGCAACTACTGGCAAAACCCCCAAGGAGGAGGCTTATGTTCAGCAGTGGACAGTTAAAGGCTGATATGACGATGTTGAAGGCTACCAGGTTACAAAATGGTACAGTTCATATCACAATGTACGACTTTTATTTTTACAACAGATTTTTCGAAATTGTTAATTTTCATAAACTATCACAGACAAATATCACATTCGCTGATCCATTTTAAACATTTAAAATTAACAACTATTCAGAGGAGTCCACGATTACAATATCAAAGTTTCATATTACAATATCCATAGACAAAAGTTTTTAGCACAACGACAAGGTAACAGAATGTATTAAAATATTATACAAAAAAATAAAAAGATTTAACACATTCCTTGTATTAAAGGAACGTATGTTAAACAATCCAGATCTTAATATTAAAAAAAAAATCACAAAAAAAAAATACTAAAAAGACAGTTTTTCTGAGTTTTTCACTCACCACATAATCCAGAACGTGACGTCACAAAAGACTGAAGTCGAAGATTAATGGACTCATGTTTTAAAGGGACAGTAATTTTAACCAAAAATAACCGGTTGTCATTCAACAGAATACAAGAAATAACAGTTGGATAAACTGTTCGAGTACAGGTTATGTATGTACAAGTAAATGTGTCCACCAGAGGGAGACTTTGTACAAAAGACGATTGCTTGGGTACCTCTGTCCCATTCGTGTTGCAACCGTGAAGCAGTTGTGTTTGCATGGCTGTGTTTCGGTTTGAAGGGTGGGATATGGCGTGAATTTACTGGGTACAGAGGAATAACACCTGAGTCCTCAGGAATGGCAACGCATGGGGGGTATCATGGGCGAAACAGTATACTCTGTTATGTCCATGGTACTGCTCATGTCTATAGGCGACGGTTACCACTTTACATCAGGTGGGCCGTCAGCTTATTTGACATTCTAAGTTATATATAAAAAAAAAAAAAATTTCTTGGTCAATAATACTGGCCCTTTTCTAGTCACTCTGAGTTACATACTTATATCAGTCAGTTCTGTCCACTTAGTATCTATACATGCAATACAAGTTTAGTACTCGACCAAGCGATCGATCTTATAAGGGGCTGCATTCTGAGTGAACGAGCGAATTAGTAGGTAGTCTGGGATCAGTTAGTCCAAGGAAGCAACCACGTGACGTGGGGTCACTCACAACCCGAACAAACGATCACGATCTACACGAAAAATCTAGTGTAGATTCGTTAATTAAGTGACTATACATACAGCGAGTTCAGAGATCGGGCAGCTCAAAGCCCGAGCGAGTGGACGGGTACGTAGTTGGGCGGCGCGGGCGCACACGCCTGCCTCACGCTCATCTCCCACGCGTCCAGCAACTGACCCAACGAGCAGTTCTTTGGTAGACTGTAAAAAAATATTTATTTTAATCTCCACGCATTTCTACATTCATTTTTGTATAAAATTTAAATGTACACAGCTTGCACACATTTTTGATAACAAATGTATTTTCAATCCACCAAAGGATCAAGGTGTCACAAAAGTTTTTGGTCCTTCGAGCCGGATTTGAATAGTAACGTCCAAAATAATAAATTAGTTAATAATTGTCAATTTACTGAGCTGATGTATATGGATATGAATAAATGTCGAATTAAAAAAAAATATTATAAGGAATTATTCCATTTTTTTTAAATACAAAGTCAGTATTCCGATTCGTCTGCTTCGTATTAACGTGAAGTCGGGGTCGATAGCTAGTTGCCAATAGGCGATATATTGGGGGAAAGGGATTATTAGTAATGGGGTCTCATTGCTAGCAATGTACTCTATAAGGTCGACCTCTATGCGGTCTCCACTGGAAACCATCGTGGTTAATTCTCGTAGAATTCTTTGCGATGGGGTAACTGGCCTGCTTTCATCTTCACCTATCATCTGTCACTGGTGCCCCACCAGCGTATACCGTTAGTGCAGGCGGGGCTACCATTCCATTATTATCCATAAAGAAAATAAGCTTTTATAATAAGTTTTTTAAAGAAGTGGATCTTTTTAAATACTCTTCAAAACAAACTTATAAAAAAAAACTTTCTAAAATATTTCTTCAAAACCTTTAATTTTATTTTGTCATATCCATTGATATATATATATATATATATATATATATATATATATACATATACCCATTTAATGATGTGAACACACACATACATGGACGGACGCACGCACGCATGCACGCACGCACGCACGCCGCACGCATGCACACACGCACGCACGCACACACACACACACACACACACACAATCTAGTAACTATTGTTATGATATACTATAGTGTAGTTTTTTATTTTTATTTCCTTCAAAATTTTATAATTACTTTAGCCACGACAAATTTATATCGCTAAGCCAGTGAAAACCTGTTATTGGCTTCTTATATGGACAAGTTGTAATTGTTTGAAGCTATAAATTGTAAGGTTGTATTGTTCATGTGACCTGGCGAGGCGCGCGTCCATGGCGCGGTCGAGGCGCGCGAGGAAGGCGTGCGGCGGGCGCGGCGGGCGCGGCGCGCGTGCTGCGCGTGCGGCGCGGCGCGGCGGCGGCGCGCGGGCGGCGCGGCCGGGTAGCGGCGCGGCACCTCCACGTGCAGCGGCGGCACGCACGGCAGCCGCGCGTCGTCCAGCGCCGCCACCAGCGACACGGCGCCGCCGCCGCCCGCCAGCTGCATCGTCTCCAGCGACACCTGCCCCCCGCAACACACCCTATTATTACCACGTTCCGGACGACTTTTTCATGCAAACGAGCTCATAGCTCACCGTCACCTTTAGATGTAAACAGCACCATGGACATAACAGAGTGCACTGTTTCGCCCATGATACCCCCCATGCGTTGCCATTCCTGAGGACTCGGGTGTTATTCCTCTGTACCCAGTAAATTCACTGCCACATCCCACCCTTCAAACCGAAACACAGCCGTGCAAACACAACTGCCTTACGGCTGAAACACGAATGGGTCAGAGGTATCCAAGCAATCGACTTTTGTACAAAATCTCCCTCTGGTTGTTCAAAGTTAATTCTTCAAATTATATTAAAAAAAAAAAAAAGTTACCTTAAACCTGGAGTCGAGCCTGGCTATTTCACCCTGCAGCACGTCTGGAATGTCCATGGTTGGCTCTTCTACCTTTGGCGGTATGTAAGGTGGCGGCAAATTTCTGCCAAAATAGAGATGTATATTAATTATTTATTTATTGGATCACTCATACATATACATTTTATTTTTATTTTATTTATTTCTAAAAGACACACCAACAATATGCTCACAACAATTAAGCAGACAATATACAATGTTATTAGTAAGTAAAAGAGAAAAAACTACTATTACAAAATGCATAAATCTAAGTTTGAACAAAAACATCTCACTCCTCACTACCAAGCTTAAGGCCATATGAACACATCAATTAAAGGTGTATACAGCTCTCACAGATAAGCGTCAATGTACACTAACTAACAATTATACAATTAGAAAAGGCCCAACTACCAATCCATATATATCCATACTCATACATACTACATAGTATAAAACAAAATTGCTTCCCGTCTGTCTGTCCCTATTCATGCCTAGATCTTCAAAACTACACAACAGATTTTTTTAATAGATAGAGTGATTCAAGAGGAAGGAATTTGATCTATCTCGTAGGGTTCACTCAGCATTTGCAGTGTAAGCGTAAAAAATTGTTTATACTTACGACATCACATTAGAAACCTTTTTTTTTTTATACAACTTAAAATGGCAAACAAGCTGACGGCCAACCTGATGGAAAGTGGTAACCGTCGCCTATAGACACGAGCAGCACCATGTAAATGTATATTGCTGGCAATGGGGCTACTTATCCCCATTATTAACAATCTCTTGTCCCTCCAACACATAAGCACTAGGCGTGATAATAATTGTTACTAACTTGATCTCGGGGCCGTTGAGAGCATCGAGCGTGGAGCCGAAAGTGCGTTTCAGCGTGTGGTTGGACAGCGGAGACTGGAGGCAGTTGTTCACTACCTCTAGAAGAGGATTGAATATTTGCTCCTGTAACAATTAGGTACAATGTAAACTTTTATGTATCATCGGCGAAACAGTATACTCTGTTATATCCATGATACTGCTCATGTCTATAGGCGATGGTTACCACTTTCCATCCGGTGAGCCGTCAGCTTGTTTGCCATTATAAAATTCTATGATGTTTGGTTGAGCCGTTAAGATGGTAAAAAGTAACAAACAAACAAATAAATTCATTTCATAATTTATAATATTAGAAAATAAAGTAGTGTGGTCCCAGCACAGAATGGGTCATGCCTTCCTTTCTCATGGTTGTCGTAAGAGGAGGCTAAGAGAACTTCATGGTAGAGGGATGGGCAGACAGCACCCCTGTTAAACCATCACCAAAGCCTAACTGCGGTCGTTAACCCGACAACCAAGCATGAAAACTACTGGCAATACTCCCCCCCCCCCTCCTTATAAGGGAAACCTATATTCAGCAGCGGACAGTTAACCGCTGATATGAGGAGGGAAAGGGATTGTTAGTAATGGAGCTTGACAGCCCCATTGCTAGCAATACGCCCTATCAGGTCGTCCTCCATGTGGTTCCCTCTGGAAACCATCGTGAACAATTCTTGATGAATTCGTCACGATGGGCTAACTGACCTGCTTCATCCTCACCGATCATCCTTCACTGGTGCCCCGCCGGTGTATACCGATAGCGCGGGTGGGGTTACCATTTCATTATCACCCATAAAACAAACAAAAAAACAGCTGATATGATGATGAGGGAAACTTCCATTTACCTATTAATACTGCGGTTGTTAACTCAGAGAACTATGTTCCTATGACTATGTTCCTCCTGGAGCCAATGTTCAGCAATGGAAAGTTAATGACTAATATGGTAATATTAGTATTTCAATTATCACTTACCTTCCCAGTAGAAGGCATACCAACGCCGACGCCCTCACCTCGCCTGAAATCCAGCTTCTCCAGCACCACCTCGCATTTGATTAACGTCTCCAGAGGCATTCTCTTGTTTGGGTTAGACAGGATGTCCAGCAGATTCTTCATCTTTGTTAACTTCTCCACATCTATTAAAAAAAAAAAAACAATATTTAATATAAGATTTTTATAAAGGACTATAAACGGAGTCCATGGAATTTACACAAAACAAAATAATGTATATACTAAGTAATAATAATAACTTTGTTGCATAACCATGATTGTAACAAACTCAGCACTGGAAATTACAGTAAAAGTAGGTACGAATTCATTTGTACAATTGGATCAGTTTAAACATCTGTGTCTGAACTAGGTTATAAAACCTGTATCTCAGACAACAGCGCTCAACCCTCATTACATAGTATAATATTAGTTCACCTAAATATTTAGTGCTACATATAGAATGTTGATTTTATATAAATGGTCAGATATTTATGTATATCCATTATTAGGCAAATAAATAGATATTGTATCTAAAATACATAGATATTAATTACTATATATTATCGACCCCTAATATCAAGTTGTTTAAAAAATCAACTGATATGCGTGCATAAGACATGTTAAGAACGTATATGAAACTAGCAACCCCATCTGACTTCGGCTATACTTATCTAAGTAGAGGATATCTTTTTTTTTAAATAATTTATAACAATATTAAAGCCATTTTAGAGATTAGCCAGAACAAACAGACAGACATTTTACTTTATTTTGGTGTATGTCCCGTATATATATTCATATATATGTAGTAAAAAACGGTTATTTTAATATTACCAACAGACACTCCAATTTTATTTATATGTATAGATTTGTTGAGTTTGACGGTATGTAAGGATGTTATCCTTAATTATTATATGACTGTAATTAACGTGTGAAACTCACTCTCTCCTTCGCTGACCATCCGATGCACCATCCTGCGCAGAGGTTCGATATACTTGGACAACTGTCGGACTTTATCTTTGTAAGCCGCTTCTTCGCCGCTAGGGGACGCCACGCCAGCACCGACGGGAGTGTTCAGTGAGGAGGACGGAGACGCCACCATACCCATACCGACGCCTCTGGTAGAACAAAATTTGTAAATTTTATTATTTTATTTTACATTTTCTAAATAGAATCCCGGTTTCGGTTACTAATCGAAAACACGTACGTTAGTGAGCTCCGCAAAATATTTATAAAATTAATCACTTAACACAATAATCACTAGCAATTACAATCAAGAAGTGATCAAACTTATGCGAGAAAACTTCAATTATTAATTTGTCCTCATAACCTTTGAAGTGCAAATCAAGCGTTTTCAATCAAGTGAGTGCTTACCTACCCACAAATTATCGAGAAAAACATACATCAAACAGGTGTGACAGGTGACTTGTGAGAATTAACAATTGGATTAGTGTTGCTAACATAAAAAAAAAATCTTGCCTATTAGTGTGACCATAATTTAAATTACCCTAAATTGACATAAACGCTCAAAAATGGACCAAAACATTTTGAAGTTACTACTAACAAAACTTGAAAATTAAATCAAATAACTTATACAATTACCATAGCAGTTATAAAAAAACGTTATGGTGGCATAAGATGTAAAATTAAATACGCTAATTGAGGAAAATAAATATTTGAAAATTAAAGTAACATATTTAGAACAAAAACTTAAAATAATTAAAAAAGAAAAACGAATGAATAATTTGGTAATTTTTGGAGTCCAAGAAAACGGCAAAAGCGAGGGTGAACTTGTTGATTGTGTAAAAAAAATCATACAAGAATCGGGTATTCCCTTTAACAGTTAAGAAGTAACATTTACAGGATTAGAGCGCCATCTACACTAATGGAAAAAATTAAGGGATCAAAAAAAAAAATCAAATTTGTAGGTGATTTGCAATAAGTTGTAACTTGGAGAAAAATCATCGTAGAGACATTAAAAAAAGCAAATTGTAGCTCCGAGTGCCTAGTTTTTGAGTCTAAAATCTAAAAACATTTCATTCAATTTTTTTATAGGTAATTTTGAAAAAAAACTACTGATAAAAAGTTTAATATTTTTTTGTTTTTTTTTACCTCTACGGTTTTGAAAATAAAAATTTGACATATTCACCAGATAACTTGTTTCTTGTCAGACAACTTGTTTGCAGATAACTTGCAATGTGAAGCGCTTAATCAAAAATATTGAGGAAATCCCTTATGTTAAATATGCTTTTTACAGCTCAATATATTTACAAAAACCCCACAAAGTTTCAATTTAATCCATTCAGCCTTTTCTTTGTTTTACTCGATCAAATTTTTGTATATAAAAAAAATTTTTTTTTCAAAAAATTCAGAAAATATTACTAATTGATTTTTCTAATTAAATTTACATATTTTAAACACTGTTTGCAATAAAAATGTGCAAAAAGGCGAGAATTTTTTATTTCATTTTTTAAAGCTTTTTGGTACGAAAGGTGTGAGCCTTCAATTTCTTCAAAAATTGAAAGTGTCTCAGTGCAATGTGTGTAACTGTGCACATTGCACTGGGACACTGGCTAAAAACACAGCGTCGGTTTACAGCCAGTCCCTCTTTTAACAAAATAAAACAAAAATGCAAATGGGTATGACTGCAATATAAATCATACGTATATCATCATATCATCCCATAAAGTAATTAATAAAGCCTATAGAAACATCTTTTGTCGTGTGATTCAAGCATAAAATAAGCCACTCCTTTCTTTTCCGTGGGTGTCGTAAGAGGCGACTAAGAGCATTTAACGGTCTAGGCAGCAGGCAGCAGCGTCCCTCTCAAAACTTCACCAAAGCCTGATCGCAATTGCCAACCCGCCTGCCAAGCGTGGCAACTATTGGCAATAGCAAACTAATGACAATTCAGTGTCAATATGTGATATGATGATGATAAAATGGTAACCTCCATGACCGTTCCTTATGGCAGTCTATGGGGGGGGGGGGGGGCGAGGCTATGTCCAGCAGTGGACGGATAATGGCGGAAATGATGATGACGATAGAAACTTCTGTTTAACTGTTAACTCTACCATCAAATAGCTTGTTTGTATGCTGTTTCGGGTTTTAAGGTTTCTGCGAGTCAAGGTATTGATGTCACAGTGCCTAGCAAAAAGAAATAAGTATGGCAGTGAGAGTAACCTTTGGTGCGGCGCGACGTGGTGCGGCAGGTGCTGTGGCGCGGAGGGCGAGGGGCTGCCCACGCCGCCCACGCCGCCGCACGAGCCCAGCGCGCCCAGCGACATCGGCGACGGCATCGTGCTCGAGCCGCCCATCACGCCTGCCACACACACACAAACATATTATATCCTGAAACTGGTTAATAAATATTTTATTCTGGTACAACACGTTGTCGGGAGGAGGTACAACACGGTGGGGGGAGGGGGGATTTTTTTTTATACAACTTAGAATGGCAAACAAGCTGACGGTCCACCTGATAGAAAGTGGTAACCGTGGCCTATACACATGAGCAGTACCATGGACATAACATAGTATACTGTTTCGCCCATGACACCCCCATGCGTAGCCATTCCTGAGGACTCAGGTGTTATTCCTCTGTACCATGTAAATTCACGCTATATCCCACCCTTCAAACCGAAACACAGCCATGCAAACACAACTGCTTCACGGTTGTAACACGAATGTTGTTTGGCTCTCTTATTAGCTAGCCATGTCAATCGACTTCCACGCGATTCTCCTTGGACTAATAGTTGTTGAATTGATCATGATGACTTACCTGCAATATACTTTGTTAGGCCGACCTCCTCGTGGTCCCCTCTTAAAACCATCATGCTGAATTTCCGGTCTATTCATAACCATGGGCTAACTGACCTGCCTTTTCTTTCTCATCTATCATCCCTCACTGGTACTCCGCCAGCATTTACCGTCAACGCGAGCGGGTTTACCATTCCATTATCAACCATTAAAAAAAACTAACCTGCTTGGGGGGAAAGGATTGTGAATAATGCGGACTACCAGTCCCATTGCTCGCAATATACCTTGTTAGGTCGACCTCCTCGTGGTTCCCTCTGGGAACCATCGTGCTGAATTCTAGGTGTATTCGTCACGATGGGGTAACTGACTTGCCGTTTCATTCTCACCTATCATCTTGCACTGGTGCCCCGCCAGCGTATATACCTATAACGCAGGCGGAGTTACCATTCCATTATCATCCAAAATTTTTTTTTTATACAACTTAGAATGGCAAAGCTGATGGCTCATCTGATGGAAAGTGGTATCCGTCACCTATAGACATGAGCAGTACCATGGACATAACAGAGTATACTGTTTCGCCCAAGACACCCCCCATGCGTTGCCATTCCTGAGGACTCGGGTGTTATTCCTCTGTACCCAGTAAATTCACGCCATATCCCACCCTTCAAACCGAAACACAGCCATGGAAACACAACTGCTTCACTGTTGAAACACGAATGGGACAGAGGTACCCAAGCAATCGACTTTTGTATCTCTAAAAAAATACATTGTCTGCAAGAAAAGGTTTCTTGACAACAGTGGGAGTGTTTGTCCCTAATCCATTAGTTACTAGTAGTTAGGTAACTTGAAGCAAGTCATGCTAAATATAAGGTCCAGACTGGTGGGGGCGTGGAGGGCTGGGTTGCTACTTGTGGGGACAGGTCTGCTTATGTTTACTTGTTTATTTTCCATTATAGCCACAGTACCCATCGTCATCATATCAGCAGTTACTGTCCACTGCTGAACACAGATCTCCTCCATAAGAAACGAAACAATTCCTTATGACAACTTACCATTGGGGCGATTTTGCCATTAGCTACCCTGCTTACCCTACAGTACCCATACAGATGTAAAATTATCTTGTATATATAATAGTTTGAAAGGAGTAACTGTTGAGATTCTTGCGGATTCTTCTCAGCAGATAACAACATTCTGAATCTAACAGTAATTTTAGGTGAATTTACAGTACAGGGATAACACCTGAGAAGAATGGCAACGCATGGGGGGTTGTGGGCGAAACAGTATACTCTGTTATGTCCATGGTACTGCTCATGTCTATAAGCGACGGTTACCACTATCCATCAGGTGGGCCGTCAGCTTATTTGCCATTCTAAGTTGTATAAAAAAAAAGACTAGAAATTAGGGAAGATTGTTCATAGAGACTCCAATGACCCTATTGCTAGCAATACAGCTTATCGAGTCGACCTTCACAATGTCCCCCTCCCAAAGACATCTAATCTGACCATGTCATTTCTTATTAATCCTCTTTAGAACTTTGCCAGGTATTCACTGGTGCTGAACAAATGTGTACCCATAATGCACTTCTATTCCATTAAAAAAGGCATAATAAGGCTGTATAAATACTTTCCTTAGCCAAGCACATACTATTCTATACAGAATCATAAAGCTCTGGTCCCTCGTCTATATAATTTAAAACATAACAGTACATTTTCCATACAATTTTTAAAAACAGAACTCACCCATAGATACGGGACTAGGTCCGCCCATATTAGGAGAGGGCGCTGATGGTGAAGGGCTCTGCCTTAGGAACTGATTAGGGGGCGGAGCCCTGGCTTGTGTGTATCCGCTGAGCATACCGCCAACGACCTCTTGCTTGTTCTGCACCCGATTTTGCATATGTAACATATTCATACCAACAATTTGATTGTTGCCCATGCCACCAACTGCAAATAATTACGATAATTTAATATATTGTTTAAAAAAACTTCATAACAAAATTAGTATATAATTTTTAAACAAAAAACAGTAGTAATATGTTCTAAATATTAATAGTACGAAATAAAACATGTTGTGTAGCTTGAATCCACTTACTGTTATATTTAAAATGATGAAAAAACTAAAGATTTAAACTTAGCTTGCATCATAGAATACATCAGAATTTTTTTGTTGTGAGCATGGTCTACTTGGCCATCCCTTAAAATATTTAACACCATGTAGACTATTCTAAAAACCATAACCTAACCTAACCATACTGTAAGAAACTCACCCATTTGTCCTGCCATCTGTCCTTGCATCGCATTGGGCGCCATCTGTCCTCCCATACCCCCATTCACCTGATTACAGGGCATTTGTCCTCCCATAGTGTTAGCTGCACTCATTGGCACCTGCATACTATTTGACATCGACATATTTGGCATCATCTGTCCCTGAATACCTGGCCCGGACAACTGGTTCTGCAGCTGATTCCCCATAGGATTTCCCATACCAACCATACCGCCAACCATGTTATTCCCCATTTGCCCCTGATTTGGAACCATACCCATATTCCCACCCAATTTGCTCTGCATCTGCATATTCATTTGAGGTCTTTGTGTCATTGTTTGGAGTAGGTTAGTAGCTGTTTGAGCCTGAGGCCCCCCTTGGGACACTATGGGGCCTTGCTGCCCCATCTGAGGTTGCATGCCCATCCCTGGATTTGGGCCCATAACTCCCTGCTGCTGCATCTGTCCTTGTGGACCCATGTTCATCATCTGATTTCTGGAGCCCTGAGATGCTAAATTCTGCAAGGCATTGATTGGATCTGTGGTCATGCCAGACTGATTGCTGGGACCTTGCTGACCTTGGCCTTGTTGATTTTGCACTTGAGAGTTTGCTTGGTTCTGGTTACCTCCCTGCATAGAAGGACCTCCTTGGTTTGGCTTTGATTGCATGGCTGCAAGGATAACAGATAATAATGTCAAAACTGAACTAGTATTTATCCTATCATCATGTTTATTTGTACAATTTTCCTTCATTGTAATTATAATGAATAAGCAAACAATTTTAATAAGCAACAACATTCCAAACCTAGAAGTAGAATCATAAAAGATGATAATTTAAAACAATTATGTAGTAAACAAGTATATTTGAATAAAGACAATTTAATATTGAAGAAAAATATAATAAATCAAAAGTACAAATAAAGATTGAATATGGAATTTTATAAAAAATATATATTCCACAGATTTAAAATATGTATAAAAAAAATATTCTCTTGTTTATTATTATTAAAAAAAATATAATTTATATATTTGCTATAGTTATGAAACTTTGCTAAAACTTTGAAAATTAATGATAATATTGTTCATTTATTATATTTATACTGTAACATGTGAGATGCAGTGAGAAAAATACAGTAAAATAAAAAAAAAAAACAATAAAAAGAAATCTTATTGGGAAAAGTTGCTTATAGGAGAGAATAGGAGTATAAAAATACTTACCTTCTGGAAAATATTTTTACTTATTTTTTTACTAACTAAGCTATGTAGAATAAATAATTTATAAAGAATGTTACTAATATAGAGTGTTCACTGTATTATATACTTATTTAATCTTATTAAAAAATACAGTTAAAGCTTACACATTTCCCGAACGTGAAGTATAAGTTTGGCAATCATGTTCATATACTCTTCTCTAGTTTTAGCCTTAGAAAACACATGGTTCTCCATTTCACTACTATTACGTGCCACTTGCATTCCAGACCTCTGGATAACATCCTCTCTGAAAAAAAAAGTAATTTGAATAAACCTGTAGTGCTATTCCATAACGCCAAACCTGAATTAAATTAGTAGATACACAAGTGATTTTTATTTCACTTTGTACATTATTATATTATTATCATTTACATTTATCTTATTCAAGGTTTTAAAGTTTAGTTTAATGACCAGTCACTTGCCTGACGTCAACCCCATAGTTAATGCATTTGTTGGTGGTATCCATCACATACAGTATGAAGGAAAGTATTAAGAAAAAATAAAGTCTTTGGAAGAGAGTAAAGGAATTTGATAGAATGAGAATAAAGTGTTAATGGGGAAAAGGGGAAAAGAGACACTGCAATTGTGAAGGAGATACTGGTGTATAATACGTATATCCTTACTCCAAAACCAGACAGATGATTAGAGAACACTCCTGCCTTTGCATACTATTATGCTATATATTAGTAATATCCAAAAACAGCATCTATGCTTGAGATAGGTTCTACCAACTAAGATCATTTCACATTCTATTAAATTAAAAAACAATCAGATGAAACACTTACATTTTGGTCACAACGCCTTGTCGAAAGTTGGGCGTTCTCCAGTCGTCGTTGCCCATTGCATTAAAATTCTTTAAGTTATTATCCATATTTACTTAATATTATCACACAATTACTGTTTATTGCGTTTTTGTATGAAAATTTCTGACCTCCTTATCTAATTAGTGATACTTTCTGTTTCTGACCACGAATAGTACAGTGTAAAGTACTTGCCACTAAGGTGATTGAACTGGAGGTTAACTAAATAAAATCATCACTATTTCATCAGTCGTAGTTGTGAACTAAGGACACAAAATCAGAAATGAAGTTTATGACACATAAACTACACAACAATACAACCACAGATTAGAAATATTGAAGTAGAATACACACATAAAACGAATATACAAAATAGCATTGTAAAAGAAAATACAAAACGAACTAGGGTTGCTATTCACTATTTTTATTTGATTTAATCTATAATTTTTTTTTGTTGGATGATAATGGAATGGTATCCCCGCCTGCGCTAACGGGATACGCTGGGAGAGCACCAATGAAGAGTGATTGATGAAAATAAATAACAGGCTAGTTAGCCCATCATGATGAATTCATCAGGAATTAACCATGATACTTTCCAGGGGGAACTACGAAGAGGTCGATCTGGTGGAAATATTGCTAGCAATTGGATTTTTAGTCTCCATTACTAACAATCCCTTTCCCCCCAATCTATTAATATTATGACTTAGATTTAAATAAATTATGATTAATAATTTAATTGTAAAAGTTTACTCCCAATATCGTATCAATATATTAATTTTTAACCAAATAAATCTCTTCCGAGGATGTCGTAAAAGACGGTTAAGGAAGTTCAATGGTTAAGGGATGGTAAAGTGCCTTCTAAAATGCCACCAAAGCCTAAATGCGGTTGGTCCCCCCCCCCCCCCCCCCTTCATTATTATTTTGTCAGTAATTGGCAATTATTGACAAAATTCTTCAAAAAATGTAAGTATACTAATGTGTTATATATAATATAAACTACATATTTAATTGCGTAAATTTTATTATCCATATTATCGTTTTATTTCATTAATCAATTTATATTACATTTTAGGTAAAACCTACTGATTTACCGACAATATTTGAAAGAAGATAGTTGACCCGTGTCAAAACGCGAGTTCTCGACTTGTTGTTTAAGTCGAGATTATGAATCACTAATTTTGGGTTGAAAGACATTGACACTAATAATAGACATATTAACTGTCAATGTCAACATTGGCACTTCTATGTAATTATAGACTTATGTTTGATTTCCCTCCACAGTTTAGACAGACTATGTCTGAAGATTTTCCTGTTATTTGTCATTCTTTTACCTGCTTTGTTTATATATATACATATATATTTTTTATAATTTTAATAAATTTATAATAGGTAAGTGCTGAGATTTATTAAAATGACGACATCTACTGTATTAAGAGTTAAGCGTAGATTAGAAGATAATCCTCAAGATGCTCTGGTGATCATGTGCAAGCGTATGAAAACACAAACAGAAGAATTATCACCCTCTTTATTTGTATTCAGAGGCACTGTAAATACTCAGGTAATTCATTTGTTTAATTGCATTTTTATTATACTCATTGCCGCATGTAAGTCTGTTTATCCAATTGAAGCCGATTAATTGTATTTTTTTCTATATAACCTTATTACTTTTTTGCCAGCCATCACTATATCAGCCGTTAATTGTTCTCTGTTGAACATAGGCCTCCTTTTTGGAGGAGTTTGTCGGTAATTGCTACGCTTAACAGATGGGTTGGCAACTGCAGTTAGGCTTTGATGATGCTTTATATATATTATATTTATTATTATTTGCTTTATATTTATGTTATTAGAGATGTTGCTGTTCATTCCTTGACCATGAATTTGTCTTAGTCGCCTCTTACGACACCTATGAATGAAACTTCACTAACCCTAATCAGTCCTATATCAGACCAACCAATGAATTTCCACAATTAAAATATGTGTATGCTGCTAAACCATGTTTAACTAAAAAAGTATATATTAACTCATTTATTCATTTATTTATTGCTATTACATGTTGTAACAATATTGGTCTTAATTTACTAAAAGTATAGAATCAAACATGAACCCTGGAAGGGCACAGCAATCACATTAATAAATATTATATAAACTACATAACTAAATTTTTACATTATATATATGTATCGTCGATTAGTATAAAAAATAAAAAAAAAAAAATAATCATCATTAAATTAAAACAAACTCTCACTATATATCCTTCTCAAAGTAAGGTTAATGGATACTTTTAGGTCTTTAATGCAATAAAAATGTGTATTTTGTTGAATAAAGTTTTAAAGTTATGGAGAATAATTTATTAAAATTACTGTAATTACATTTTTATTACACTCATCATATTTTCATTATGAATTTTTGCCCTTATATATTGTTTTGTCATAAATATCTTGAATCTACTCTGTGGCTATTTGTATACATTATTTATTTAAAATATGTATAGAAAAATAGGTATATTTCCTAATTTATGTAACCAAAACAAAGTTTTTATGTTTTCCCTAGATCTGTGATCTAAGTCTCGATTTCTAAAATTCACAGGAACCAATCAATGTAAAAGACATAACACCAAAAAGTGATGTGAAATTGAAACCAACACACGACGTCAGTGAGATCATAGACAAAATTAGAAAAGAAAGAAAAGATGTGTCCAGCCAGAGTCGATATGAGGTAGTCAATTGCAGTAGAGGATTGAAAGAAAACAATAATGTAGATAGTGACCAACTTTATCATTTGGTCGACTTAGAAAAAGCAGATACTAAGGAAAATGATGTGAAGTATGCATATGATTTGTACATAGCAGCAAAGCAAGATTTTGATGTTTCAATGTTGGATAATATTGTTAGGTAAGTTAGTTTTTATAAACCACAAAGGTGGCATACAGCCTGTCTGATGGTAAATGGTTACTGTAGTCTATGGACACCTGCAACATTAGGGGTGTGATGTGTATGTTGCAGCCTCTGAAGATATTGTCATACTGTAGGGAAAACCTCGGTAGGAAGTGTTATTTATTCTACTTTATTTAAGACTAGCTTTTATTTCTGACTTCATATGCATGACTGGGATAAAAGTAGCCCATGTCCTTCTCTATCCGATATAGTATTTGTATACCAAATTTCATAGTGATTAATTAAGTTGTTAAGGTGCTAAGAGGCAACAAACAAGTTCACTTTCACATTTGTAATGATTTTAAGTCATACATATTTTTTGCTATTTACAATTTCTATTACTTAATACTGAATTTTTTTCTCATAGCATTTTGTTGGTTTTATTTTTATATTTTGGTCTGTAGGGTATGAATGCCGTTGCCAGCTATTTATGCAAGAGGCATATCATGGGCTAAATAGTATATTATATTCTGTACCATTCATAAGTTCTAGTTACCATTAAGTTTGTATGGCATTCCCAGTGGTGATGTTTTTCATCATCATCATCATTACAGCCATTATCCATCCATTGCTGAACTTAGGTCTTCTTCATAGACAGCCTTAAGGAATGATCCTGTGCTACCTGTAACCACTGACTCCTAGTGGTTTGAGGTTGTTACGCTTTCTAGTGGTTTTCCTACATTCCGTTTATCCATCAGTTATCAGTTCTTCAAGCTATGTGACCAGCCCATTGTCATTGGAGGGAAGGGATTGTTAGTAATAACTTCTAACAGCCCTATTACTAGCGATATACCCTATATATACTCAGCATATATTTGCAAGCCACAGATCTAAGATAATTTAATTAATTAAAAAAGTCTTTTCTGAATTACTTTAATCATACATAATTTAAAATCATATTATTATTATTTCAGCTATTTTTTTTTTAATAATAATAACTGTCCATTGCTGAACATAAGTCTTCCCCATAACGGCTATAATTTGGCTAGTAATTGCCACGCTTGGCAGGTGGGTGGCAACAGCTGTTAGGTTTTCACAGATATTTTAAAAGGGACGCTGCCGCCCATTCTTTCCCCGTAAGCTCCTTTAGTTGCCTCTTACGACACCCACGGGAAAGGAAGGGGTGACCCATTCTATGCCGAGACCTACACGGCGAAGTTTTAAATCATACCTAGGACCTTATTATCCTAAGTAATGCATATAATAACATCAGTATTGTACATTTAATTTATTTTTATTTATCACTTATGTTTTCCAGTATAGAAGATTATGAAACAGATTTAATATTTGGATCGCACCGTGACAACGGACGACGGAGTCCCTCCACAGACAATGATGATGACGAAGACGACTCAAATGATGAAAACAATTGGCGGAATGACTATCCCGATTCAGAGCCTAGCAGTATAGATGAAGAAGACATGATTAGAGCAGTAGAAAGGTGTGATCTAGGTAAATAGTTGACTTACCATAGATAAAGAAATTTTATGTGTTTCCGTGAGCATTTGCGGAGGTCTTTTTTCCTATTTTACTTTTTAGGAGTAATAAATAGGTATATTAAAATAGATAAGCTCCTTAGATAAGTAGCAAACAAACGCTAATTGATAAGGTTTCGTTATTTTGTATATGGGAAAGAAGATGCTGCACGTTGCTGTCTCGTTCTGTCTCGTGCATGAAGTAGCGAAATTGTTTCTAATTATTATAAAAAATCTACAGGTTGCCATTTTTATTTTATTCTCACGTACCTTCTTAATTTTCTCTACAGTATACATCTCTTCTTTTCATGTAGGCTTGTCAATTTCGGATACTTCTTATTTGACCTTTCTCCAATATCTCCAATTTGTAATGTGTTTTTCGTCACAATTGATTTGGCATTCAAATCATACTTTGTATGAAAGTTGTTTTTCTGTCCCATCCGTGTTTCCCCCGTGAAGCAGCTTGTATGGCTGTTTCGGTTTGAAGGATCTGGCAATGGAGTTACAGAGTACAAAGGCTTGACACCGTCATTCTCAGAAATGACAATGCCTGAGATCATGATACTGTCCATGTCTATAGACGACGGTTACTACTTTCCGTCAGGCGGGCCGTCAGTTTGTTTTGCCATTCTAAATATAAAAAAGGCATGTGTGACATCTATTTCGAGCTTATTTGAATTGGTTGCCATTTGGTCCCAATTCAACAATAGCAAATTACCCTGCTGATTGCTGTAAGTACTGATTAGTTGATTATTTTGTTTAATTCCGCTATAATTAGCATGCGTACTAATAATAACCTAAAGATGCCTTAGTGTTTTAGTAAAACACGTGTCGCAACATGTGTGTTGACTGTATAACGGTCGGTGATTGATGATTAATATGGAAGGTTGTAGAACTTCTACTAATAATAGTAGCATACTACTATTAACACATGCGTAGGGATAATATTTATATTATTATATGTATCACATCTCCCATATTTAGAATTAACAAAATTTTTCTTCGTGCCTCCCACCAAATTGTTTATAATTACTCCTCTCCATCCAAAGGTTGCCTGGAAGAGATCGCTCTTAACGATAAGGTCGCCCATTGTTTTCTCATTGTGATTATTTCTTGTAATTATTTATATTTATAATAAATTTACTATTGTAATCTTTTGGAGGAAACAATAAAGAGTATCTATCTATCTAATGATAGCGGAATTAAACAGAATAATTCTAATCAACCAGTGATATGGACTTTCGCTTCTCGTGTGGTCTTGGCATAGAATAGGCCACCACTTTTCCGTGGGTGTCGTAAGAGGCGACTAAGGGAGGGTGAGGGATGGGTAGCAGCGTCCGTTTTAAAACATCTTCAAAGCCTAACTGCGGTTGCCAATCAGCCTGCCAAGCGTGGCAACTACTGCCAAAACCCCCCGATAGGTGGAAGCTTATGTTCAGCAGTGGATATCCGTGTAATAACATCTAATTCAGCAAAATGTGCTGTGAGTACGTCAAGAGTTTTACCAATTTTACAATCGAACCTAAGATTACCTTTTGATTGCAGACGACGATCTGTCCAGTGACACGGGTGAAGATAAAATATATGATGAGCCACCGGATATTTTTAATGAAGATGTCAAAAGGTATGGGGCGGCATACGCTAAGTACAAAGCTAAGGTCCTATCCGAAGATCCTGATCTGGCCAATAGTAGAGGTCTTGTCCATTCAGCGAAGATCAAGGAATTGGATGACAATAATGGCTATAAAGATGATAGTGATGATGGGTTTTATTATGGCCAAGATGAAGACACAGAGCAGTATCGGGAACAATATGGCAGTGATATCTCAGAATCGGATTGAACTGGTTATGTCCAGTTTTAACTAGTTCTAAGTGAATATTATTAGATAATTTTAAATATATAAATTATTTGATATTTCGTGAGTTTTATTATTATATATAGTGCCTACCCTAGATTGTGCTCAGAGGAATTGTTCTTATATGATGCCCACAGCCACTTTCTACCATCGTACGGCTCGCCATCGACGGGGAGTTCACCCTCATACTTTACAAGCTAGATGGTCGTGTTCAACGCGATGTCATTCCAATATTATCCATTTAACCTAAATACGCGGGCGGAAAGGGATTGCCCATCACTAGGGCACTAAGAATCCCATTGCTAGCAATATACCCAGTCAGGTCGACCTCCTCGCGGTTCTCTCTGGAAACTATCATAATTAATTCCGTATTCCGCCAACGTATCCCGTTAGCGTAGGCGGGGTTACCATTCCATTTTCACTCATCAAAAAAAAAAACCTAAATACGCCAAAGTATTTTGCATCAAGAATGTTTACGATTTTCAGCAGATAACCTATATGTTATAAAATATATAATTTGAGTATAAATTTTTTATACTTTACATATATTAACAGTCGTAGTTTTTTGTCGAAATTAGAGTATCAGTGCCAAAATAAAAATTACTGGAACAAAAATATTTCTAATGTTAATTTATTTAGGTACTTATTATAGTTTAATTATTTGACTATTGTATTTTTTAATGATCAATTGAGATAAGACCACTTACCATCAGGTGGACCGTCAGCTTGTTTGCCATTGTAAGTTGCATAAAAAAAGACATGCTAAGATTGTTAAGTATGCTAAGTATAAAAAAATACAGATTATGTATTTTTTATGGATGATAATGGAGTGGTATTCCCGCCTGTGTTAACAGGGTACCAATGAGAGATGATAGGTGAGAATGAAAAGGCAGGTCAGTTAGCCCATCGTGATGAATACACTTGAAATTTTCAGCACGATGACCACATGGAGTTCAACCTGATACCACACTATCTACTACTAGTCCCAGGGGGAAAGAGATTGTTAGTAATGGAGTCAAATAGCTCCATTACAAGCAATATACCCTGTCAGGTCGACCTTCACGTTGTTCCCCCTGGAAACAATCGTGGTCAATTCTAGTTGAATTCGTCAGGATGGGCTAACTGACCTGCTTTCATCCTCTGTGCCAGGTGCTCTGCCAGTATATACCGATAGCGCAAGCGGGGTTACCATATCATTATCACTCATTAAAAAAAAACTACTAGTCCAAACTACCAAACCCTTCCCCTCCAGATAATGTATGTTTTTTTTTTGATGTGTAAAAATGGTATGGTAACCCGCCTGCGCTAACGGGATACGCTGGCGGAGCACCAGTGAAGGGTGATAGATGAGAATGAAAACAAGCCAGTTAGCCTATCATGATGAATTCATCGGGAATTAACCATGATAGTTTCCAGGGAGAACTGCGAGGAGGTCGACCTGGTTGGGTATATTGCTAGCAATGGGATTCTCAATCTCCATTACTAACAATCCCTTTCTCCCCAGACAATGTATGTTGGGATGTAGAAAAAAAAAACAAGTAGATCTAATATGTGATAAATAATTTATTGTCTGGCGTATTTATACAATATCATTGTAGGACTACTTCGGTTGAAATTTATTACACATGTTGTCATCAGTTATATTAACTTTAAGACTTTTACGCTGCATGTTTTATAAGAGACTTCAATTAACGCGATAATTTAGGTAGATTATGATAATTTATCTAAATTACCTCGACCTGCCAACCCGCTTGCCAAGCGTGGCAACTATTGGCAGTGGATAGTTAAGGGCTGAAATAATAATCTCTACATAATCTTGACGTAGCACTGTATAGCAGACATGACAGTCTACAATGTCCCTTATAAAACATCATCAGTTGATTACCGTTTACATTCAACACTGATTTTTTTATTGTATTCGTGTATTTTTCTTTTAATTTTAAACTTTAGCGGAGTTTATATTATACATGACTGTTTAAATACACTATTAGGATTTAACGCGACGCGATTATAAATAATTAGTGCTTACATACCTGATTTTTATTGCCGACGTTCCGACGTAGGTTGCATCACGTTATAGTGGTCAAAGAAGCTGCATGAAATTACGGAAAAACACCCAATCTGGCAACGCTGGCGTCTGGAGGGAAAGGGATTGTTAGCAATGGAGTTTGACAGCCCCATTGCCCTAATAGGTTGACCTCCACGTGGTTCCCCTGGAAACCATCGTGAACAATTCTTGTTGAATTCGTCACAATGGGCTAACTGACCTACTTCATCCTCACCTATCATCCTTCACTGGTGCCCCGCCGGTGTATACCGATAGCGTGGGTGGGGTTATCATTCCATTATCAGCCTTTAAAACGCTGGCGTCTTCTGGCAGCCTGCGCAGCTTCTTGGCCACTACGACGCGGTGCAATTCGCGTCGAAACGTCGACAATAAAAATCAAGTATGAAAGTACTATTTGTCTGCGTTAGTGTATTTAAATATATATTTACAGAAAACATTTATTTTTAAGCCCTCGTTCAAAGTTAGTATTAAATAGATTTCCTATAATACTCTTATTTTAACCGTCATTAATTATTGTTATGGTACAGTCAGCGACAAAAGTCGATTGACAATATAAGTCGTTGCATTTTTTATTTTATATATAATCAGAAAATATTTAATTTAAAATCGTTTTCATTAGTCGTAAAGCGATTTATCTATGCAACGCGATATTTAGGAGTTTTAAAAATATAAATGTGTTGAAATATCCTTGGCGCTGATCGTACCTAAAGGACCTGTGCAAATAGATGGATAGTACTCAGGAAACTTTTTTTTACCAACAGGATGGACCAGAAATCGTTAGCCCTCTAACCTTCTAAGGGAAAATGTATCGATAAATTATACACAGTATAGAATAGTTAAGATATCGGGGAAGGATATAAGTTATACTACAATGGGAGTGATGGATTAGCGATAGGTTTTGAAAGTAATATTTGAAAATGTGATTTGAGAGTTATCAGTGCGTACCCTAAACGTGACGTGACGATGGAGTAAAAAAGTTTTGGGAGGATTTTGATGCCTTTATATTAGAAATTACAGAGAGATGGGCATGATTATAGTTTATATATAGTAGTTTTTATGTATGAATGGGAAGTACTCGCTAGTTTAGAAATTCTGCCTCAAATTATATATAATTAGAAAATAATCAACAAAAACCACAAGTCTCGATTCTACTGCCATCTAGTACTTCGTGTCTCGTTTTGTTTAGTAACCAACCACTTTAACGTACAGCTAACGACTTCGATATGATCTTGTAGTGAGATTATGGTTGATGCATTTAGCTCCTTGAGTACTTTTTACGAAGCAATATATTTTTTTTACATATTTATTTTTTAGTTCAGGAAAAAATAAATACTATTATGGGCTTAAAAATAAATGGTCAGTTTATAGCTTGTTGAAAGTAGAGATATAGGTTTAGGTGTGAACTGTTATATTTTTTACATAGCGTCTTTTTACACAAGTTAAGGTGTGAGATGTTGCTACATAGTACAAGGTAAAATGACTTTGGGATTTGTACGACATGCGGTTATTAAACGATGAAAAATTTTAATGCTTCTATTTTATAATAAATTATATTATATTTTTTTTATTGGTAATTGAACATGGATTTATCTTTATGTCTGTAGTAAATTATAATAAGTATAGAAAAGGATCGTTTACGAACGTTCATGCGTTTCGTAAACAATCGCTGTATTGTCATTTTTGACATTTGTTTATGATATCGATCGTGTCACGCTTTGCTTTTGTCTTGAGTGACTCTTTGAAAATAAAGTATTCACATTAAGTACTTGTCTTTAAATATTAAATTGAAACCCAAGTGGGGGGACCTAATAAAATACGTAACAATGTCGCTTATTTATTTTATATGTCACCACTTTCTATGCTATGTAAAAAAACATAAGAGGGTTTATATTTACTTTTCAATCTACAGGTAACAAATTCTTTATAACTTTTTTAATTTTAGTGTGTAAGAAAATTAATGGAGAACATCCCAAAATGATTGTTTCAAAAGTATTAGATATTGATTAATTTTACAGAAATGACTAATTTAAATTATTTACTTAACACTTTATATTAGTTTTTACACCTGTACCTATACTCATCTTTTGGAAATATCGGTGTGTATATTCGAGATGTCATCTTAAACTACAAGATTACTTCATTGTTTGTTATCGAGAACATAGACGTATGGCACATCGCATCAGATGCTCTATTTACGGTTTTTTTTTATATATTAATGTCATGATCATTACGTCTCTATGGTGCGTACAGGTGTGAACAAAAGTGTTAACTAGTTTACTTTTAATTTTATCACAAACACTTTCACATACCTGTACTTATACAAACAACAACGTCACAATAGTTGGAAGATCAACATTATCATTTCCTTTTGCACCTTCTGGTATTGTTAGGGAAATTTGAGACTCATTCCAAAGACAGACAGACAAACACAAATGAATACACAAATCGTATTATACGTAGTTAATCTACGGAATAAGTCTTGTATTCACTTAAATCTATAATTAAAGTTAGTGAGATACCTATAAATGCAAATTACGATTACTCTAACGATGCTTTGGCATAGACAAAACATGGTACATATTTTGATATTATTATTATTATTATTAAACAGCATTTTATAATAATATATTCTGAGTATCCGATCACAATCAGGGATAGTCAGTGACTTAATCAGTAATAGGAAATCAAAAATAATTGGCCATAACAAATATATGGATACTTTAAAAAAAAAAACATTATCTTATATTTGTATTATTTTTAGAAAAACCTGTTGTCGTTACTATAAAGTCGTGAGTTATTCTCAAACTCATTATAAATTGGAATAAGTGTTGTCGCCCATACAAGCGGCAAACAAATCTACCGATAGACACGTTTTCGCTACCTGTGCACGAGTTTTCTTATGTGTGTGGTAACGGAAATGTATCTACCGATAGATTTTAGATTAGAAATGCAGCCATGATTGTTAATCTGGGTACAATAATGTCTATGAAAAGGAATCTGAAATATTTATTAGTAATATTGGTATAGAGTAATTTGCTTCAGCTCAAACTCAAGAAATCTGTAGTATCACAATATCTGTTTTATATAAGTAAATGGAATTGGGCTAGTCACATTTTATCTTAATACCATGTATGAAATAGAAATAATGTTGCCAGTTGACGAAGATTCAAATAGTGGTTGGAATTTATTGGTATTTACTTATATTTTATTGAACTTTTAGAAATTTAGAAATTCCCAGCTCGGAATTTTATTACATAAATGTTATTAAGAATTGTAATACTATGAAAATAAAAAAAAAAAAAAAAAATTGAGAGGCCACTGGCATGTAAAAAGATACTTCGATCAAGGAATGAGCATTGTACAGCTTTGCAAGACATACCTATATAATATTCACCTAAGAATGATAATTCATATTAAACAAAATTAACAACAAACTAAGAACAAATTCAAATGGTAATAAAATTTAGTTACAATGTAATAATATCTTTACATGTATTTACAATTTGGTAGTTTTAACGTATACTTACTAATACAAAGACAAAGGTTAACTTTTTACCTACTAATAAATTTACACAACAAGTTTCGTAACAAAATTCTAATAATAAACGGGGGATCGCATACAATATTAGCCAAGTCATTTATAATATCCATTCGTTCATTCACTCGATTCATTCGCACGATCACAATGAAATTTTGAAACATCGATTTGGCTTGATATGCAGTACGATTAATGTATCGATTTTCTTATTATAAGTACATTGTTTATTGCACATAATTTGATTAACAATCCGAAATGAGAGGATATACGTATTAATCTAATTTTATAATTACAAACGCTCTGGAAGCAACTGAAGCAGTAGAATGCGATATCTCAAGATTAAACGTCACAGTTAGTCCTTTTCGTATCGACTGTACGCAACCATCACTTGTAGTTTCATACCACGGGCGAGTTGGTTACTCTGGGCTGGGGCGCGGGCACGTTGTTGTTCGCTGCAGCGTCTTGGTCGTTCGCTTTGCAGTAGAACTGCTTGTGTGCTTTGTATGTGTTGACGTATTTGAATGATATGTCGCAGGATTTGCAGTAGTTGGGTGTCTCTTCTATTTCGGCGTCGGGTTCTTTCTTTATGTCGACAGGGATGGGCGAGGTCTGCTCCTCTTGTTCTGGCTCGTCGATGGCGTGGACGAGACGGCCGTGCCGGACCACGTTGCCCCTGTAGGTGGATGTGTAGGCGCAGCTCCCACAGCGGTGGATGCGTTCGCCGCCGGCTGCCGGACTAGGTGACGTCGCCTCCCGGCTGTCCTCTTCTAAAACGCACGCTATGTAGCTTTCTTCCTGGAATGGAAGCATATAGTTGTAGAATCTTATTCATATTATAAAATTGTAATTAAATGATGTCTGAATATGGAAGATTTATTTAAAAATGAATTTAAAAAAAGGGGGGGGGGGTCTTAGCTATATATCTGTATGTTTGTTTCGGCATAACGCAAAAACTATTCCATTAAATAAAACCTCTATACAAACAGCACAAACTTGTACGTTAAGCTTTTGTCATACCTAGTATTGTATTGGATTGTCTGCAGTTATATTCTTTATCCGACTGGTTCTCATTTAGTTTTATTTCTTTTTGTACGAAATGTTACGCAATATCTTCGTTAATTGTGAACTCATTTTCATTAGGTACAAAAGCGTTTAATTTCAAAACGTTTCTGTTTGAGTGTTATACTTTAACCACAATGGTCTGTATGCTGCAGTTTCACCCACAGAATATAATATAGCCTATATTACCGAAGCATGGTGTACGAATGATAATAAGTTTATAGAATCTGTTTAGTAGATAGTAACTCACCTGTAAATCAGCTGGTTTTTTATTATTGAAATGCATGCGAATATGTGTCCGCATTCCACGAAGAGTGTTCCCTCTATATCGACAAATGGTGCAGCGGAATGCTTTTACACCAGCATGGGCCTCCATGTGACGCTGGGCTGCAGCAGCAGTAGGCGATACCACATCACAGCAAGGACATTTCCATCCGCCTTCGGTCACCGAAGCAGGTCTCGGCACTTCAGGAACGCTTCGAGGTGACCTAGTTTCTCTTTTAGGACAATAATAAGACTGATGCGTCGTCAAATTATCTAGCGAGCTAAAGTGTATTCCACATGCTAAGCAGATCAGTTGGCGATACTGGGGCGGTGGGCCAGGCTCTGGCGGTGCAGGACTCGATCTTTCTTCTCCACCGCCAGAGGAACAGTAATGCCGTTTATGTATACGATAATTTTCATATTTGCAAAACACTATATTACATTCTTTGCACTTAGACACTCCCTGTTTGACTATAACTTGCGGTGAGGCGGTTGTCACGGGCAGATCACTCGCCAGCCGCAGTGCTAACGCTGGTAAAATTGGTGCTGTTACTGTAGGCGTGAACTTTTCTTCCACAGGTGAGGGTACATTTAGAGGTTTTGGAGTAGGGTCCCTGGAATTCCGCCGTCGTCTTTTTGGTGAACTCTCTAGACTTGGTGACGATGATCGTCTAGATGGTGATGGTGTTCTCGGAGATCCTGGTAGTGATGGAGCACAAACAATTTGTTCAGGAGTAGCTGACCGTATTCTATTTTCCTTTTCATGTTCATCAGTTGTCACGGATTCAGGAGAACGGCGTACGCTAAGATCTAAAGGAGTGGCGCCATCTCTTGATGGTTCACGCGGTCTATTAGCAGATTTTAATACTTCATTTTCTTTGCCGTCTGCATTTATATTTGATAACGCTCGACTTAGCGGTTGAAATGTTCCATTTGGCAATAGGAAGCACGGTGTATCAGGATCAGGTAAAGTCGCTCCAGGAAGTGTGCTTGCACTTCGTAATAATGAATACGGAACTATCAGAATAGGATTAGTAGGTAAAGCAAGTGCATATTGATTTTGAGCTGGCGGTGTAGCGCCAGGAGAAGGAGGTGTGGACCCTGATGTGGCTGACCCACCTCTCGTCATTGCCAAAGCTTGTTTGACTACTTGTCTAGTGCTACAGTAATGAGCTTTATGAGCTCGATATGTTTTAATGGAACTAAAGCGTATATCGCAGTCTGCACAGTAACGATCCTGTACCGGTGGACCTTCAGTACTTTCTCCATTTAAAGTTGGTGTTGGTACTGGCGTCCCGCTGCTAACGGGGGATGAAGATGAATGCATCCGCATATGGCGATTGAGGCTGACTTTTTTATCAGCACTGTATGAGCAGTATGTACAGGCATATAATTTAGCGCCTGGTGGTCGTGGTGTCTTTGCATCGCTACTCGATTCATCTGCGGCTGGGTCAGTAGACCCCTCAGTTCCTTCAACTGGTTTAGGTCTTCTATTGGAACAGTAATGTTCCTGATGCGCTTGTAAAGTGCTCAGAGAAGAATACCGTATGCCGCATGGTTTGCATATATATCCAGGAGCAGCAGTAGGAAATAATGCTGGAAAATTTGCTGTTAAAGCGAGGTAGTCTCTCGCTTGCGGTGCAGGTGGTGGTGGAGGTGATGGCGAAGGTGGTTCACGTTTCAAGGGTGCTGCTTGGGGTGCAAGCGCTGGATCTGTAGCAAGGCTGGTGTTAAGACGCAGACGTGGCGGTGAGGCTGCAGGGGAGCCGCCTGAAGCTGGCGAGGCACCCCCACTGGATGCTGCTCTTTCGCCTCCTGAGCTCGGTGTACGAGGTTCTCCCGGCATTGCCTCGCTCTCGTTTCCCCATTCCTCGTCCTCACCTGAAATGAAAATAATGATTTATTAATGGAACGTACTAATAAAAATAATTAGATACGCAAAGTAAAAGAAAAAGGACCAAAACTAATATCAGGTCCTATTAGTGTTCTTAATAGCAATGCGATGCTAAGTTGGCATGAGTTTCTCGCGATAGTCGTCACTCGTCACGTTTCGCTCGCTATCTGTTGACGTCAGTCAGATCCAGCCTCTGCAAGTCGAGGCATACATTAGCGCTCCTAATTGAGACGTGCTCGAGCTATGTAAATGTCGCCGCGTGGGTGGGGCATAGGCGATCGACTTCATAAAATGCGGATAAGTAAATTTGTTGCTACATTTTGAGGGATTCTCATGATCCGTCAATACGAACCGGTTGTAACAATACTCGTCCATCAATATCGCAAGCGTGAGCCGGCCTGAGGCCAAACAGAACAAAAACTTAACGGGCCCTTCATGTAATTGGATCTGATTTCCAGAAAACGTTCGCTCACCTTCCTTTTTGAGCGACAACGATCTCGAGCCAGCGAGGAATTAACCTATCTTTCGCGTTGCGATCTCGACTCAAAACGCCAATTAATGAGAGGCTCAACTTCATTCTCCTGGCCCTGTGAAGATCATTATATGGGCACGACAGCGAGATGGACGCGACGATTGGTGCCCGCGCGCAGACCGCCATCTCGCGGTAACGAATACGACTTAAATTGGATTGCGTTCGGGTCACGCTATCCTAGTGCCCGCACCACGTGATTGGTCATTACGATGCAGTGGTGACGTGCGATTGGTCAGGCTAATGTGGTTTTATCTCCCAACTTAATGTTAGCGTCATACCGAGTCCGGTTTATCGTCGTTCGTTAGAGTACCAGCTACTGTTTTCGCTAAATAAGTTATAAGCTTGTGATTGTTGGCCGGCAAAAAGGTTGAACGCGCAATCAGATAGATGGCGTGACTTGGTGTCGTTTATGCGGCGTTCGCGAAACTGAACGTCGATTCGTTAAATGATATTCATCTGTACCCTTTTTGTTTGTCTTTATAAACATGTCAAATAATGGCGATTTTACACAACAGCGCAGAATTGCAATTCATATTCTTGTTTTGTGTAGGTACCTCGTCAGTGCCCGCATTGTCTTGACTAGAAATTTGCAGAGATACACTTGTTGCATCGTTATATTCGCTTTGAATGTAAAAGGAGTATTCATGAATTAAGGTATACTCAACAATTTGTATAGCTAATTACGTCATCCTTGTTAAATTGGAATGAAAATTTACTTTAATGGAAATACATACATAAATTTACATATATTATTGTGTTAATCTTTAAGTGGTATAAATACAAAAGTAAATAAAATAGACATAGAGCTACACAATCTGTACTTTCATTGGACAATAGTGTATACGTGAGCGAGTTATATAAAAACGCCATTAAAATACCATTCAGTAGAATCAATAACACGACGGACAAGCGTCAAACACGTGCCTACACACTCGGAGGAAAAACAAAGCGGCCATCTTGTTTGACGGTTATCATATGGAAGATCGGGGCCCAATTAAAATAGTCGTGCATCGGTCGCGTCACAATCGCTCCGATATGCATCTTTGGCTGTGACGCCCGTGAGCGATCACCTAGTACTCATTGCTCCTACCGTGGCGCACGATCTCGATTGATCACTCCTTCTCGATCTCTCATCATAGATATTATCTTATTTTTGTCTGGAAAATGTAATTGTATTTATTTTAGTCGGTGAAGGTGAAAAACTAAATATTTTACTGATAATTTTGATTTCACTAATTATGAAAAAATGGAAGAACAAAAATAATCAATCAAATGGTAATGAATTAAACGTAAAACGTTAGTTGATCGATGGAATTAGATATTGAAGTAATGTGTGTATGACAGTTTTATTTTCTTTTTTATTGGCTATTCACCCCAATATTAAGGTAATTTGCCAAAAACAAAACTGGGAAACGATATTATAATAATAAAAATATCTATCAGACGCGAATTTGGAAAAGCTAAGGATTAGGTCTAAGGTATTTATAGGATATGTAGGCTAGAATATGTACATATGAGATATAATAGTTATTGTGACGTATTATTAAATAATCATGTAACATAGAACGTTCATAACGAAGAAATGCAATTATTAAAATTAACTGTCAAATTTCAAAAACATTTTAACCTTTTTAATTTTTTTTTATTGATTATTTAAAAAAGGCCCTGCTAGCGAACTGAAATTATAATCATGCAATAATATTCTTATAAAGCTGTCATTGAAAATTTGGATTTTATTGGCCAAAAATGTATTTAAAAAATTCTGAAGCGAAAATATGAAAAATTCTGAAGTATTCTATGATTCGCGCTTTAGTTCGGTAGCAGAGCATTTTTTTAAATATGCAATCGGAAATATTGAAAAATGTTAAATAGTTTTTAAAAATTGACAAATAAATGCAGTGTTGCCACACTTCGAACTAAGAATGGAAAATAAGTAACCAATTTAAATAATAGTCTTTTAGGCATGTATGTTCGATAGAATAAGTTCCACCAATGTACCTTTCCATTCCTGTTAGATGAACTGTTGCATTACTGTATATTGTTTAAATAATTAATTATTTTATTTTATTGTTATTATATTTATTTGCTTTTGGCCACAACAGAATATCAGTGCTTTGCTCTTTTGAGGGCAAAGCAATAAACTGAGTTGTGACCATTTTGTGTTAGCACAAGTACGAAAGGAAATTATGTATTTCTCTTTTTGTATATGTATTATTCTTTTTCTTTTTGTATCTATTTTTTATGTATGACTATATATATTGTGATGTGTGTGTTATAAGTAATGTAAATCGTAAATCTATCTATTTATGTATAGAATAAATAAATAATGTAGACATATGAAATCAATAGAAAAATCATAGTAGGGGCTATCCAAATGCCAGGTAACCGAGATACGCCTTGAAATAAGGCGATTGTCTGATATGTATGGTTGAAATAAAAAATGAATTCGCTCATTGAATAATAAAACATAATTGGTAGGTACCTAACCTACCTTGTTTATGTAGCATATCTCGTTGATTGTTATTTATCATGCTTTTAAATTTTAATTAAAGTTTATTTGCGAAGTTACTTTAAATATATACTTAATTAAGTAGGTAGTAAGTACAAATACAAGTCTACACCAGATTCATAGACAATAGGCATATATAGATAGATTTCGGATATTGATTCGATATCTATATATTAGGTTCCTCTTGACATTGATAATGGAAAAAAGGTCAACACCCATTTTGATATCGCCCATATCGGTCGGATATCTATTTTCGAATGTCAAAAGACTGTTATCTATTTTTTTTTTGATAACAGATTTCTATAAACATATATAGATATTATTATATATTTCCCACCCCTAATAGGCAACGGGCGGGGGGAAAGGGATTGTTAGTAATGGAGACTGAGAATCCCATTGCTAGCAATATACCCAACCAGGTCGATCTCCTCGCGGTTCTCCCTGGAAACTATCATGGTTAATTCCTTATGAATTCACCCTTAACTGGTGCCCCGGCAGTGTATCCCGTTAGCGCAAGCGGGGTTATCATTCCATTTTCACCCATAAAAAAAAATAGACAAAGGGCAGGCAAAATAAAATTCACTAAAAATATACTTAGACCTTTTACGTAAAAGGGGTCTACCACTTATTCGGAGTGAAATTTCAGTGGTATTAATAATATAATATCAGCAGATGTCAAAATAATATTTTTTAGAAATTTTGTCTGTCTGTATGTACGTTTGTTTTGGCATCACGCAAAACCTGTGGCACCAAATTGGATGCGGTTTTTACAGTTGAGCTACTTAACTTATAAGCTGGTTTATGTTGTATTCTGATATTCCATCCAAAAATTACCTACTTTAATGGTTTAATATTTTTGAATTCCACGCGTACGAAGTAGCGGGCAATAAGCTAGTTTTTTTTATGTAAGTTAAAATGGCAAACAAGCTGACAGCTCACCTGATGGAAAGTGATAACCGTCGCTTATAGACATGAGCAGTGCCATGGACATAACATATTTACGCGCATAATGTATCTTCACGTATCTATAATTATTTATTTAATAAATAAAATGAATTTATACGCAATAAAAAGATGCAAAATTTATAAAATAAATATAGAAGTTTATAACTTCTATATTTATTTTGTTTTATAAATTTTGTATCTTTTTAGTTTTAGGAATCACTCATAACTATTTTTCACGCAAAAATGTATGAAAAAGTTGACCGCTTTTTTCGATGCATTACCAAAGAGACACTCTATCTAAATTATCTAAGCTTGAGGCATATAATCTAAGCGTTATAGGTGCAGAGTTACTTTTTTTGGATGAGAATGGAATGATAACCCCGCCTGTGCTATCGGCATACGCTGACTGGGCACCATTGTAGGATAAAAGATAAGGACGAAAGCAGGTCCGTTGGCCCATGGTGACGAATGCAGTAGGAATTAACCACCATGGTTTCTGGGGGGGACCGTATGGAGATGGACTTGATAAGGCGTATGACTAGAAAAGGGGCCAACTCTCCATTACTAACATCCCCTCCCCCCCCCCCCGGGTATTTTTTCTGTTTTAATACAATGAGACGATTTAAACGAAGTATAGATATAGTTATTGCGTAGGTTGTTACAAATTAGCTCGTTACAGGGTTAATTGCTGTAGAAATAAATGTAAATGCTCCATTAGCTTTGATTCGAGTTATCGAGCATTTATTATGTACCGAGCATTTAGTATGTATAATTATGGACCGGCATTTGCGGAATGTCTAGATTCTCTTAAACCGGATTAAGGTCAAATTAATTATTGGGCATTAAAAATTAGATATGAAGATCAACACTTGAAATTGTAATATTATTTTATGTTATTAAAATAAAACAAAAAAAAAAAACTGTTAACTGACACGTATTTTTGTTTACAAATCAAACATTCAGTGTTGCTAGTAACAATAGTTTTATTTTATCTGTGCTAG